ATATAAATGTAAGGAGGCGTGTTAGTTTGGTACATTTATATTTACCGTATTGGCAACACCAAGTTCTCTCTTCTCTGTGTGCGAGCTATGGATGCCGATGTAATGTTGTGCACGTGTTGTTAAGTTTCAATAAAAAATGTGAAAAGATACGTTTCTTATTTTTCGACTTGCTTCTTCATATGATATCGATTTATTTAACATCTAGTGGATTTGGCATCAGGCTATTGGCATAAAATTAATGAAAGGATACTGAAAATTGGCATTCACTACAATTTGGACTGTATGAGTTTACTAGATTACCTTTTGGTTGGAAAATTCCCCAGCGTTTTCCAACAGCTGTTAGACAAATTTAAACAAATATCAGATTCTTTGCTTTAAATTATTTTGATGATATTATAGTATTTTCTCCAAATTTTGGTGAACATTTAAATCATCTTAAAATAATATTTGATATATGTGAGAAAGAGAATATAAAATTAAAACAATCTAAATGTAATTTTGCTAAAGAAAAAATAAATTTTCTAGGATATGAAATTCAAGCAGGTAAATACCAGCCCAGTAATGCAAATATAGAGGTTATTAAGAAATTGCAACCCCCTAAAAATATCAAAAATCACAAAGATTTTTAGGAAGTATTAATGTTTATCATAAATTTATTCAAAATTATGCTAAAATTAGAGCCCCATTAACAAATTTACTTAAGAAAGATACTCCTTATAATTGGACTGATGAATGTCAAAAAGCTTTTCAAAAATTAAAAAATGCATTGATTTCTAGACCTATTTTTTTGTTTAATCCTAAATATCCCTGTCATGTATTTGTTGATGCGTCCAAAGAAGCTGCTGGTGCTGTTTTAAAACAAGAACATCCTGATGGTAGTTTACATCCAATTGCTTTTCATTCTAGAAAATTAAGATCTTATGAACAAAATTATGCCATTACTGAGCTGGAATGTTTATCTATTATTGATGCAATTGATAAATTTTATTATTATTTACAGGGTAACCATTTTACTGTACATACTGATCATGGTGCTTTAGTTTGGCTTAAAAATATAAAAACCCCTACAGGTCGTCTATTTAGGTGGTCTTTAAAATTATCTATGTATGATTTTGACATAAAATATAAAAAAGGATCTACTAATGTTGAAGCTGACATGCTCTCTAGAAATCCTATGTGTCAACATTTAAGATTGCAGGTTAATTTATTATCATTAGAAGAAATAAAAGAATATCAAAATTTAGATAATGTTTGTAATACTAAGTATAAGAAAATGAATGATGTCTTAACTATCAAAAAATAGGGATTGTACAAAATTGTGATACCCATGTCTCTACATACGAAATTACTTGAAAAGGCCCATATACAATTTGGTCATATTGGTGTATCATCTATGCTAAATTTGTTATCCCCGCAATATTATTGGCCAGGAATTGTTCAAGATGTTAGAAATTATTGTAAACATTGTGAAGTATGTCAGTTTAATAAGAAAAGTAAACAAAAGAAATTTGGTTTAATGCAAAATTTACCATCAGTTAGTGAACCTTTTGAAACATTATCTATTGATACTGTAGGTGGTTTAAATTATTATAATTCTACTAAAAAGTATATTCACATAATTATTGATCATGCAACTAGATATATCTGGACTTTATCATCTAAAGGTGTAACTACAGATACTTATATAAATTGCTTAAAACAAATTTTCCAAATTCAGGTCCCTAAAAAGATTTTAAGTGATAGGAACGCAGCTTTTACATCTTCAAAATTTAAGCACTTTTTAAGGAATCATAATGTAAAACAATTGCTAACTACTGCAAATAGACCCCAAACTAATGGTAAAATTGAACGTGTTAATCAAACTATTATAACTAGATTAAAATGTAAACTAAATTCTTATCAAGGTAATATAGCGTGGACAAAATTATTACCCCAAGTAACTGAAGAGTATAATAATACCCCTCATTCTGTAACAAAATTCCCTCCATCATATTTAATGTATGGAAAATTGCCTTATGATTCCTTAATTCAAAATCAAGAATTGTATCCGTCAATAGAAGAAGCTAGAAAAATAGCTCAAAAGAGATCTGATGATTATCATAATGTAAATAAAGAAAGATATGATACTCATTTTAAACCTAGTAATTTTAAAATTGGTGATTTAGTAATGTATGAAGAATTTCAATACCCTAATACACGTAAATTATCTCCTCCATTCTCAGGACCTTATAAAATTTTAAAACAATATTCTGAAGTTAGTTATGAAATTGATAAACCTAATCCTTTAACTAAAAAGAAATCAGAAATTGTTCATTCAACTAGATTAAGACCTTTTAATCCAGCAAGTGAGTTTAAGTTAACTGTCAGAAATAGTAGAATTCCTATCTCTGTTCAAAATTAAAATTAATTTTTCAAAATTCTCTATTAAAAATCTTTCTGATTATGACATTTAATACCTGATTTAGACTTAACCCTAATTATGACAAGTTATTTTCCCGACTATGACAAATTATTCTCCCGATCTTGACCTTTTATATTTTTCACATAATTTGAATTATTTTGTAGCAAAAATTTTCTTCTTATTGTAGGATAATATTTGTTTCTAATTTACAGAATTATAAAAAAGACGTTAACTTGATTATACAAGTTATCTGTCTTATAATTTTGATTTTATATGATCTTTTATTTTTCTAAAACCACTTTGAGGTAATGTACAATGCCAAAAAACCAGTTACCTTGTATTAGGCAACGGAGGTTTTTCGATATTTGTACCTAGCACCCCCCAACCATCAGCAAGTAATCATGCTTATCTGTTGGCGAGAACATGCCATAGTTTTAAAGTGAAAGTGTTCATGTTCTAGTGTATAATTGTATTATTTATATTGAATTGTTTTTTGAATAATTATAACATTTTGTATTGAAGTGTAAAATATGTCAATATTTAATTGCCTACGATGAGTGGAAAAAATGCACATAATATATTATTCATAAATTGTATAATCTATTTCTTTTCTAAGTTTTATCTGAAGGAAGAAAAATTTAACATATTTTCTAATAAAAGCTTATTATTATGAAAACATGTTCAGTGGGGAAAAAAAAAAAAAAAAAAAAAAAAAAAAAAAGCATCATATTTGTGAACTATCAACATGCATCATATTTGTGGACTATCTGGCATTTCGAGATTTTACCAGATATTTTCATTCTATTCGAACTCTTTTTATGAAAAGGACTTTCAAAAAACAAAATGGACATTTTTAACAAAATTGAGGACTTTTGTAATTATAACTTATTTATTTATTAGTATTCCATATTTATTATGTTATAGTCTTAAAATTAGTCATATATTGTATATTTATTTATAACTCATTGTTTTAATGTTCAAAATTTCATATGCTATAAAGTCAAAATTTTATATGAGAAAGTCATGAACTATGATAGGCCATAGTTAAAGCTTGTATGCTATGTCCTGGATGTTTTCATGTCTTTTCTCATACTTTTGCTTTACTCCTGTACTAATGCTTTTCTCACCCCGGCCTTTCCTTTTGACGGGGTGGGGTGGGGGGAGATGTAAAATATAAAAAAAATACGATGGCTTTGCTCTTTGCGAACCATCAACCTTTAATTAATTTTTTGCAATTCAGGATCGTCCCCTAACCCAGTACCTTCTTGAACATTCGCACCTATTACATAACCTCCTCATATAAATGCTGCGTCATAAGTTTTTCTACGTTTTTCTAGAAGCTACTCTGTTACATAACCTTTCATATAAATGCTGCGTCATGAGTTCTCCTACACAGATGCCTTCTTGCCTTCGTCCTCCTAACGCTTCCGCTATGCTCCTCTTTCTTTGTTAGAACGTTATGACGTATTAAAGTCAGTCGTATCTAATAGTTCAATTACTGAATAAGTTATTTGATTAACTTCATCTGGAAAAAGTCATCTGTTCTAAATTAAAATAAAGATATGCTTGCTGTGAAAAGTCCTGAGTCGTCATTTTTCTCCGTCCTTCAATCATCCCAGCTTCGTCAACCATCTGCCAGAACGTGTAATGGAATAGCCTCACCATTTGCCCACACACATATATATATATATTTATATGTATGTATGTGTTTCTCATATGTGTTGTCACATTTTCTGAAGTACCCTAAATCTAGCATAAACTTTGCATATTAAAAGAAAAAAAATAATAATAATGAAGATTTTGGAATTTAAAAAAAAATTTTAAATACACATGCTACTTTTACTAAAATAAGGCTCGACAGATTGACTACAGATGTTCCACGTAGCATATATAATATTTTATAAAATTTACAGACCATTTCCTGGCTTTAGTGATACAGGGTAACTAAAGAAATACTTTTTTAAAATTAAACTTAAATTTTGCTATTGTTTTCTTAAATGCACTCATGCCTGAATTTTTACTCGGAAGTATGAATTCAAACAAATTATTTATGTGGCTGCAGTTACAGAACAGTTTGCTGTTTTTCTACACATAAATAGCATAAATATTATGAAATAGCATAAATATTATGAAAACCATAAAAAGATATTCCTTATAGCAGGGGTTCTCAACCAAAAGGGGGAATGAGGTCAGCCTTTTATTTGCCTGTTAAGCATTTAGTTTTATTTTATAAGCATAAAAACTTCTTTTCTTCAAGTTTTGGTATTTTCAACATTTTCTTGTTTAATTTATAAAACACATTAAAAAATAATCTAAATTTAAATAAATGTATACATATTTTTTTAAGTTTTGAGAAAGAATTGGGGGGGAAGTATGATCTAGCAATGTGAAAGACATGCATGGGACAAAAAAGGTTGAGAATCCCTGCCTTATGATACAAAATCCATTTATGAAATATGCCAAATGTATGAGGAAGTGAATATAGTTGTTGCCAACACCAGTTCTGCATGTAAAGTTATACATAAAAGAATAAAATGTTATGTAAAATATGCAAGAGTAAGTCAATAATTAATTGCTTTGTATTTTTTATTAATTTTAGGAACACTTCCGTATGGTCTTCTGCTACCCATACTGAAGTTATATTGTACTAATTTAAAAGAACTAGTAAGGAAATTTATATCTATTTTTATTTTATCTTATCTTATGTAACAGGAGTTTGAAAAATCTTTTTAGTACAGAGTATTATTAATTTTGCAATTATAAAAATAAAATTACTGTTATTTTATGAATAACTAATACATATTTAAAATGTAAAAATATACACTTCATATTAATGAGATTATGTGGAACTATCTACAATTTAAAAGCTTATTCAATTTTATCAAATAATTGTCTTCAATACTAACACCAGTAACTGTTATTACTATTGTTACATTATTTTCTTCCTTCACGTTCGTACGGAGTTCGTAGATTTGGAGTGAATAACGACGACACTTGATGAAGTATCGAAACACACTTTATTGGGCCAAATATTTAATCAGGACAGCTCCAAAGTCACTTTTACAGTCTTCGAGGATCTACTACAAACAGTCGCTGGAACAATCAGCGACACAGCCTTCAGGCTATCAGCTTCACTGCAAAGCACCCGAGTACAACTCCCAACTCTACTTGGTCATTCTCGGAACTCCACACACTCTCTCGAGACTATTCATGCGATGCACTTGATGAGACACAAGAGTATAGCTCTCAACTCAGCACAGTCTAAGACAAAACTCGATGATGCACTAATTCGCGATGCACACGACGACCATCTCGGCGCTACACTTCGAGACACTCGCTCAATGACTGACCATCAGCTCGCTAGACGAGGCACACACACACCAACTGACTGCGAACCAGCAGGGTCCATACAGCTCTCAGCCCGTGCTCGAGAACACTCTGGGCCAAACTGGCAAGAACTCACCCCGGAAGGCTCTTCATCCATCCATGGAACATTGCCAACCTTGTCGCCAAATGGGTGACCCTCCGCCAAACATGGCAACCCCAAAATTGCTTTGCGGGGAAGCCATCACACCGCGCCTGTACATTTCGTAACACTATTTTACCTGTGCAGCACAAAATTCAAGCTCTGGACTCATCAGGTCTCCAGTGATTCTGAATATTAGATTATCTGTTTAAATCTAGTTAAGATGACGTAAAAATTATAGAACTGTAAATATGAAACTATCAATTATGACTTTGTAAGATAATCAGAATTTTCTATTTTAAAAAAAATCTCAGTATTTATTTTCTTGCTTTATTAAACATTTCTTTCAATTAACTTAGAAGCCAAACAACAAAAATCAGTGTTATATTTTCAACTGCGAAAATTTGAAAATATAACGCTGATTTTTTTTGTTTGTCTTCTAAGTTAATATTTGTTCGGCATGTTATTGTATCTTAATTATTTCTTTCAATGTAAGTTGCTTTAAGTTATGTCACTTTTATGCTAATATTTTCTCTTTAATTCTATAAATAAACATCATTTCACGTTCAGTTACAAAACCACATTGTTCAAGTCCTGTAACTGCTGTATCGAGAATGTCAATCACATTTTTTTTTTTTTGTTGTCAACATCTTTTGTCACTTTCTTTACTATTGGTAGTGATATATTCTGGATTTAGAACCATGCTAAAATTTCACTGTCCATTAATTGTTTGATGATTGGGGCATTATCATTGCAATGAGAAATTTCTGTTATATCATTTGCATTTATTACTTCTCCAGATTTCTTCACAAATTACATTAATTCGAAAATTTTGCCTTTTGTTTGCAATACGAGAAAAACCTTTAAATTTGGGGCTATTGTTGTAAAGCTTAACTAGTGTCCACTATACACTATTGGCAGTATATCATGAGATTAGCGACTACAAATGTGTTCCACTAAATTTTATTAGTTATTTTGTTATACTTACACCTATTTTCCGCACATGCTTAAGGTTTATCTGAATCCCAAGTAAATATATTCCCACGTATACTTAAGGCTTATTCAGGGCCAGTGTTAGGCAATTTGCCGCCTGGTGCAGTTTCTGCAGGTTCTAAATTCTGTTGCCAAATGCCTGCCTAAATGCTAAAAATTTTGCAACCTAGTGCCTTCTTTAAATTCTTCCTCCCCTAGATTCTGCTGGCTGATCTGGCCATACCAGCTGTCACATCAATTCTGGGTTTACATAAATAACAAATCAGTTACTCTAAGTTCAAACAGCACTAAATGTTATCTTTTGGCTTAGAGTATCATTTACAAAAGCTAGTTTTTGCATATGAAAGAAAATTTCTGTTAAGTTCTTGTCAACACAGTCAATGCTTCACAGTGCAGTTAGCTGAAAGTTCAGCAAAATGCTCTTTCAAGTTGAAAATCCTACTGTACGTTCTCGCATATAATTTATATTTTGCTAATATTAATGCCAGTGTGAATTAGCTGATACATTGCAAAGTATGGGGTGTTTTTCTCTCTGTCCATGAAAGTACTTCTGAAATGTCCCTTAGTTGGCTGAGTACTTTGTTGCTTATTTATATTGGCAAATTGGACTTATTATATTTGTACTTTATTATATTTGTACTAAATCCATCTTTTCCCCTTATGACAGTATTTACTTATACTTCATGAGATTTCAGGTTATAAGCTAATGCTACTGTTATATTTCCCAAAATCATTGCCGTTACTTAGTGTATGATTATGAACTAGTATATTAACTAAAGATCTTTTACAAAATTTACATGAACTATCACATACCTTTGTCATTAAAAAAGATGTATTTATGTATGTACATTATGGTATCAATCTGAATTGTAACACAACACCATTATTTTGGAAATTAAAATTTTGGGCACTTTTCTGTTTTGCCGCCGCAAATCTCGCCAAGCAGACTTTATTGGTGACACGATACAGTATACACATAAAAATGTTAACAAATGTTAGTTCTAAGATTTTTTTATTTTGAAGGCATTTTATAAAAAGCCAATAAATTTGTAAAAAGACATTAATTTAAGAATTTACTATACTTTCACGGTTCAACACCTGATTCGCCGGTTCATATCACGTGACCCCAAGTGATCTCATCTCACGTAAACTACGCTACAAAAATCTAATTCTCTCAGTAATTACCAGGTTGTTCAATAAGTCATGGAACGGAAATGAAGAAACCAATTTTTATATGTAAAAATGACTTTATTTTTCAGTGTAGTTTCCCTCAACTTCAATACACTTATTCCAATGGTCTTCTAATTTATGGATCCCTTGACTGTAGTGGTTTTTCGGCAGCTCTGCAAAATATTCCTCCATGGCAGCTATTACCTCTTCGTTTGAAGAAAATAGTTTTCCACAGAGATATTGTTTGAGGTGTGGGAAGAGCCAGAAGTCGGAGGGAGCTAAATCTGGCGAATAGGCTGGATAGTCAAAGCTTTATATAGTCAAAAGTCTTTAATCCGGACTCGTTGGGACTTCGATTCCAGAATATAGATCATCAATTTAAATCTGGTAAGATGGCATGCAAAAATTATAAAATTAAAAATATGAAACCGTAATTTATGAAACAAAGAGCAATTATGATCTAAAAGGTATCAAAATTTACAAAAAAAAAAAAAAAAAAAAAAAAAAAAAGCTTAATATTTATTTGTTTACTTTGTTAAACATTTCTTTCAATGCGTGCATGCGTAAAGCATACATTATGCATAGTTGAAATTAGAAAATTGCAAGCAGAAAACTATTTGATGTGTATTCGTGATATTTATAATGATGAGGAATTTGATTTAAATCATATCAAAGAGAGTACATCGAGATGAAATACTACATTTAGTAAGGAATTATAAGCCGAATAAAATAAAAACATCTGCCCTGAAGATGAGGATAGTGCTGACAGATCAACTTCCAGTTCATTGCGCACCGCGACGCCCCCCCCCAAGACAAGCGTGAAATTGATAAACAGATTTCGGAATGGTTAGAAAAACAAAGGATATGCCTTTATCCATTTTTCGCAACAATTCCACTTTTTGTTTGATGGATATCAAAGCAATTCCACTTTGTTTGATGGAAACATGCTTTCGCTTTGTAGATCCTTTGGCAGCTCCAAAATCGGAAATTCTTTTTGACATAAGTGAAAGTTCAAGCTTACTTTTATAAAATTGCTCTAACAGACTGCAAAAAATAATAAGCTGGATCCAATTCGAAAATTAATGAACAATGCAATCTGCAACATTAACTGAAATAGATAATTAGATAATTTTAGCTTAGCTTATACCATCCATTATACGTGCATGCGTAAATGTATTATGCACATGCGTAAAGGTATCATATGCATGCGTAAACGCATCTGTGCATTATGCGTTTACGCATGCACAGAAAGTTTGTAGCTTTGAGGTCCGGATTAAAGACTTTTGACTGTATATTATGCTGTACTTAGGAAACTGCAATATATTTAATTTTTCATTTTCTTTGACACATTTTAATGTTATTCATGAATATGTATATTATTATAAAATGTGTATGTTATTTTCCTCCAGATGAATGCCACTGCTGCAGATTTCTTTCATGCAATTCCAGAAGAAAATCTTGATTTTCTGTCTGTTGTCATGGAAAAATACGGAACCCTTGTTTTCATAATTTGTATCACTACAGTTGGAACTGTAATTCTTCTTCTGTGTATCATAGTATATCACAGAAGGAAAACTCGACAGTCTGCTCATTATCTCACAAATGTAAGTATTTTATTAACTGATTTTTCATATATATATACATTGTTTACTTTCATTGACATATTGTTCTCATATCTGGTGCTCACTCACTGAATACTGAAAGTTCATCCTGAGCTTGAATCCAGGCAAATGGTCTGCGTGGCTAATTGTTTTTTTGGCTTTTCCTTTGTGTAACATTAGTATGAGCTGGTTTCCTTTTGAAAGTCTTTCATGAAGATACCGTTTCCCCAAGAGGAATAGTTCTTATGAACTTTGTCATTTTCAAGTAATCGAATCTTATCTATTCCATATCTCATATTTATGTATTAACACAACCACCAATCACCATACATTCAGAATATACTAAACTTTGGCAACCATGCATATAGCACATCTTCATTTTAACAAGCAATATTATGATTTTCTTACTTTTTAGCCTAAAGCTGTTAATTCAAAATGGCATTTTGCATGGATTCACTTTTCAAACTGTTGCCACCAAATATTATTGCCATATACCCTGAAGTGGCACTGAATTAGGGATAGACATGACTATTCAAATTTTAGAGCACTGTGCTGCAGCTTCCTTACATGAAGGCAGTATGGTAACTGCATATATAGCTAGTACTGTGGTTGTTATTAATCAGTCGTTTCAATTGCCAGTATGGGTAAAATTTCTGATTTAGACACTTTCGATCACGTACAGGTACTAGACACTTGACGCATGGGCCATTCAATTTCTGAAATCGCCAGAATGCTAGGACTTTCAAGGTCGACAGTGTCAAGAGTATACCGAGAAACACAGATGGTGGGGGAAAAACTAGCGAACAAGCAAATTGCAAAGGACAATTAGCCTTGAACAAGTGGGATGTGATAGCCAGCGAAGCCAAATATTAGTTTAAATTACCATCCAGCTGAATCAGGGCACCAGTTATATAGTCAGTAAATTAATCGTGCAATGCTTGCTTCACCATATGAGCTTTAGGAGCCATAGACCCACAAGAGTACCATTGCTCAATGCATGCCATTGAGCTGCACATCTTGCTTGGGCAGACGAGAACACGGAGAATGAACTCTCAAGGACTGGAAACAAGTAGCATGAAGTGAGGAGTCTAGGTTCTGTCTACTTAACATCGACGGGAGGCTGAGAATATGGGGTCATGCTCTTGGATCCTCCATCTTAGATTGGAACTATACAAGGCCATGCCAGCTCTATCAGGGTCTGGGGTGTTCTCTCTTAGCAGTATGTGATATCTTTGGTACATGTACCAACCTCCCTCAATATGATTCGGTACATAGAATTGCCGGGAAATCATCTCCATCCATTTATGTTATCCTGTCATTTACATGGAAATTTAGTATTCTAGCAAGAAAACTGCACCTCTCACAGGTCCCGTTTGGCTACTGCCTGATTGGATGAGCATTCTCTGACTTCCCTGCCATGAATTGGCTACCTAGAAGCCCTGACTTAAACCTTACAGCACACCTTTTGAATGCTTTGGAGAAAAATGTAAGGTGTTCACTTCGCACAACACTAGAGATGCTTCCTGAAATATGGACAGTTCTATTCGATGTTTGGCAAGCCATTCCTGCAGAATGTTTCTGCAAACTTATTGAATCTATGCCTCATTGTGTGGCAGCCATTATCGAGGCCAGAGGAGCTACAACTCATTATTGACTTGCTGTCCCTAATTCAGTATTATATTTAGAGCAATTAAATAATGAAGAATCTGCATGAATGTTTTTCACATTGTAAAAAAAAAAAATGGTACCTAGAACCATCAAATTTTAAATAATGCAATCTTCCAACCGAACATGGGCACACAGAAGCCCGAATTTGTTTTATTATCTATCTGAAATTTTGTAAAATTTTAACGAATTTTTTATTAACAAACTCAATGATTTCAAAGCGAGCAATGGCAACACGGTATGAACAAAAACATTTTTATCTCCAGTGGACAGGAATTTGTGTCAGAAATTTTAAAGATATGCTGTTTTTAAATATTTTGTGATATTGGTGTTGAATTTAATTTTATGTGCTTTAAGTGCGAAGAACACGATATTTAATAAATAAGAGTAACAAAAAATGTTAAAAAAATGCCCAATTCAGATTTTCTTTCTTTCTCTTTTTTTAAGCCCAAAATGGCAATTTTGCCCAAGAGGGCTATTAATTTCCTTTGGCATTTTGTGTTGATTCACTATAAATGAAGCTTCACTTTTTAAATTGCTGCCACCGAATATTATCGCCCTGTATTAAAGAAATTAAATAATGGAGAATCTGCATCAATGTATGTGTGTTTCTTGCATTGATAAAACAGCGGTATCTAGAGCTATCAAATTTTGAATAACAGACATCTCCACCTGAATATGGGTATCTGGAAGCCCTAATTTTGAATTTGTTCTATCATCAATTTTATTAACGAATTTTTTATTAACAAACTCGACGATTTCAAAGTGAGCAACGGCAACACAATAAAAAAAAAAAAAAAAAATCTCTACCGTGCGGGACTGTGTATGGGAAATTCTAAAGATATGCTCATTTTAAAAATAATTTTGCAATATTGCTGTTGAATTGAATTTTATGGTTTAAATGTGAAGAACATGATATTTAATAAATAAAGGTAACACACAAAACGTTAAATAAATGGGTAATATAAAAATTTGAATGCTTTCAGGTTTTTTGGTCCCTCCATCTTTTTTTTTTATGGCGGTATTTCAAGTTTGTATGGTTTTTATGGATTAATCATCAATATTGTTTGTCTTGAACTAAATTTAACAAAGAAGAACAAAAGAAATGTAAACCCACTTCTAAATACATTTGTAGATTTGTTTGGATAAATATTTTATTAAAACATTAAACATCATATCTTTTGTAATGCTGTTCTGAATATGATTATTTTCTCAATTTGTAAATGTCTTGAAGATTAAAACAATCAAACATTTATAAAATTACAACACTTTTAAGAGACAATGAAAAATAATAAATTACAGTGTGAGTTATACAGTTATATCTATTATAATTCATGCATAGTAATTCTTAATGACGTTTAATTAGAAGAGGATTTTATATAGCCCATGATTTTAGACCAGATTTTAAAAAAATACAAAAATTAATTTTTTCATACTTTGAAACAATTAAATTTTAAGTTTGCAATGCTTTAATTAAAACTGAGTTAATTCATTAATAAATTGTATGATTTGACATGAAACATCTGTTTTGTATGAGTGATTTGCTATTTTAGGATTTTCAAGAGTACACTTACTAATACAAATACAAATAATGAAAAAATGCAAAAAATAGAAAGAATAGAATGCAACTTACAGCTTTAAATTAGAATTCATCAAAAGATATATGATTCTGGCTTGGAAATCTGTTGTGACTAACTGTTGTTATTTGACAAATTCAGTACTCACCATTTATTAAAATTACTTCCATTCCAAGGAATGTTGAGTTTGTTAAGCAGCTGACTTTAATAAATGGCAGTTTCAATATTGTAAATTAAGGTATAAATTTTGATCTTATTTAGTAAGATAGTAAGTACAATTAATCTAGTAATTAATACCTAAATTATTAATTGAAATTTAACACCATCACAAAACTTTTAAATTAAAATTTTATTTAATTTTTTGTAAAAAAATTTTATGATTGACCTGATAAATTTTAACTTTTACAATGAACTGCTCTATTCGTATTTTTTTCACACTGTTTGAGAAAATAGTGTGAAGCAGTCTTTCAGGTGTATTTTCATGTTAAACTGTCGATACCTTTTCTGAACTCCATCTTTCAATTCAAGAACTCATCTTCATCATCTCAGATTTCTTGAGTTTTGCAGTGCTTTTCTCAGTTCAGCTGAGGTTGGCATATAGTCACCGTCTTCCATATCACTTTCACTGTCAGTTTCTGCAGCTCTTTTAATGCTTTCTATAATATTGCAGTCAGTGTTTCCACATGCTGAGAGTTACAGTTATCCAACAGTAAAGCATTTTTTTCTCCAATTCTCTGTCCCATTTCAAAAAGGAAATCGGCAAAAATACTGCTAGTTATCTATAAGTTCTTGTTTTTATGGTAAGCAAAGGTAAATTCCTGATTCCTATTAAACATTAAGGCTTTCTACTCTCCACTAACCACTAGCTTCTTTTTAAATGTTGCATCCATCTTGCACATTAATAACATAGTAACTTGTTCTTTTAATTTCTTAAAACCAGCTGCTCTTTCACACCAAATGAATGTGAAAATTTAGTTCTTCAGTGCCAATATGAGTTTCTTGCTATCTTGAAAGCTAAAGGTTAACTAAATATTAGATGTATCACTATTTCTATCTTTAATTGACTTTATGTTGCAATATATGCCACTAACAATAAATAAAATATATTTATTTGATCACAAATATTGTGCATTTAAAGTTTATGCTTATATTAATCATCAGAAACATATATTACAGAGCATAACATTATGTAAATAATTGTTTCTCTTTTAATGAGTTCCCCCCTCCCCCTCAGAATAAATTACACCACAATATACAAGAAGCAGTGGGTATTGATCTCAATCCTGCAGTCCTTATTTTGCAAGATGAAGTAAGAGAAAAATCAGCATTGAATGGAAATAAGATCTGCAGTCTAGAAGATGACGAAGGTTGGCTGGCCCCTTATGGAGATGTGCCTATCGCTGAAGATATTCAGGCTCCTGTTGTCCAAGACACTAAACTCTAACACAAGAAACATTTCCCACTTTGGTTAGCCAAATTCAAAAACTCTTGAATGCCAAAAGTAGATTGTTCTGTGTAGTGGAATGTACATATTTTGTGGAAACTGTTTGTATCATGTACTAAATTTTTCTTGCCAAACGATTTTCTGTTTTTCTTAAAGGTAAATGTAATTACTCAATATTTGTATAATTGTTAATAAAAAACTTAAAAAATCATTGAAGAAAAATATAGAGGGAAAATATGTTGTGCAATGTTACTTTTCCTAACGTAATTATAATTCTTTTGCACTTGTTTATGAAAGTAAAAGAGTTAATTTACATACATATAAAATTTATATAATATATATTACATATATTATAAATAATACATTTGTATCTTCAAATGACTCTACTAGTAAGCTGTATCTCTGGATTGTAAATTCCATTTCAAGAGTCCTTTCCAAGATGCGGTTAATTTTTTTACAATTCTAAAAAATACAACATACAGCATGATGGAAGTTACTCTTTGCCATTAAGATCGAATTTAATAGTAAGAATCATTTGTTTCCTCAGTACACTGATGATTTAACAGCTGTTATATAATATATATGAGAACTATGTTATCTATATGTTATCAACATATACATACTATATCCAGAAAATTATTTGTAAAATACATCATTGTTTTTTTACAGTAGAATTTTGACAGTATGCAAACCTGCATTCAACATAACATTATAAACAAAGAAAATGCCAATTTTTCATACAAGATATTTGGATTGAAGAAACAAATCATTATTGAAATTATTTACTATTTTCTGCATCCGTATCAGGATTCGTTTTACATTATAAACATTGATTGTGAACCTCAGAAATTAAAAAAAAAAATTTTTAGATATATTCCATTGTCTTTAAATTAAATTTTAAACCTATGTGGATAATTAATCTTAAAATTATTTGGCATATACAAATATTTTATTTTATAACTTTTCAGATGTTGTGTTCAAACTTAATTTTATAGTCACTTTGCTTGCTTATTGCATGAAACATGAACAATGTTGATGATGAATAGAGAGATTCTTGAAAACTCTTAAAAAATTTTTCTGGCATTAAAAGCAAGAAAACATGGTAAAGAAAATAGGACTAAAAAGATTAAAGAAATTTTCTTTTAGTTAATCCAAAATTTCAAATCCAGCATATTTTGAAAGATTATTAATCTAAATCCACATGCATGGAATATAATGATAGAATTAAGGATTCAAGTCGAGGAAATCTTAATTGCTACGAGTTTGGTAAACAGTGTTTTTACTTACCTTTTCTATCATTTAAAAGCATACAAATTACTAATATGAAAGCAACTTTGTTGGTAGATGTAAAATTACATATACAGGTTTTTTATATTTATTATTGTCATAAAAAATAGTAAGAAAAACAGTGAATCCACAAAATTCTCTATTCTGCACAACCACTGTTCCCAAGATATGTGAATTATCAGAATTCTATTGTATATCTATTGTATTATCAGAATTCTATTGCATCATTATTAAGGCATTTCTTATTTTCTTATAAGAAAATGCTCATGATGAAGACTATGCCTTAATTCCTTTTCTTGTTTTGTCCTGGTTAAGAAAAGTTATCCAAGTTACTCTTTTGCCACTAAAGTTTAATTTAACAGGTAAGAATTATTTGTTCTCTCGCTAACAGTTGTGATATAATATATTTTGCCATATTTGCCACAAAATATAATCTATGATACAGAAAAAGTTATCCAAGTTACTCTTTTGACCATTAAGATTTAATAGTTAAGAATTTTTTGTTCTTTTGGTACACTAACGGTTTAACAGCTGCGATATAATATATTTTGCCATATTTTCAACAAGAAATATTCTGCAATACAGGGAAAGTTAAAAAAAGTTATCCAAGTTGCTTTTTTTGCCATTAAGATTTAATTTAATAGGTAGGAATTATTTGTTCTCTCAGTACACTGATGCTTTAACAGCCATGATATATATTTTATTAAAGTTACCACAAGAAATATTCTGCTATGCAAGAAGACATGAAAATCATATGATCAAGGCTGTATGGAGAACAGTCAGTTTTTTCATAGCAAAAATCTTGATGATCTCTTGCTTTTGGCAGTAAAGTGCAGCTTTTACTGCCAAAAATAGATATGCAGGAAAGGTGATAAAATTTGTATTTATCCTTTCTCATGAGCTTATTTTATGACAACTTGCATTAAATCATCATTGATCATTAAGTCGTACACATTTTCTTATTGATTTTTTAAAGCACATTTGTTATTAACATAATGAAATATTAAGGTGATACATTAATGCAAAGTAGTTAATCACTTTAATACTTCATATTTTTCTGTATACATTTCAGTAAGCTGTTTATGAATGTGTCCTAGTAAACTTGCATATTCCTTGAATTTAAGAATCGATAAGGAAATCAGTTTTTCAGAATGACTAAGCAAGACAGATGCATCACAATCTAGTTGAATGGTTTCAAATTGGCAGCACCTGAAGCAACATTATGTAGTCCCCGAATATATTTTAATAAAGTATTTGTTGTAATTCAGAAGTCAAACAACAAAAATCAGCGTTATATTTACAAAATTTTCACAGGGACTAGTTCTGGTTTCACCAACAGATGGCGCCACTTGCTTATTCTTGTCCAGGCTTTCTTATCTTATCTAATCATTATTTCCTATCTGGTTCATTTGCAGTTTTGCAGCTGAAGATGGTGGTTCGGTAAAACCATTGAAACTAGTCCTGTGAAAATTTTGTAAATATAACGCTGATTTTTGTTGTTTGACTTCTGAATTAGTATTTATTCGGCGTGTTATTGTGTCTTAATTATTTGTTGTAAGTATGGTGCAAAATAGAAACTGAAAGCAAGTACAGAAAATTATTTTGCATAATGAAGTGAGGTACTTATATCAATGAGCTGCATTAAAACAGTTTTTTTTAATAAGTCAACAACATGCAATTGTGGAACAAACAACTTGAATCAAAATATTTCATATACTTCCTGCATCTTAAGTCTCACCATATTATTTCAGATGAAAAAGTCTCAAAAATATGCATGAAAAATAGCATTATTATGACAAAAATTTTAAGAAAGATGTTTTGATTTTATTAGTTTGTTCACATTACTTTCATTACCGTTAAAATAAACATGAATAATGCACCAGAAAATATACAAATAGAGCTAATAAATTTACCAGTGTGTTAACAAAATGTGTTCAAGAATTTGAAAATACAGATTTAATTAATTTAAATTCATACTAAGAAAAATATGCTCTGAGTTACAAATTTTTGCAATTAAATTGCTTTGTTAAGGAGTACGTTTAAATGCAAACAGTATTTTTCACAGCTGAAAAACGGCTAAGAAAACTGATTGATTGATGAACAGCTGTCATCCATGGAGAAGATAGTTTCCAGTAATTTTTCTCAAAGTCAACAAAACATTATCAGAACTGAAATGCCATCACTGTCAAGTTGTAGTATGAAGTAAAGACGTTTATAATTGTTTACATATAGATATATGTATTTTTTCTGCATATGCCAAAGAAAAATTTAACAAGAAAGAGGGTTAACATTATTTGTTTTCACTTCAAATGTTTTCAGTAAAAATGTGGAAAGTTTTTCATAAAATTTTTTTATTTTTATTTCAGCCATTTAGATATTAACTAAACATGTTAGAATTATTTGAAATTTATGATGTCAGTCTGAAAATTTAACATTTAGCTCTCAATACATTTGAATTGGAAAATGTAACCAAGAGATATTTTCCAGAAATGTAACCAAGCAATATAGACAGAAGATATAAATTTGATGTTTTTTCTTTGAGTTATTATTGTTTATTATGTTTTGATAAATATCTGTATGGGATTATGCACCTAAAGAAAATGGACAAAAAATTTAACCTAGGGAAAGAATCTCATTATTTTAGCCATTGAACGAAGAAAAAAATTATATGGTTGAGAAATTAAAAATTAAGTACAGAGGAAATTATTGTAGAAAATAAAATTAAATATTATTGAAATAAATTTTCAACTGAGCCATGTTCAAGGCTAATTAAATTTTAGAAATATAATTTCCATGATAAACGCAACACACCACACATTGGCATAGCATCAGGCTGTAAAAAGGTGATATTCGTAATCAGGGGTATATACAGTGCAATGTATGTACTTATTTTGTTTAAAACTTTTTATAAATTCATCCCGTGTATCTGGACTTCAGTATTAAAGTGGGCAATGCAGAATTTGCCGAATGTTAGAAAATATTCTGGTAGTTTTCAAAAATTGGAAAATTACAATATTGGAATATAAAGAATAACATTTATTTAACAATTAGTAATATTTATTTACATTTGTGATGGCCATTATTGGACAATTGCTGCTTATAATACAATGGAATATTTTGTCTTGTCCTTCATACTTCTGCCACATAAATTCCATTAAAAATGAATCCAAGTGTTGACGAGCCATTCTTGTTCGTCTTTTATTTCTACATAACTGCAGCCCAGAGTTATATGACTTTCTAGATATTTGAACCAGATGTTGGATATACACAACTGTGTTTACGATTCACTGTGAAATGTTGAAAACTGGCCTTTACAAGTTGCTTGCTCTGATAAGTGCATCAGATATATATTGATATTTAACTGTTTGTTACCCCATTTCACAGAAAATAGGTTTTGAGCCTAACAATTTATGAAGCAAAAAGTAGTGAGAAAATGAATCCTGGATCTATGAAACCAGTTATTGGCTGGAAGACCTTTTTTCTTCCCTGCAAATTTTGATATTACATTTCCAAAACTTTGCTTATCTATAAATAATTTCATTTGATAGCCATTTTAAACTTTGCTCAGTGTGCAAAATTCCATTCTCTTGGAAGAAAACCACTGCTCTTTTTAAAGTTGAAGGTAAGTCAACATTTAAGAGGAAAAATTAGTAATGGAAAATATGAAAAAATGAACAGTATCATAAAGAACCTGATGTTTATTTTCAGACTGATAGAAAGTTAAAAATTACCAACATTTTAAAGAGAAAACAAGTAACTGTAGAATTACATGTTGTCAAAAGTGAGCTTGAGAGGGAAAAAAAAAAAAAAAAAAAAAACTGGCATCATTATAAATATGCCAAAAAAATTCTGCTTCTCTTCTAATTATTTATAAATCAAAGTGCTCTTATTTTAGAGGAAAAGAGAAATACTGAATTGTTGATAACATGTGAATAACAATTATAATCAAAACAACTTAAACATCAAATCTATTGCAGATTAAAAATGTTATCAAATTTGGTGACTGACCAATATGGTCACTTTAATCCTGAAGTACCAGAACATTCTTTTTTACATTCAGCCCATTAGCTGCTTTCAGATCATGTAATTGGCCTGCATGATTTGCCTCCTGAATTTGAGACCACTGTTGTAGCTCATTTATCTCAGAATCTTATGTTCAGTTAAACATAGCTCTTCCCACTCCCCACAATGAAACTTGAAAGTTATGAAAATAAACATGATGATTAACATTGAGTTTGAAGCAGTTTGCTTTAGATTTCAAAATCCTTTAAGCTGTTAAACTATGACATTTTAATATTTTCTTTTGTTAGGATATGATCTTCAGAATACTTAGTTTTGTTGTTAAAATGTTCATCCCTCTTCAAAAGCTTCAAATAAAGGGGAATATGATTGGCTGCTTTCACTTTTTATACCATTTTGATGAAAGGAAGTCATAAAAAGAGCAAAAGAAGGCATCAGTATGTTTTCAAAAATATAAAAAAGTATGTAGACAAGGAAAACTAATATTTTGTGCCATAAAATTTAAGGTCCTGGATATAATTTTAGCAAATTTGAGGCATGTTTATTTTCTGAACACAATATAATAAACAAAGCTCAATAAGTCAACCATATCAGACATTATCTTCTTATAAATGTCTAGAAATTCTCCAATCTGTGATATTAAGTAAATAAAACAAAATTACCAGTCTTCAGATTGAAATAATGTATACTACATACATTTTTAATATTACTGATTTTTGATTAGAGTTGAATGTTTAAAGCTCATAACATCTAGGTCAGTATTCAAGATATGTTGTAGCAATCTAATACAATTCCTTAATTTAAAGAAAATTAAGTGTATTTTTTTTTCTGTTTTGAAATTTCAGATAAATATGATAAGCCTTCAATAAAAACTGAGCCCCATATGATATTTGAGACAGAATATTTACAAGGGAAAACTGAAGTATACGAAACCTGATTTACTAGGAGTGAAAGGTTGATATCCCTGATCAAAATTGAGGACATCTAGATCACTAGCACCCCCTCCTTTTTTTTAGAATTTTTTTATGCTTGCACATTTGATATTTTTTCATAATAAAATGTAGAAGCCCCACTTCTTAATTTTACTTCAGCACTGACACCAACCTTGTGAATCATTATTTATTATTTTTTTCTTTTATCATTGCATGACTATCAGCATACTGCAGATTGAGAAATGACTTACACAGCAGCGCCTAAACAAGTTATTATTTTTGTTATTTCTACTATTAGTAGTTGAAATCTAAAAAGCATAGTAACATTTATCTTGAAATTACACTTGGCAATGATTACAGACTTCAACTAACTCCACTCTGAATTGCTGAGTGTATTGATGAGGAGAAATTTAGCAAAAATTGATTTTGCAAATGATACTCATAAGTCGAAAGATTGCATTTATTATTGTTTCAGTTGAGAATTTAATTTGCTATTCATTTAAACCCAGGATCCATACCAGAATTTAGAAGCAAAATTTTTAGAATTTAGAGGAGTAACAAAACAAACTAAACGATGACAAATCTTAAGAATTACGGGAAGGCACTGGGATGCAAAATTTTTAGACTTTAGTGAGGCAGTTGTTAGCACAGACTGCACCAAGCCACAAAATGGGTAGCGCTAGCCTTGGATAAGCTTTATGTAAAATACAACTTATATTGTACATATGGGAATTTATTCAGGACTTAAAAGCCCTTAGCATGTGTGGGAAATAGTCATAAATATAGTAAATGACTAAACTAAAGTAAGTCTTCATCAATATTAATATAAACGAGAAAAAATTTAGCAGGACAACATATCTTTAATCACCAGTCTCATGATGCATTGGAGGTTCAAATCCTGTGATAGGGTTGGCTGCATGGGCATTTTTGTGGTTTCCCCATGTCTAACATGTATATGAGCCACTTTCCCTTAGAAAGTCCTCCACGAAGGAATCCCTTCCCTTAGTCAGATAGCTCTCGAAGCTCTGCCGTAATCTCATAAAACCAAAACCATGATGCATTGCAATTATATAATATTGTATAGCAGGTACTAGTCAAGGTTTTCAGGCATTGCAAACAATAGTGAAGATATATCAGATATTGAAGAAAACGATAGGAAGTTTGCTGAGAACCAAAAATTTTCTATTGCCGATTTAGTGGGAATTTTCAAAGCGGCAGTTACAATAGAACTTTGTAACTGGATAAAAAATCATGTCTATCTGTAAACTTAGAAGTATTAGCACAAGAAACGAATCAAATCAAATAAATTGAAAGAAATGTTTAATAAAATATAATATTGAAGGTTTTTCCTTCCTCTTTTATAAATTTTGATTTCCAAAAGGTCATAAATGCTTCATTATTTCATAAATCACTATGTCAAATTTTTAATTTTGTAATTTCTACATGTCATCTTACTAGGTTTAAACTGATTACCTATTATCCAGAAAAATCCCAAATCCAGAATTTCTGAAGTCGTGATGCATTGGGTCAGCTACCTGTTATTGACATTTTTTTTTTTTTTTCATTATTATTATTTGTTGCAGACAGATCATAAAATCGTTAGATTAACAATATGAAAGTGTTAATGCAGCAGTATACGTGTTAAAGGAAGTATCCTGTGCACTGGTGAGAGATAATATGACTATTTATTCTCAGATATTTTCACATTTGAGAGAATTTTATTATGATTAATAAACATTTTTATCATAGCAATTTTATGTTTCATTATTATGAGCCCTTGCATTGGCAAATAACAAAGTATTAACCAATATACAAATTGTAATACTTAGTTTAAGATTTTTCTCAAGACTTATTTATGACGGTTGGGCATGCTTCTATGCAATATAAATACAGTTTATTAAGACAACTGAAAATATAAGGGAAATGTCAATAAAAAATTTTTACTCTTTAAAAATGTATATAAAGTGCAGTAAGATGTAATATGATTTATCTGTGTTAATATTATGTAACCAAAAGTATAGGATTCATTAAAGTAATGCTTTTTATAACTTCTTAAAATATTATAATGTGCAATTTCTATTATTTACATTACCTTGATGTTGTATTAAATTGTGTAAAATACTCAGTTGAAGGTACATTTGTATTAAGAACTTTGTTAATGTATTCTTGCTGACATTTTTGTTGTTGGGCAAGCTGTTTGTTTTCGAGTGCCAGTGTTTTATTGATTTCTGACTTCTCCCTTTTTTCATTTTCATCATTCACTAGTAAAATATTTTCTTGATTTTTAATACACTCAGCCCATTTACTAGCTTCATGTAATTCTTGTTGCTTCATTTGCTGAAAATGAAGAGAGATAAAATAATTATTATGTATCTAATGTATTAGAAAAACTGAAATTATTGCTATGTTATAATACCTAACAATAAGAGCCTAATTTAAAAATTACTCATATTATAAACATCTATAAACTATGCAAAAGCAAAACTATGAATAGATTTATAGGAAAAAAATCTTTAATTCTTTTTTTCTAACTAATTAAAAACAAACATAGCACAGAATTCAAAATTAAAACATACTATTAACGAAAAGAATTATTTTTTAACCCTGCTGTAACTTATTAATGAAAACAATCTGAGGTTTAAAAAAGAGGAGCTAAACAACAGTTTAGCTTGAATATTTGCATACTATACACCTCCATAAAAAGAAAATTATTATTCTCATTTAAATAGTTTTAATATTTAATATAATAATTTATTCATTGCCTTAAAAAATGAGCTTACTGAATATTCCTTAGTTTTGGAATTATTTTATCATCCCTTTGGATTTTAAATACAAGAAAATTACCTGTATACAATCAACTGTGCTGATTGCTGATATTCTGTTCTGCAGTGTAAAAAATAGATCTAAACTAAACTTCAAAATATATTAACATTGCCTCAAGACAGCAAACAACATTTCATTTCTTAAACATTAAGTATAGGTAAAAAAATTAAGCAAATTCTGAGGATTTTCTTTACTTATTTTCTGTTTTAAATATCAAGTGCAGCTTGAAATTACTATGCAAATTCTGAAGATTAACAATAATTCATAAAATGCATGCCTGTGAAAACAAAATCATATTTTTCATCATTAGTTTTTATTGTTGATATATTTGTTGACATCCTAAAATTCCTATCTGCATTCCTAAAAATGGATGAAAAAGAACTAATTTTAAAATTCAAAATATTCTTAAAGTGCTAGTAATAGTTTTTAAACATAAAGTGCAACTTTAAAAAAAATCTAAGTAAACTTTGAGCATTAAATTTGGAAGAGAAATACAGCAATTTAAAATTTAAAGTTATTAGATTGGGGAAGATTGCGAATAAAATTCTATTTCAAATCGAATCTGATATACATTAAAAAAAAGTTCCCCGACATATGAACCCCTAGTGGCCTATCCACTCAACCAATCAAAATGAAATTTCAGATAATGTTATTTGATAGTATGCGTTCAAGATTGTGATGATTTAAAGCAATATAGCACTCACGGTTATGGTTGCAGTGAAAAGTTTCAAAATTTTTTAATCGCAACAACCACTTTTTTTCCTGTGCAAATTCATCAGTGCATCATAAATGGTATTGGGACAATGCATGTGTAATGAAAATTGCTCGCATAAAACATTTGCAAGAAGAGTATTGTAAAAGACTAGTGACAACACCAAGAGAGGAGAGGGGGAAAACTTTTATGGGAATTATAAGTTTTCAATGTGTGCAATGTTTTAAAATAGAGTCACCTCTCATAACTTTGCAATTTTCCTGACCTCTTTCCGATCTCCTGACCTCTTTCTGATGGATTTCTGTTCTGGGGGTATCTGAAATCTAGGGCAAACCAAATCAACGAGATTTGTCAGAATTAAAAGATGCCATAAAACATGAAGTTTTATGGTATCTTATGGCATAAAGATTCCATAAAATGTGAAGTTAGTGTAAGATGCCAATCTTATAGCATACAGATTCCTCCTGTGATGTTATGTTGTCATTATTGTCAGCAATCTCTCGCATGCAATGCATTATTGTTTGCAAAGAGTTCACATTGAAAACTTGTAATTCCAGGGGGTTCATATATGAGGAAATTTTTTTATGACCACCCTGTACATCTTTTTTCCAGAGAAAATAAAAAATGTTTAAAGTTAAATCCAACACAAGATGAGAAACTTGTGTTGAATTGCCCTCAGAAATTATAAAATTTTATTTCAGATATCTGCTAACTGACAGTTGCTTTTTTACCTAAATTTAAGCATTATAAAAAATTGAACTGATATTCATGAGAAAAATAGATTGTGAAATGCATGTGAATATAGATTGTCATCATAAATTTCATCATAACTCAGCAATTTTATCAGCTTATTCACAGAATGAAATTTAATTCTATTTAAACATTTAGTTGCAATAAAAGATTATAACAAAATTAAAATTAATTACCTTCTTGTCAAGAATTTGCTGCACTTGACCTGAAATATATTCTTGCACTTGTTGTTTACTCATTCCTTTCCATCTGTCTGTTACTACACGATGTGGTCCAAATGAACTTTTTGCTACTAATGGGTTTTCTGTTAGCAAATCTCCATAAAAGTTTGTCTCAATGTCTTTCCTATTTTCAATTTCTTCTTCCATCTTTTGTTGCATATTTCTTTCTATGGTTGATAAAGCCTAAAATTAAACATGATAAATTTCATTATCACTTCGTTTGAGTGAAGTAATATATGTGGAACATTACCACACATATTACTTCACTCAAACGTATGTCAGTGTAATTTAATCTTTCACCGTAAAACAACTGTCTTTTAAATTGTTTCCATTTTTTGTTATTTTATCAAAATTTAATACAATATTCCATTGCGAAAACATCATTGAACAAGAATTAGGAACTCAGTTGTCATTAAATACTTATTCAGAGAACATTCATTTGTAAATTTTCTGACTTTATTTTGTCATGAATTGAATCTGCTCATCCCACTGAAATATGTGTAAGCACATTGAAAATAAAAATTTATTAAAAAAAATTTGCATGCAATTCTGTATGCAAGATACAATATATCAAGATGAAAATAAAATATATAGGCTAAACATACTTTTAAAAAGAAGCTAATTAAGAAAAGCATAACACAGCTATCTAGCTATGACACAACAGCTTTAGACAGAATTTCCTCTTTTTCTGTAATCAGCTTGCTAAATTTTTCAGAATTCAACAATTTAAGGGATCTTAATATATAAATTTATTTACATTATAATTTTTCAGATGTATTATAAAAAGTTCTTCATAAAGAAATTTGAAATTTACCAATGAAATTACAAAATAATTATTTAGTATAAACATCATCGAGCATTTTTGCACTGACAAGAATATTTGCATTCATATATTTTAATTAGAGCTTAATGCAATGAATGGAATTAAAATGCCTGTATCATAAAGATCAACATAATACAAAATTTTTATATATAGGATAATTCTAAAATATCTGGCAAAAATACAAAGGTAGGTAAAAGAGACTGAAGTAAGTGCAGTCATGTAGAGAAGGTAAGAACAAAAGTAAGAAACACAACTGAAAACAAATACTTTAATGACCGAATATTAAACAATAGGCAATCAAAAGAGCAACCACCAACAGTGATGCAATGTCCATAATGATGGCACGTGGACTGGTGTACATTTTTTGGCAAATTTTTCTCATCATTTCACCCACATTTCCAGCAAAAACAACAGTCTGAAAACTACTCTTGAGATCAGAATAAGATTTTTGTAAATCGTGATCACATTAAGCATAATGTGTCATCTGAAGAAGAAATCCATGCATATAAAAAATCTAATGATAGATGTGACCAAGTGATATGTCTACTACATTTGACCCAGTGGAGGGCTGCAAATAACATCAAGCTGATTTCTTAATATTACTGTCGAAATTTGCTGATGCTCCATAATGCTGGAACCACATTATGTATGTGAACAATACCAAAAAGAAAATCCGGCAGGATATACTGCATTAAGATAACGATATACATGCCCAAATATTAATGGAAAATCTCCTGGTAGTCATGTGATATCACACACTCAGTGATGAAAGCTGTGGGTGTTAAACATACCTGAATGAGCAAATATAATGCATCAGTGAATAAGATTTACAAAGGGAGCCAGGATTTGCAGAGCCTGTTGTAGAGAGTGAGAAAAATGTGCATGCAAAAGATAATCATTCAGATTAAATACCTGAACTCTCCTTCACATTGAAAACTCTCCAAATGGTCAAGTGGCTTCACCCAATGTCCAACAGTTCTCATACTTTTAATAAAATTATCCTCAAACATGTGTATTATAGTGTACTCTACTTTAGAAGTTTTGCAATAGCTACCTCTTCTTACATCATACCTGCAAACATGGAGCAGTCCACTATTATACAGCCCCTGGTTAATACATACAGTTGTTTGATATTCTGACAGCTGTGTAATCAAAAATCTTTCTCTGTGCATCCTTCAAGTAGTTGCTCCATCTGCAGTTCCACAAACAAAATAATGTTGCTGAACATCATGTTCATATAATAATGCATATTGTTTGAAATCTATGTGCAGAATGATGATTTATATGAGTTTACAGATTTCAATAGAGTGCTGTATCACCCCAATGTGCCACTTTCACATACACATTCTATCACACAATCTGCTGATTTCAGACACCTTCTATCTGGCTTTAGACTTTTGTTTCATTATAGATAAAAAAAAAATTCTAGGTTTAAAAACTACTTTAATGTTTTGGGTAAGACTGAGTTTTGGATCAACTTTATTTTAATAGAGTAATACAGTAAAAGCCTGACTATCCAGCATTAAACTAAGAATATTTTTAAAAAATTCTTTCCCCTCAAAAAATTTAATAAATGAGATAATGTCATTATGGAGCTCAATACACTATTGAGTATGCATTGCCACCAAACAGAGTGATTTAATACCAGTAATGGATAAGTGTGATATCACAACACAATCATAAGAAATTTCTTTTGGTTTAATGTAAAATCGATTAATTCTTGATAATTGGTTGATTTTTGTAAAGAAGGATGTAAGTTCTCATTTTGGTAAAATCATTAATATTTGGAACAGTAGGTAGTGGAGTATTTTCAAAGTTACAGGATTCACGCATAAATAATAAAAAAAAAATAATAATAATAAAAAAAGCCATGATACACGACTTTGAAAACAGATAAACAATGGCTATGTAACATGACAAATTAGGATAAGCTATTTAAGTTTTTTATATGCTATATCCATAATTTTTTTATGTATTGTATTTGTATGTAATCAGATAAAGAATGGTCTGTTAATTTAAATTTCTATTGGAAGGACTGGAGACATCTCTACCAATTTTCTTATTTGGCGGGATATCATAATCGGTTCAGATGTTTCACTTTCACGCTTAAAGCATACAAAACACATTGGCTTTTGAAATGCATTTTTTAAATATATATATGTATATAATTAAACTGGACAGTTAAGGGATCATTGCAAGCTAAAGTTAGTTAAACTAAAGTTATCTTACTCTCAATACAGTAAATAAAATTAATAAAATATCGTAAACAGTTTAAAAAAAGGGGGGGATGACAGTAACACTAGGGCAAACAATATAGAGATAATTTTTTAAAAAAAATCCTATTGACAGACCAATTCCCATTGCTTCATGTCAGATACCGGATCATTTTACCAGTGGTTCTTTTTCTATAGCCTTTGAAAGTGGAAAACTTTAATTATAACCATCCTGTACATAGTATATATATGAATTTGCAATGTAAAAAAAATATGCACAGAAATATATACCTGTGTGTACTTTTGCTTTAAAATAGCTGATTGCTGAATAAAATAGCATTTTAAAAAATTTATTTTAAAGCTAATTATCTTACCAAATGTTTGTTAGTATCACTGAGGCTTTTAGCATATTTCTTATAATTTTCAGATTCCATTTCAAGCATATGCAATGCATTTTTATCTTGTAGTAGTACAGTATTCTCCCAATCATGCATTTCTTTCTGCTGCGCATATTTCCGAATCCTGTTCTCTAGCATTTGCTGAAGCAGATTATCCTGGACTTGCTCTTTCTGTTTTCTAGACCGATCTTCAAAATTTAAGTCTTCTCCTTCAAGCCTTAAAAGAATAATTACAGAAATTTAAAATCTGATACCTCTGCAAGCTTTTTATTGATAAATTATGTTAACTGAATGATCTTATAAAATGGCATTTTAAAATATCACATGAAACTACAATACAGTCAAAAGTCTTTTATCCGGACTCATCGGGACTTCGGCGATTCCGGATTATCGATTTTTCCGGATTATAGATCATCAGTTTAAATCTGGTAAGATGGCATGCAGAAATTATAAAATTAAAAATATGAAACCGTAATTTATAAAATAATGAGAAATTATGATCTAAAGGGTATCAAAATTTACAAAGAAAGAAGCTTAATATTTATTTGTTTACTTTATTAAACATTTCTTTCAATGTGCGCATGCGTAAAGCATACCTTACGCATAGCCGAAATTAGAAAATTGCAACCAGAAAACTATTTGATTTGTATTCGTGATATTTATACTGACGAGGAATTTGATTTAAATCATATCAAAGACGGAGTACATCGAGATTAAATACTTCATTTAGTAAGGAATTATAAGCCGAATAAAATAAAACATCTGCCCAAACAGATTTCGGAACGGTTAGATAAACAAAGGATATGCCTTCGTAAGTACAAGCTTACTTTTATAAAATTGCTCTTACAGTCTGTAAAAAATAATAAGCCAGATTGAATTCGAAGATTAAGGAACAACGCAATCATCAACATTAACTGAAATAGATAATTAGATAATTTTAGCTTATACCGTCCGTTATACATTAAACGCGCACGCGAAAACGTTTTCTGCGCTTGCACAGATGCATATGCGCAGTCATAAAGGTCTTGTGCACACGCGTAAACGCCTATGCGCATGCGCAGAAAGATTTTAGTATTGAGGTCCGGATTATAGATCATTCTGGATTATGGGTGTCCGAATTAACGACTTTTGACCGTATAATATAAAATGTATGGTATGACAGCATGCTAAAACAAAAGTGGTTTGCAATATTAGTTATTAATTTAACCTAATGAATATAAAAATCATACTAGTTAAGTATCAGATTATTTAAAAACTGTATTTTTTAATTAAACCTTATGACGTTTATTTTCAAAATTCATTTCATAAATTAGAAATAATTTAATGAAGCTATAGTGAAAAAGATGTATGGGTGTTTTTAAAAGTGGCTTCCTAAATCCTACATTGCACACTCAAATAACACTGAATCCAAAAGTTTTATAAAATAAGGTACAGAAATTAATAAAATCAGTTTCAGTTCTGTGGGTAGTAGGACTCTCTATACATAAAATCGAACTTTATACAAAGTCCTTGTAGAACAAAAACGCCAATCAGTAAAACAGTCATTAATGTTACAAAAACTGAAGATCTCACAATTCACAAAGATATTCTTAACACATAATTTTCAAATTTTATAACAAATGCTATTTTGTTCAAGAGCTCATTAATTACCATAACGAGCAGCTTTCATTTTACTACTGCTTGTTAAACCAGACTTTTATTTTAAAGTTCTCAAAACATTTAGTTTAAAATTAATAAGGAAGAATATATGATAATGTCAGAGTCTTAATACCCACCAAAAAGTAATAATTAAATTTCGTAAGTTTCACATGCAAAAATAAAACTTATTTAGAAATTCATCAAAGCCTTCACTATCATTTTATTAATTCAAACTATTTTTTTCTAGGTGATGTATAAAAATGTTAAATTTTATCTTTGGTGAACATTTCCACCTATTGCATTTAAATTATTTGCATAATATTCTTTGCCTTATTTTATAAAATTTTACATCAGGAAGTTAAGTACATATCAAGAATGAAAATTTAAGAAATTAAAACATGTACTAGATTATTAAACATGCACTAGACAGATAAAAGAAAGGTACAATGCTGCACCTTAGAGTATTTGGTCATAGCAGAACATGAAGCTCAGTCTCAGTATTAAACTACGGTATTTATGCATATGCTTGGGTGGGAAAAAAGCCGATATCATTTCGAAGTAATAAATGAATGCTGATGAAACCCCATTATATATATAATATATGTGTGTGTGTGTGTGTGTGCGCGTGCCAAGAGGCTACAGTCAATCAGCCAGTGAAAAACATTTCTGATGTGAATGACATGAGTGGAAAAGCAGCAATTTACTCAGCTCCCTTTACTAAACACTATATACATAGAATGAAATTTACTTAAAGTTGAAATGATCATTTTTAGATGCTAAAAATTCTATAATATGTGGCTAGTGGATAAGAGTTGGAAGAAGCAATATAAATCAGTGCTATATTGCCAGAAAAATCCAGAAAACTGTTTTGTCTTCCCCAACATGAAAAAAAGCTAATTTCTCATTTGAAACACATTCAATACTTTTCATTAACATTACACTACTTAAATGTCCTTCTAAGGCTTCTGACCTCTTCCCATTTTACTTGAATAATCATGTTTAGCATTTAATTTCTGAATGTTTCAGGGATGGGTAATCATTTCTGAAGTTATCACTTTCTACATTATTACTTTCACATACACTAGACAGATAAAAGAAAATACAATGCTGCAACTTCCAGCATTTGGTCATAGCAAAAACATGAAGCTCAGTCTTAGTATAAAACTACAGCATTTATGCATATATCACTTTGAGTCACGGATATATCACAAATATCACTTTGAGTCAATAAAAGATGCAATGAAATCCCCTGTTTTTTTTATATGTGTGTGCATGTACCAAGAGGCTGTCAATCAGCCAGTGAAAAACATTTCTGATGTGAATGACATGAGCGAGAAAAAAGCAATGTACTCAGTTTTAAATTGGATTTATGTTTTATCTTGTAAAAATAAAATGTCAAATTCTAATTTAATGTTTTACTTTAAAAAAAATACAAAAAATTGTGCATTAACAAAGAAAAATTTTCAAATAAAAAAGAAAATCTTTAAAATGAAAATAAATAAAGCAATTATAAAATATTACAAAAATTGCATAAAATAACAAGCAAATTTAATTATGCATATAGTATATGACAGAACCTGCCACACATTATTTTCTTCTTCTTTGTCATCTATCTTCCAGAAGTTCTAAGGCTAAGTGATGATTTTTTGAAAACATTTTGCATAAGATTAAGGTTAGGTTAGGTTATTTTAATTATAGCAAAGCCTTGAGGGCTATCTGCCTAAGGGATGCCTTCGTGGAGGACTTTCTAAGGGAAACTGGCTCGTATACACATAACACATAGAGAAAACCACGAAAACACCCATGCAGCCAGCCTGTTCGCGGGATTCAAACCTCGGACCGAACTACCAGTGTTCAGTGACTTAACCGCTCGGCCGCTCAGAAGATTAAGGATTCAATATTTTAGAGGTTTCCCATTTATGGACACTCTCATTAAATCTGAAAGAATCAGTCAAATATTTTTTGCATTTTCCATCTTTGGGGAAAAAAAAAAAAAAAAAAAAAAAAAAAAAAGACTTCATCTTATAATTTTGGCATTAAACAATTTGATACCCAATAACAAATCTACTGAAATCCTTGCTGGTGCTGAAAACCACTTTTTTTTTTTTTATTTAACACCTAATTTTAAACTTAAATGAAACCAGATGATACACTAATTTGCAAGGACAAAAAGATTAAGATAAGTTTGAGAATGATTATCAGATGCAATACATTCGTTTGTATGGGAACAGGTAAACAAGCAAATAAAAAGAACAAGGGATTTGCAAAATAAGATACGAATTTAACAAGTAATAAGCAATGCAAAATGCATTTTTAGAACTGTGTTTACAAGTATTAATCAATTAAAAGTAATATATCTCAGATACGTAAAATGACATACAATACTAAAAAATTTGGTACATACTTTTGAAGACTTGAAACAGGGCAAAAGTCATTATCAGATATTCTTGGAGGACGCTCTTTTCTTTTCTGATGAGGATCATATAAGTCATAATCTCTCCTATATTGAGGTCTCTGCTCTGACAGACGAAACTTGTTGATTTTCTCGTTAATTTCTCGAATTTGCTCTTGATTCTGCTGCTCTGCCAGTTCAAGCATATGTAATTGCCATTTTGTTTCTTCAGCTAAAATAAATTTCATAAATGTATAATATTTTAATTGCATAATGTTTTTAACTATATATTTCTTCAAAACAGAAAATTAGGGATTTGATTAAAAAACATTAATCATTAGAACAGTTTGAAAAAAAATTGGTAAAAATATATTTATGGGTGCCCCCTTGGTGAAAATTGGTGATTTTTGGTGGTACATGGATGCTAAGTTTGTGCAGTTTTTTGACTTGTTATTTTGGCTCTGTGTAATGGCGATTTTTGCACCAAAAACTCGGTATCCATGTACACATCGACCTATTTTCACTTAAAAAAACATCAGAGAATTGTACAAACTTGTACTTATGTTACCATAAATGAAACAGCAACTTAGCGATAAACGAAACAACAACTTCGCGATAATACAAGGGGCACCCTTCAATCTACTTTAACCATTCACATATTATCCAAAAATATCCTCCGTTCGAAAATATATTATGTTTGACCATATGCATTTCCTTCCTACAAACAGGACACTTAATAATGGCTACTAAGTAAACCTTCATCTACACACCAGTCAATTAATGCTTTTTTCCCTTTTGTTCCAAATCGTACAGAAACTTACCATATTCAGCCATTTTACTGTTTAAACCACAAAATAATTAAATTAATCTTACCATATTCAGCCATTTTACTGTGTAAACCACAAAATAACAATGTATTTATCCAACATACACAAGCCTCAAACTGCATAGGAATTTGAATTTATATCACTACTAAAAATAAAAAAAAGTAAAAATTTTATTTGAAAACGTTTTTACATTTAAAGATTGAGTTAAAAGATTAATTGAAGGAATGGTTATTTCACATCTTTTATATAATGAAGCAATGACACTTAACTTCTGTATCCTTTATTTAGTCAAATTTAAGCTGTATCTTGTGGAGAAGGGTTATGCAATATGCTACATGTAACAAATATCTACACGTACATTTTGGGATAATGAAATAATTTCAAAAAATTGTTATAAACTATTTTGTAGATAGAAAAACACTGAGACCAAAAGCAAGATTATTAAAAGAAATACAATTTGAAATATGCTTTTCAAGAAAGGTATTTATATCAAATCTTATAGCTGAAAATATGCCAATTTTGTTGGTACACTGTAGATGCTCATATGAAAAGCAAGTCAGTATTTAGTGACATTTTTTATATTTAAGTCTTTAAGATAATTTTAAAATTGTTGAAGTGCAAAAATAGACATATATTCAGAAAATTACAGTCCATGATAATAAATTTCATTAACCTAATTGAACTCAATACTGACATACAGAAAGATTTATTTTACAGTATAACATAATACAATATTAACATCCATTCAGCATTAACTCAGGAACCTACATATGCATTACATTTATATCTTCTTCTTCAGTTGCACTACAGCCTATCACAGGCCAAAACCATCTCAACAAGCTTCCTCCAACGGATCTGATTAGCACTATGATCTGCCAACAATTCATTTTTAGAGTCCTGAGATCTGCCTCCACACAATCTATCCATCTTGTGTGAGGACTTCTTCTTTTCCTGGTACCCTCTACACTTGCAAAGGTCACCTTTTTAACAGGGTTCAAGTAGCCACATCTAAAAATATGTTCAAGCCACCTGATTTGATAAGATTTGATAACTCGGACAATATTAGATTGTTTGTTAAATATTAAATAGCTATACAAAATTATCCATCTACTATTTTCTCTAACTAAGCCATATATTTTCCGCAGTATATTTCTTTCAAAGATTAGAAGTCTTTCTTCATATATGTTTTTGTTAATAACCAGCATTCAATACCATACAATATGATAGGTCTAATCAAGGTTTTATGGTTTATTTTTGTCTTGAAGTTTAATAATTTAGACACTAAAAAATTCTCTAAACCATGATAACATGTATTAGCTCTAAATGATCTATTGTCAATTTCAAGTTTAATATTATTATCATTAGAGAAGAAAGTATTGAGATACGTAAACGAGAGAAGAACACCCTCGAAAGTATAAGACTTTATTTGCAGTGGAAGGGGATTATGCACTGAACTAGTTACTGCCATAAATGTTGTTTCATGCTCATTAACCATATTAAGTCCAATGTCTCTGACTGCAGACTCTAAAGAAATAAAAGTCTCCACAACAACCCGTTTACTTCTTCCAATAATATCAATGTCATCAGCATACACTAGTAACTGTACAGATCTTTGAAATGTGGTGACTCTATAATTCTGGCATCTCTAATAGCCTTTTCAAGGGCGATATTAAAAAAACATGCATGCAAGGGCATCACCCTTTCTCAACCCCTTTTCAGTGTAGAATGCTTTTGATAGATCAGACATGATAATTCTGCAATTTTCTCTCTTTAAAGTCATTCTAGCTAGATCAATTAATTTTCTAGGAAGTCCAAATTCCAGCATAACTTCAAACAGCTTTTCACAATATATGCTGTCATAAGCAGCTTTAAAATCTATAAAAAGATGAAAGGTATCAGGTATCAATATTTTCCAAAATTTGTCTAACAGAATGAATAGTAAATGAATCTGATGAATACTAGATTTTCCAGCTTGAAATGCACACTGGTAGCTATCAATAACTGTAGATGCATATGGTAATAAGCCATTATATAAAATATGGAAGAAGATTTTAAATGCCAAATTTAAGAGCATTCAACATTCAAGTCTGTCTCCTTTTTTTAAAAAAATGGGACAAATGGAGCCATTACATTTATATAAGCATTACAAATTTCTCAGAACATACTTCCTCATTTTAATCACTTTTTCTTAAAATTAACCAAAAAATTATTATTCCTAATATTTAAACTCACTAAATGGATGTGAGATACTACATTAACAATATTAAGAAGTAATTTCTAAATTGTACAGGAATGTGTTGGATGGGATCATAAAAGAGTCCTTTATAGTGTAACAATAATTTATTAACAGGTTTAAGTTACACTTGGATATCACATTTAATTTTAAGAATATTGCAGAGCGAAAGTCTGATGCAACCGAACAGGTTCATCACTTGGCCTTTATTGAAAAGTCTTTCTCTAGCTACTCACCAGAGGGTGCCCTCATTATTAGAGTGCGTCTACTATACACCGTTTATATTAAAGGATTGGTAACAAAATTACATTTTATAAAGACAGATACGGATGAGAACAAAAAAAGTTTTTATATTAATATTCAGATATTTAAGTAATGTAAAAATAATTATTAAATTGTTAAATAAAGAAAACATAAAACAAATAAAATTAAATTGGTTCAACAATAACTACACAAAGGAGAATACCATATTTTTTCTCTTGCTCAGCTTCATTAATCCTAGCAGTGTATTTTTCATGTACTTGCTGATTCAAAGCATCCACATCCAACTACAAAATATATATATATTTAGGAAAATAAAGAAAATTTAAAATAAAATTAATGACATTATATGATCAATACATAAAAGTTAATTTAATTCACCAGACCTTTTGAACATGGCCAAGCTAATTATCCACTATAGTCAAAAGCCGTTAATCTGGACTCGTCGGGACTTCGGCGATTCCGGATTATCGATTTTGCCGGATTATAGATCATCAGTTTAAATTTGGTAAAATGGCATGCAGAAATTACAAAATTAAAAATATGAAACCGTAATTTATGAAATAAAGAACAATTATGATCTAAAGGGTATCAAAATTTACAAAAAGAAAAAGCTTAATATTTATTTGTTTACTTTATTAAACATTTATTTCAATGTAAGTTGTTTAAGTTGCTTTATTTCATGTGACAATACTTTCTCTTTAATTCTATTAAACAGACATAATTTCTTGTTTAGTTACAAAGTTCCCCTGTTCAAGTCTTATAATTGCTGTGTCGAGAATACCGACTAATTTGTCAATCGAAATGTTTTCGTTTTCAATAACCTCTCTGTCACTTTCTTCACTATCGGAAGCGAATTATAATGACGAGGAACTTGATTTAAATCATATCAAAGACGGAGTACATCGAGATGAAATACTACATTTAGTAAGGAATTATAAGCCAAATAAAATAAAAACATCTGCCCTGAAGATAAGGATAGTGCTGACAGATCAACTTCCAATTCATTTCTCTCCTCCCCCTGCCGCAGAGCAGCGTGAAATTGATAAACAGATTTCGGATTTCAAAACATACTTTCGCTTTCTAGATCCTTTACATATCAGTAAATATATATCGGAAATTCTATTTGACATAATCGAAATTTCAAGCTTACTTTTATAAAATTGCTCTAACAGTCTGCAAAAAATAATAAGCTGGATCCAATTCGAAGATTAAGGAACAACGCAATCTGGAACATTAACTGAATTAGATAATTTTAGCTTAGCTTATACCGTCCATTATACATTAAATGCGCATGCGTAAACATATTATCCGCTTGCACACATGCATATTCGCAGCCGTAAAGGTCTTGCACGCATGCGTCAAAGCGACGCATGTGCAGAAAGTGTAGCTTTGAGGTCCGGATTATGGGTGTCCGAATTAACGACTTTTGACTGTATTTAATATTAGTTTATGTTTATTTATAAATATTTAGCACTTAGCAGTTCTTCACTCTTTTCAGTACTTCACAGAAAACATACAAAAAAACATTCACACAGTCAAAAATGTATTAATATTGTTGCGTGTGTACAGGTTTGTTATGAACTGAATGCACAAGTCCGATGAAAAATGAGTAACATTTATTATTAGCACAGCAAATAAAACAAAATGCTTAAATTTCCTCAGCTATCCATACAATATCCCAATATCTCACAGTAGTTACCTTTTAAACTAGTCAAAAGTCATTAATTTGGACATCTTTAATCCGGACCTCAAGGCTACAAACTTGCTGCGCATGCGTCGTGGTGACCTTTACGGCTGCGAATATGCATGTGCGCATGCGCAAAATACGTTTACACATGTGTGTTTAATGTATAATGGATGGTATAAGCTAAGCTAAAATTATCTAATCCAGTTAATCTTGCAGATTGCGTTGTTCCTTAATCTACGAATTGGATCCGGCTCATTATTTTTTGCAGACTGTTAGAGCAATTTTATAAAAGTAAGCTTGAACTTTCGATTATGTCAAATAGAATTTCTGATATATATTTACTAATATGTAAAGGATCTACAAAGCGAAAGTATGTTTCGAAGTCCATTAAACAAAAGTGGAATTGCTGCAAAAAAAACCTAAACATTCCGAAATCTGTTTATCAATTTCACGCTGCTCTGCGGGGGGGGGGGGATGCCGCAACGCGCAACGAATTGGAAGTTGATCTGTCAGTGCTATCCTTATCTTCAAGACAGATGTTTTTATTTTATTTCGCTTATAATTCCTTACTAAATGTAGTATTTCATCTCGATGTATTCCGTCTTTGATATGATTTAAATCTGACACAGCAATTACAGGACTTGAACAGCAGCACTTTGTAACTGAAGGAGAAATTATGTCTGTTTATAGAATTAAACAGAAAGTACTATCACATAAAATGAAGCAACTTAAACAACTTGCATTGAAAGAAATGTTTAATAAAGTGAACAAATAAATATTAAGCTTTTTTTTTTTTTTTTTTTTTAAATTTTGATACCCTTTAGATCATAATTGTTCTTTATTTCATAAATTACGGTTTCATATTTTTAATTGTATAATTTGAACATGCCATCTTACCAGATTTAAAGTGATAATCTATAATCCGGAATCGCCAAAGTCCTGACGAGTCCGGATTAATGACTTTTGGCTGTACTAAAAACGTTCAACAGAAGTAATTCAAAATAGAGAAAGCTAATCTGATTTCACAGCGAATTCACAACAGCAGTCTTCTAAAGAAAACTCATAAAACAACTAAATAACTAAGGAATTGAGAGTTTTTTCATGCCGTTTATATAAGCTTTTAAATTCACGAAAATGTTCTAGCAATTTCTCGAAATCAAAAAAGAGATATTTATTTATTAAATGTTAAATGCACGCGCTCTTGTATTTCTAATTTTCTGGCTTAGCTTTCTCTAATATTCGTCACGCACTGCACTGCACAAATAAAACAATTTAATTTATAATTCTACTAACATCAGCTATTTAAATACCAAATCCGTAACACCGCCCCCTTCCCAAGGACAATCCGAAGAAGTACAATCCCCGGACAGGAAGCCAAACTTACAACTAACGCATAAATACAATAACAAACATTACATTACAAACAACGTGAACACACATCGACTTATTTTCACTTAAAAAAAATCCCCGAATTGCACAAAAATGGCATTGCGCACTCCTTTGACTTTATCCATGTACATGTCGACCTATTTTCACTTAAAAAAAAATTTTCCAGAATTGCACAAACTTGCATCGCGCACTCCCTTTACTTTGTCCATGTACACATCGATATATTTTCACTTAAAATGTCAAAGGAGCACCAAATTCTACAATATAAGCAAACAAAAAATACATAATCTCAATAAAATACATTTTAAACCAAACAATAAAATAACATAAAAAAGGAAAAACATGTTATACATTTAAGCACTACCAAAAGCAAATATTCACCTACCATGATTTTCGAGTCCGCTTCATACACCCAGAGACACGTAAAAATCAAAATATCAATCATACTGAAATGACTTTTTTCAAACCAGGCACTCTTTCTGATCGAACGCTTCATATAGTGACCATCTGAACCTTTCTTCCTACAAACCCATTCAAATCCATCTAAACAGTTTTTACGTTTGACTAAACGCATATCCATCCTACATACAGGACACTTATAATGGCTAATAAGTAAACCTTCGTTTACACACCAGTCAGTTAAAGCTCTTTTCCCCTTTCGCTCCAAGTCATGCAGAAAATTCAAATTAATCTTACTACATTCGGCCATTCTACCGTCTAAAGAATCAAACCAACACACACCACACGCTTACAAAACATCCCATGATTCAAAATTTCCCAGAATCATGCACCCGATTACGTCACAATAGGGTTTCCATAATATTCAACTACTCAGGCTACCATAAATGAAAGAACAACTTGGCGATAAATCAAGCAATAATTTTGACATAATACAAGGGATACCTTAAAGTCTACTCTACCCGGAAAATTATATTGATGCCTATCTAATCCGACAATAAAAAATTGTTATAATGCGAGGGATGAAACTAAAAAATACCAAATATTCCTTATATGTTCAATTTCATTAATAATTCATGTACCAAAATGCATGTCATTACTATTTCTGCAATAAAGAATACACATAAAAATACAAATAAAAGAAAGGTACTTTCTGATTATCCATATTCCCAATGAAAAGTTGAGAACTCACTGTCAACTTTGAAAGGTTTGGGCATCTTTACTTCAATGATGCACTAAGTTTCACCATTTTTTTTTCTAAATTCACTAAAAAAGTACAATACTTAGCATTTTTGAAAAAACATTCAATAATTTTTTGCACTGTTATTCTTCTCATATATACAGTGAAATGTATTCACTAAAATAAAAATCACAGAATTGTACAAACTCAGAACTGCATACCCCCCCCATACACACATAATCAAGATTGCTCAAAACAATAAAAACTTCAATATAATGGAAAAAAAAAAAAAAAAAAAAAAGGAAGCCAACATTGCATTTACATTATGATTTGTTAGGATAAAAACAAATGTACTCAATGCAAAAAAAAAATACTAACCAGAAAAATGAACGTTTAATTTCAAAAGTACTAATCTATGTGTACTCAAACAAATATATAATATGTGCATTACCTAAGTTGCCACATAAATGCTTTTTGGCAGCATGGTTTCATCAATATTCTTTTGCCACTTATCGATGGGGATGCAGATAATCAAAAAGCACCAAAAGAATTTCAGGAAAAGCCAAAGCAGAATAAATGTATAAGGGTTATAGTCATATGAGAATGCTTGTACTTATAATTCCTCTTTTTCTGCAACATTCTGAAGAAATCTGGGGTAGAGTAGACTTTAAGGTACCCCTTGTATTATGGCGAAGTTGTTGTTTGATTTATCGCCAAGTTGTTTCATTTATGGTAGCCTGAGTAGTTGAATGTTATGGAAAACCTATTGTGACGTAATCGGGGGCTGGATCTATTGTGCCGTAATCGGTATTCTGGGAAATTTTGAATCATGCGATGTTTTGTAAACGTTTTTGTGGTGTGTGTTGGTTTGATTCTTTAGACGGTAGAATGACCGAATGTAGTAAGATTAATTTGAAGTTTCTGTAAGATTTGGAGCGAAAGGGGAAAAGAACTTTAATTGACTGGTGTGTAAATGAAGGTTTACTTAGTAGTCATTATAAGTGTCCAGTATGTAGGAAGGATATGCGTCTAGTCAAATGTAAAAACCGTTTAAATGGATTTGAATGGGTTTGTAGGAAGAAAGGTTCAGATATGGTCGACGTCGATGTGACGCGTTTGATCAGAAAGAGTCACCTGGTTTGAAAAAAGTCATTTGAGTATGATCTGATATTTTGAATTTTATGTGGCTCTGGGTGTACGAAGACGAACTTCTAAAATCATGAGTAAAGTAAATACTTGCTTTTTGGTAGTGCTTAAATGTATAACATGTTTTTCCTTGTTTATGTTATTTTATTGAGATTATGTATTTTTTGTTTGCTTATATTGTAGAATTTGGTGCTCCTTTGACATTTTAAGTGAAAATATATCGATGTGTACATGGACAAAGTAAAGGGAGTGAGCAATGCAAGTTTGTGCAATTCTGGGATTTTTTTTAAGTGAAAATAGGCCGATATGTACATGGATAAAGTTAAAAGAGTGCGCAATGCCATTTTTGTGCAATTCTGGAATTTTTTTTTCAAGTGAAAATAGGTTGACGTGTACATGGATACCGAGTTTGTGCAATTGTTTTGTCTTGTTATCTTGGCTTTGTGTAGTGGCAATTTTTGTGCCAAAAATCACAGCTTTGCAAGCCAAAATAACAAGTCAAAGAACTGCACAAAATCGGTATCCATGTACCACCAAAAATCGTCAAGTTTCGCCAAGGGGTACCTTAAAATCTACTTTTACCGAAATCTGTTACCATTATTTTCTATTAAATAATGCTATTATTTTAAAACAGGCAATTTTTCATACTTGGCTCAAAGTAGCGACAGTATATTATAGTTTAACAAAAAGGTGTATCCAATTTAAAAAAATTTTTCATGCATATCTGCTAATATATGTATACATTTTTCCAATGAAATTACTAATTTTGATAAGTACAGATCATAAAAAGTGATAAAATTATTAAAAATTGTTACATTAAGGAAATAGTAGAATGTAATAAAAAGTGCACAAAATATGCATAAAAAAAGAAGACAATTATGTAGCTAAATTAAAATTAGCCTACTCCAATCTGTCTCTGTTTTGCATTAAAAATGCGATGTTTTCGTTGTTCTTCTGCTATTCGTCTACGACGAACATTTTCGTAAAATTTATCTTCAGATGGTAAATATGAATTCATTTTGTTTTATAAAAGAAACCTGTTACGGATTATAAATTTGTTAAATTATTTTAAGTTTAAAAAATGAAGATCATTGCATTTTTTACTATTCTTAATAAGTGCGAGTTAATTAAACAGCATCGTTGCAACATTATAAAAGTATCTTCAGTAGGAAAGGTAAAATTATGATAATATGCAATAAAAACACAACTTACCTCTGTTGCTATGATACAAAGTATTTCACAAACGTGGATATGTCGTCGTCACAGGCGAACACATAGCAGCGTTTAGAGGAAAAGGCTGTAACCTAGGCAACGCGGAAGAAAAAAATTCAATGTGAAGTCATATTGCCAGATTAATAAGTTCAATTTTCCTAAACAACTTGGATTTCAGAAGGGTGTTCCCCTCTTCCCGTTCAAGTGATAGCATAATTTTGTATGATTAATAGGAGAGAAGCAAACTTAAACATTTTATTTAAATTTAAATTAGCAATAATAATATTAAAATCTATCTAAAGTAAAAGAAATAATTTAAAGTAGGCTGGGATTACTCGTCTGACTAATTAGTCCTTCCATAGTGGAATTGCTCTGCTTCCGACTAGTTCTGCAGAGACACATTTTTTTAAAATATGCGTATTCCGACTAGGATATGCAGAAATGTTTGTTTCGTTCGCAAATATTTGTTTATATTTGTTTCGATTGCGGGAGTCTTGTTTCCTGTGTGAACATGTGCTTACAAGGAAAAAAAAATTCATTTAATGAATAATTGCTATCATTCGCATATCTATAATATTTAAAATTTAATATAAAATAAAGAACTAATGACCGAAACTTCGAGTTCGATTAATTGTTATTTCGATATTCCACATTTCGATATTTTAAATCGATTCAATCGATTAATTTGATTTTCGATTATGCCTGATCTTAGATGTGGGAAACGCGGCGAAAAGTTGTGAACGCTAAGTAGTGGGTTAAGAAATGAGAATCTGTAATAATCCATAAAACGCGTAGTTGCTCAACTTTTAAATTAATTCATAATGATTCTAAAAAAACTTGTTGTATTGTTTCTTGTAATTTTACCTGTTGTGATATATTCAACTAGCAACGGCAAGTATTTATGCTGTATAATGATATCTGTATGTTTGTAATCTAGTTTCCAAGTTTGATTTCTCAGTATATTTTTAATGACGTGGCTGATGCAGCGTAAAATTTTTTGTGTTAGTAAACGTTTACAAATAAACCTTACATGTTTTAATTTAAAAGTATTTACTAATAAGTTTCGATTTTTAGAATTTTTTGGAATTCAGTTTTAAAGGGACCTATTCGCCGCATTTAAAGGGATTGCAGCTTTTAATATATTAATATAATTTATGGCATCTTGACTTTCGTTATTATTTTTAAATTATCGAAATCAGTTAAATTAAAATCGATTCATTTATTGCATTTACTTAAACCCAAGGAGGTTAGAATAGACCTCCTTGGTTAAACCAGTCAGATAAATAGTAAATGTCTGTGCATTGAACTGTGAATTGTTTATTTCCTCATATTAAATCTTTAGCGAATTTCAAAATGTTACATTATTTTAACGAGATTTTCAATCCTGAGAAACTTTATTTCCTCATATATAATCTTTAGCGAATTTCAAAATGAGACAGTATTTTAGAGAGATTTATAAAGATTTAAAGAGATTTTTAATCCTGATAAACTATCTATATTATTTTTTCAAACAGTGATATAGCTGTAGTTTTTCAAAAATGGTGTATCTATTGGTGACACATTGGTTTTCATATTTTTTAGCAATTATATTCCAGTAGTTGGAATGAAAGGTAATGTAAATATCAGTTCCTTGAAAAGGATTCTGCAAAATTTTCACCCCAGACTTCGTTGTGTTATTTTTCAAAATGTAATTAACTGAGATATATTTTTCTCTTCTATTTGAGTGTTAATATAATGATGTAATGCCTTTTCAGTAAAATTTATTCATTACTAGCATTAATTCTTTACTCCTATCTGTTAGGTGCTTTCTTCTGTTTTAAATCGAAAAAATTTTCACAAATATAATTGCATCAACTGAATGAAGCAGGTTTGACAGTATGTAAACATCATATGTCAATATGTAGTTAGTGATATTTTCTTATCAACCTGTGTTTATTAATACTGTATATGGAAGGAAAACATGCCAATTTTAAATCTGAAATTAAGTAAAAGTTTATACTTGCGTATTATTGCAACCATCTTAGTAAAAATCACCACATTGTCAGAAGTCGCCAAACTCAGGCTATCATATGTATAACAGTTATTTGGGAAACCACATCCATTGTGAGTTGTAATTTAAAAATTCACCGAGTCACCTTTTTCTTCTATAAAAAACTGCTCAACTGGCCTAAGTGATTGTACTAATATGTAAGTACCGAAAATTTAATCTTTGGTTGTTATTATTAAAACATTTTGAAGGACACCGAGCAAGTTTCTTCTTCCTCAAAGAGCAAAAATATGTCGGTTGCTTATATAATATGTACTCATTTTAAAAGCTGAAATTACAGTGAAAATATTTTTGCTTTAAGGATAAAAGCTTATAGAAATTCATATGCGATATATTTTGTTGTGTAGCCTGTAGAAAGAATATCAAGACATCATATAGATTAAAATCTTGGTAAAATTTACATAATAGTTCCAAAGTAGTTTTTAATATACGCTTTGCATGCTTTGAAAAATAGTTCAGTCACATAAAAATTTTATATAAGGAATGAAGTTAAAACTAGATAGCCATGAATTCATTAATTAAGCAAATAAAATTCCTTAGCTTTTGCATATTAGTATGATTTATATCAGGATGGTAAAAGTTTGCAATTTGGCGATCCTTTTTTAATGCCAAGATTGGTGCCAGGAAGGCACAATTTCAAGATGGCCGCCACACAAAAACAAAATAAGAATCAAAGAACTTCACAAACGCTGTGTCCATGTACACATGAATCTATTTTCACTTAAAAAAACATCAGAGAATTGCACAAACTAGGCATTGCGCTCTGCCTTAACTTTGTCCATGTACACATCTATCTATTTTCATTTAAAAGAGAAAATCAGGAAGCTAAAACCATCATGGTAACCAGAAATGAGGTTTCATTGTCAAAATTTAATAAAATTTGTTGCTAATCGAAGGAGCACCCAATTCTATACTAGAGCCAGCAGGTGTTCTTAAACCTTTTTCAGTCGTGACCCCTGGACTCCATAATATTTGTGAAAATTTTGTCGTTTCCCATAAGCATTGTGCAAAGCCTAAAGATGCATTTGTGAAACTGTCAATTTTTTCACTTGTACTGTAATATACTATTGCAGTTTTAGGTCATTAACTTTAATTTCTAATTTTAGCACATAGAACATTGTGAAAATCTTAAATAAGTAACAGACAAATTGATAGCATCATGTGCAAAGCAAGTAAAATGAAAGTTTATATAGTCAAAAGTCTTTAATCCGGACTCGTCGGGACTTCGGCGATTCCGGATTATAGATCATCAATTTAAATCTGGTAAGATGTCATGCAGAAATGATACAATTAAAAATATGAAATCGTAATTTATGAAGTAAAGAGCAATTGTGATCTAAAGGGTATCACAATTTACAAAAAAAAAAAGCTTATTTGTTTGTTTACTTGCCGCGACATCCCCCTTTCCCCCGCAGAGCAGTGTGATGATAAACATATTTCGGAATGGTTAGAGAAACAAATCACCTCTCTGTCGCTTTCTTCATGCCTTTATCCATTTTTTGCAGCAATTCCACTTTTTGTTTAATGGACATCAAAACATGCTTTCACTTTGTAGATCCTTTGACAGCTCCAGAATCGGAAATTCTATTTGACATAATCGAAAGTTCAAGCTTACTTTTATAAAATTGCTCTAACAGTCTGCAAAAAATAATAAGCCGGATCCAATTCGAAGATTAAGGAACAACGCAATCTGTAACATTAACTGAAATAGATAATTTTAGCTTAGCTTATACCATCTGTTATACATTAAATGCGCATGCATGAACATTATGAGCATGTGTAAAGGTATTATGCGCATGCGCAGAAAGTTTTGTAACTTTGAGGTCCGGATTAAAGACTTTTGACTGTATTTTAAAAAGAATGCGTCAAAACGTTTTTGTTTTTCCTTTGTCTATATTGTCTTATCCTTATCTATTTTCAGATACATTGTGTAAAAATATTTGGTAATAGTAAAATTACTATAATAAGTTAGAGAAATATCAAAACTGCTAAAATTTTTGGCGACCTCCTGCTGCAGGTCGCGACCCACAGTTTAAGAAACTGATATACAATCATCATTAGTGGAAGTATGCAAGGATATGGTTCTGTCGTGTACTCGTATGGGCATCTGTTGCTTCCTGGGGAATGTTTATCAAATAATGTGTAATAGCTGAGCAATTCACATGGTGTTCAGTTCAAATAATTAACATGTTGAATTATAACTAGAGATTACAGACTGATTTGTTTTATTTTGCCATAATTTTTGCCCAGATTTTGTAAATGTTGTTCTCTGGGAAATTCTCCAGTTAGAGAACAGTCATTTAAGAAGTATTAAACTATTGCAGATGTGACCAGCATATTGATTCTGAAGCAGATTTTGGTTGATCGTGGTTATCAGGTAATATTTTTTGTAGATTGCACATGCAAAGCACAGTTTTATTATGCTCCAACAATTATTATTTTATGCTCCAAATATATTCCATAAAATTGGCTTCTAGGTTAGCCCAGAGCTTGACTATGTTGAATTGCAAAATTCATAGGTCAGTTGTGCTGCTAAATTTTTGTGGCAATAACACCAAATTATAAATAAACATTGGTCATGCCTAAAATGTTGGATTATCCTGACTAATGATTGTCTTCATACTGTAGTATATATCAACAGGAGTGCAAAGGTGCCAGTTCTGCTTCAACTCGTACCTTTCTTCTAATCTCAAAAGAAGGTAATTGTCTTAAAAATTACTATGTTGACCGTTCCCAAGTAATGCTTTGATTAGCATCTGACGAACTGAAGCAGTAATATTTAAAAGTTTGATATCATATTATATTGAAAGAATCCTAGATACATGAATGTTCATTAAATGTCATCCAGGAAATCCCTTTGTTATAGAATATAGTTATTAGCAGAACTTTTGGTTCTCTTGCATAAATGTGACCAAGATATTAAATTTTCTTGTTGAAGTAGAATAGTTTCTGAAGGAGTTGGTGTTCATAATATATGCCGTTATGTATATTGGACCAGTACTCTTCTGTTATCCGGACCGGATTCAGAAATGTATGCATGTGTCATGTATTTGTGTGTATACACGCACATATATGCACCTACACGCGTGCATACATACATTTCTGAATCTGTCCTGATAACAGAAGAGTACCATTGGACCTTCCCTATTTAAATTCACATTATGTTGAGGATCTTTGACCCAGTAAAGTAGGCAGTCAGCAGAGCAGTGAAAACATTTAGTATTTTATTTTTAGAGTTCTAAACCTTCTTGTAAGCGAAAAATGCCTTTTTGTAGGACGCACTCCAAACCTGACAATGATTCAACTGACTATGAGCACTCGATCAAACGGACACAACCCAAGTTTAAGGAAAAAAAAAAACACTTCCTTAAAGACGAAAAACCTCTTAAACAAAGTAAGAGGAAGCACACCAAATCAACTCCTGAACTGAAAAGATCTAAAACCACTCAACACACTGATTTCCCGGAAAAAATTCAACAAGCAATCCAAGAGGCCAACAAAGTATCATTTGAAGAACTAATCCATACCCTCACAGGCAAATCAGTCGAAGATGCAACTTCCGACCTGAAAAAGAACATCCCTAAAATCAATGAAAAATATGTAGCTTCCCTAAAGACTGCATGCCCAGAAAAATTCTACGAAAACTGATAAAGAAAGCAAAGACGAAACCGAAATGGAGATCGCTATTGAAGCGAAAACCAATAAACCTGGTGAATGGCTCACCCCAAAAAAGACAGCAAAACCAAAAGTAACCCAAGAAATCAAGGAAATCCCTCCCAAAAATGGATTTGAAACTAACATCGAACACAGAAGCTAACACAATCAATTCAACTGAAGAGGAAATTCCCCCCCCCCCATTGTTTTTAAGCAGAACGCCATTGATTGGCTGGAAGTAAGAGAACTCTTGCAGAAAGTTTGTACAGACAAAATTGAAGCAGATATGAAAGCATGGCTTTTATATGTAAACATTAAGAAAATTGAAGAATATTGTGATGCTGCTCTCTTATCACAAGCCAAGAAAATCCCCTTTCATGCTTTTCAAATCTCAACTGAGAAACTTTTGAAAGTCGTAATGAAAAACCTCCCTGAAACCATGAAGGAAGAAAATGTATTGCAGGATCTTAAAAGATGTGATTTTCCTATTTTAAAAGTAAAACAATTTCCAGGAGTGCAAAGAATAACTTTGAAAAACTCCTAATCTTTTTACTCGAACTACAGAAAACGAACGCTGGATATGCTATTCACCATCTCAATAATATGTTTGGAATCAACATCAGAATAGAAAACTAACATCCAAAAAAGAGAATAATACATTGCTTTAAATGCCAGGAGTTTGGACACTTCCAAATCTATGTCATAACCCTGAAAGATGCTGTAAATGTGGAAAAATGCACAGAATCAATCGATGCACTTTAAAGCCTAAAGAAAAGCCAACTTGTATTTTCTGCTCAGAATCTCATGTATCTTCTTATCATGGATGTTCAGCATTCAAAAGACGTTTTGAAAAGAAAATTGATCCCAACTTCAGCCGATTTTCCACAGACTTTAAAAACTGCAATAACTAATGAAAACACCATTTCGAAGATTTCTGCGAAACTTCAAAGTGAACTTAAGCCTTTCCCTACAGAAACTAAATATGCCTTAGTATGGTTATAAGACCCAAAAATTAGAAATTTTCTATGAAAAATTTTTTCTCAGACACAAAAATTCTGAAACGCAAAATCTCCAGCAGAGGAGTTAGCCACAGAATTTAATGCAGCACTCACGCTGATGAAATTTTCTGGACTTTTTAAAAATGGTATTCTTCACAGCCTTCTGGACTTAACCTTTTCCCGGGGGCTGGGACATATATGTCCCACACTTTCATTACTTTAAATGCGTCTCAAGAAATTTCAGTAAACTATGGAGATTTAAAATTTACTCCTTAATATGGATTAGGAAGAGCAAGATCCTGTCGATTTGTTTTTCTGTTTCTTTCATTTAAAATAAGTGACTAAATGGCCAAAATACGTTCGAAATTGGCCCCTATAGCCCACGGGAAAAGGTTAACGACAAAAACTCAGCAGTCACTTGGGTGGGTGACCACCCACGTGACTGGCCTTGACGAATCATCTTTATCTCCTTACTGTTTGTCGGTTACCAAAATCGTATTAATTTAATTAATTTTTGCTAATTATTGATTCTACTCAACCCTTGACTTTGCTAAGCTTCGTATTTTCGCTTAAGTGGTGGGGGTAATGTACCTATTTACTTAACAACTGCAAGTGCCCTAGGGCAAACCGAAATCGTATTGGCAATAGCTCTTTAGTAGCTCGGGCCTGTTTGCAAAAAAACGATCCCGATCTCTAATCTGGAATGTAAATAATAAAATGTACAAGACATATTTCTGTTACTGAAATAAAAAGAGCATGGTGTATCATCATTATCAATGCAAAACTATGTAAATGGTAATTTTGCAGTTACTTTGTGTAACACTAAAGTATGTTGGACACTGAGCAGCAAGAGAGCACCTATATAAATCATGGGGGAATCTTCTCTTCATAACCTTATTTCACCACATGGGGATACTCCCATGGACATGGACATGGCCAGTACATATACCAGAAGACAAAGTTTGTAATTTTTATTTTATGGGGGAACATCTGAAAACAGAAATTTCTACAATTTCTATTCAAGTTTTAGATAACTGCTGAACTCAAGGATGCAATCCAAAATGTAATTACAACAGCTTGTCAGAACAAGAACAACAGCTTGAAGAGCAAGAACTATATGGAACTTCAGGGTAAATGTGCATAACACAGGGACAGGTTATTTTGGGAAAAATCTTTTTATTTTGTAAATATAGATTTGATCTTGATGTTTGCATTGTGTGATAGCATTCTATATTAATAATTGATAATAATCATTAAAAGCACTGCATAAAAATTATGAAAAACTTTGCATTGATTATGACAAATGCCTATGATAACTTTGGTTTTTCAGTCAAAGTGTTATGTTCTGTCTGTTATTTCCATTTTATATTGGGGATTTGCCTCTGGACATGTTTTGTCTATTCTGTATTTTATAATTTATTTTTATCATATGTCTAATTTTTTCCCAATCTTACCATTTGCAGGATTTGTAAATGCTGATATTGACATTCCTGACGATGATGAAGAATCGGAAGCAGATGTAGAAGATTTACAACCAGATTCAGATAGTGCTGTGATAGGCAAGGTCAGTGAAAATTCTAGCTGAGTGAAAATTGATAAATATCATCAATGCAGGATAACTACTTTTCCCCCTTATTCTTAATAAATGAGGTGTTTCAACTTTGAACATCTCTTTTGATAATTTATTCATATATGCATTCTTGTTATTAAAAAAAAACTACACTAACACTACACGGGTAGGTGTGAGCTTAGAGTTTAAAAAAAAATGGAAAATAAATTTTTAAATGTGTCAAAAAAGCTGTCTTAGTTTGGCATAGAGTTTGAACAAAATTATGATAACAAAAATAATGGTACTGTCACATCATCCACCCAACCATCCAACAAAATCTCCAGTTGTTGGCAACTTAGCATATGGAAAATGGTAATATTGTTACAGATTTGGTATTTAAATAGCTAATGTTGAATTATAAATTAAATTGTTTTATTTGATGTGCAGTGTAGCACGTGACGAATATTAAAGGAAAGCTAAGCCAGAAAATTAAAAATACAAGAGCATGTGCATTTAATAAATAAATATCTCTTTTTTTGATTTTGAGAAAATTCTCACGCACGGTTTAAAATCTTATAAAAGGAGGAAGGCCTCTCAATTCGTTGTTGTTTTAAGAGTTTGTTTAGAAAACTGCTCTTGTTGACTGTAGTGAATTCGCAGATTAGCTTTTTCTAGCTGTTTTGAATTAAGTTCTCTTGAACATCCTGAGTAGTTAAAAGATAACTACTGTGAGATATTGTAACGCTGAACGAATATCTGAGGAAAATTGATCATTTGTTGTGATAATAATAAATTTTGTTCATTTTTCATCGGACTTGTACATTCAATTCAAACAAACCTGTACGCACGCAACAATATATAAAAAAATAGTGGCGTTAAACAGTCATGAATTAACAAAATCAAAAATGCAAGAAACATATATGATGAATCGGTAAAATTACACAGAGCTAACATTCATAATGAAACACTCAAAATTTCATAAAATAATAATAAATTAACTAAATTAAAAGCAGAGCAAACGTCCATAATAAAAAAATAACTTTCCGTTTTCCTGCTCTTCTGTTCATGTGCACTGATCTGATTTAACTTTAAAAAAAAATGAAAATTGCAGAGCAAACTGCCACATCTCTCCATGTATACATCAACCTGTTTTGATTTTTTTAAAAAGAGAATTGCACTTATTTGGGAAAGAAAATGTTGTCATTGTTACCTTAGAGCAGTTCATAAACTAGTTCTGAGGTGCAAGGTTTCTAAAGTAATGTAAAATCAAAGGTAAATAAAAGCTAGCCAAATGTGTCATTTTATTACTTTTAACAATAGTAATGAAAATCAATCCAGACAATATTTACATTTTTACGCCAGTGGATACCATTTAGCTATCTGCTTTTAAAATCTTTTCAAAACAGTCTTTTTGTTTTCCTTCTAGACATTTTCTCCAAGTGCAACTTATTTGGGGATGCACATTTCTACACTTTGCTACTACTATACTGCAGGTCAATCTAACTTGAGAACACTGGATATAGTAGAGAGTGTATGCATCCACCGTAGAATATAGTTCTACTATTCTGAGAAGTAATATTGTAAAAAAAACACCATGAAATATGAATACTGTTGAACAAAGAGAACGGAAGGAAAAAAGATATGTGAAACGCTGGATTAAGTTGCATCCAGCTTTTTGTTTAAAAATTTGCTAAATCGTGTCAATCATTCGATGACCAGCAGGAAGACATCCCCCCCTCTTTTTTGGCATTATTGGCGAAACTGCAAATTCGAGCAAACCCGACCTCACCCCCACTCTTGACGTGAAAAGCAATTAAAGTATTCATTCACTGACCGGGAGGAGAAAAAAGCAATTGTTATGGTATATGCTTCATCTTCGACATATGTATATAATTCTCAACTTCATAAAGCTGGAAAACCACTGCACAGTTCCGCTAAGATTATCTTAATGAATAGTTTTTGTCAAATTACGGGAGCATTTTTCTAATAATTCCGATAATGATAATGTTACTTGTTATAATAATCTTAGCGGGATTGAATACCTCAGTTAAGAAAAAGAGCCACAAATAAAAAATACTAGGGCTGTTTTCAAGGCCAAAAATTTAAAAAAGGTAAAACTATAAGCAGTTATAAAAGGCATTATAAATATAAGCTAACAACCCTTTGAAAATATATGAAAGTGTCCCTCCAGCATCCAAGTGGTTAAATCACTGAATACTGGTAGTTTGAGATTGTTTGAACCCAAGCAAACGGGCTGTATTCATGGCCAATTTGGTTTTTCCCATGTGTAATGTGAATACAGTCTTATTTCTTTTAGAAAGTTCCCCCACAAATGAATTTCAACCCTTAGTCAGATAGTTCTTCTTTGCTTTGCTATATTTAAATCACCTAACTTAACCAATACAAAAGTACTGATCAATTAAGTTAATTATGGTAGAAGGAACTAGGGTTTCTATCTAAAGGAACCAATGGCTGCATGGGGACTTTATAAGGGACGTCTTTTATATAATACACTGAGGGACTCGCATGCAGTTCAGAGCTTACAGTCATTACAAAGGAACTTGCTACATACTACCAGTGTTTCATGGCTTAAGCAACTCTATCATTAATATGCTTGATTTACAGATGATTCCATCTAAAGAAAGGAATAGCTGGAGCTTTCCATATGATATGCTTGTTATTTTATACCTCGAAGGAAGTGTATGGTTTTTACCTAACTTATACAGTCCTACACGACAAAAAATAATTCGCAGATTCTCAGAGAACTGAATCAGCCAGCTTTTTATAAATTGAGAGATGTAAAAGCAACGTATTCCCCTGCTGCGAAGCAAAAGACTCACCTTTCATGCCCCATCGCACATAGACGTTATATATGCAGATTAACCACACAACAATTTTAAATTACATAAAGTTCAAAATGAATTTCGGTCTCGGGCTTTTCATTAAGTTATACATGGATGAATTACTTTTTCATTGCAATTCTCAGATGTATTTCTGTTTTGCATATCACAATGTGAAGATTCAGATTTTTCAACCACGGTTTTTGCTCACCACTCTAGTGTATTTGTGTCATGTGTACAGTTCACCTCGGTAATTTTAGCAATTGGTACATGTTTATTCCTCCATTTCCTGAAAACCAGTTCTGATTTTTTCATTAGAGTTATGAATAGAATCTGATTCTTTACAAACAGTATCGTAGTTCAGAATCAAGTCTGTGTCTCTATAACTTGTATTATGAAACACACAGTTTGTGAAGTGGATATATTTTCTTGCAATACTAGAACACTGCTTAAGCTGTACATCAGCTTCTCTCATACCTGCATCACATGAATTTTCAGATGGTTGTATACTTGCTGTGTCTTTGTAATTTCGCTGTCAGTTTCTACCAATTTCTTCCATCTTTTCTTTAGGCTCTTTAGAACCTTTATTTCCATGAATTTTTTCTTCACCTCTTTCAGATGCTTTACTAGCCACTTCTTTTATTTCTTCATCTTTGCAAACAGTATTATCATTTCCACTTCAGGCAATGGCCCCAGCGGCCGAGTGGTAAAGTCGCTGAACACTGGTTCGTGGTTCAAATCTCGCGAACAGGCTGGCTGCATGGGCATTTTCGTGGTTTTCCGCATGCACAACGTGTATACGAGCCAGTTTTCCTAAGAAAGTCCTCCACGAAGGCATCCCTCCCCTTAGGCAGATAGCCCTAGTGTGCTTTGCCATAATTAAATAAGCCAAACCAAACCACTTCAGGCAATTGAGAATTGAAAGCTTCTTTCCTGTCTTTCATTTTTTCTTCTTTTCGCTTTCTTTTTTCAGTCGTGTTAGATGTTTCATCCTACATTTCTTGATCTTTTTCTGATACTTCACCAGCTATGTCCTTCATTTCATCCCTTAATTTTTCAGATGTCACTACTCTCATTTCCTTATCTTCTATTTTGGCTGCAATTTTTTCTCTAAACTCCAAGATGTTGCTTCTAATTGCTTCTAATCTTCTTTTGCTTCACTTCCATCCGTTGGATTTGCTCTTGCAGCTTTTCTTGTCTGGCTTTTATTTCTTCTTGAGACGATTTTATTTCGATCACTAACTCTCCTTTTCTCTCTTTCATCTCTTCTAGTAAAGCTTTTACATTTGCAAACAAGTCTATCAAATCCTTCATTTCCTCCGCTATGGCTTTCTTCTTCAGGCAGGTCATGGCATTCACTCACAAACCCCATTTCTGATGCTATTTGTTGTGTTCTATGGCTTCGTGGATTTGGAGTGATTGACGACAAAACTTCATGAAGAATTAAAACACAATTTATTCACCAGTATTACGCAGGACCGTTCCAAAGACAGGTTTACAGTTCATCGAAAAACTATGCAAACATTGAAACAGTCAGAAACGCAGCCTTCAGGCTATGAGAAGATTACAACTTCACAGCAAAGTACTAAATTACAGCTCCCGACATGGTTCAGTCACTCTCTTACTAATTTCTGAACTCAAAACACTGCTACTAAACTTAACATACTCTCTACTCTGCATACAGGCAGGGTATATATAACTTTTAACCTGCCTTCAAGAACATTCTTGGGAAAACCGGTAAGAATTCGATTTAGAATATTCTCACTCCATCTGTGTCACATCGCCAATTTTGTCACCAAATGGGTGATTTTGTGCCAAATCTGGCAACCTTACCACCCTAACCCCTCTTTACAGGGAAGCTATCTTACTACAGCTGGGTATTCTGTAAAACTTAACGAAATTTTTATTAACAAACTCTAGGATTTCAAAGCGAGCAATGGCTACATGTTATGGAAAAAAACATCTTTATCTGCAGCACGAGACTATCTATCAGAAATTCTGCAAATATGCTGTTTTTAAATATTGTGATATTGCTGTTAAATTGAATGTCGTGATTTAAGTGTGAAGAGTATGATATTTAATAAATAAAAGTAGCACACAATACATTTAAAAAAATGCTCCTTTGGGGCAGAAATAAGATCTGAAAGCTTTCAGATTTTTATGTTTCTATTAAGAAAGTTTTTTTTTATTCTTTAATCAGATATTTTTGCTTTATATATAGGGTGATGCATTGGATGAAGAGTCTGATGACACTGCTCTGAAAACTTCACCTGATGCCGATACGACCTTTATCTTTACGCAACCTGCTGGATTAGGATTAGGTGAGAATGTTACTTCTAGGTTTTTATTATGTATTTAGAAAAGGCTGTAATATAAAAATTATCTTTTTATATACAGTAAAACAGAAGTATTAAATTCAGTTTTTATGAAAAGTTGCATGGTAAATCTTTTCATGGATTAGATTTATCTGCAACAGCTTTGTAATCAAGAAAGCTGATGATGTTGCTTAGCATGAATTAAAAATAACAATTTATTGCAGAGAGAATTTTTGTAATTTTTCATATGAATGTGAATGGTTGGTTATAAGGTAGATTTTCAAAGTGAATAACTGTTAAACACTAATGACAGAGATCTGAGACCACTGAATACTAAAATTTTGAGCTGGTTGCATGGATTTTTTCTAGCTATCTCGTTTGATATATTGGTTAAAGGCAGTGGTTACTGTGGCCAGATTTTGATACCAGAGGCATCGGTGTTGTACATCAGATGCCTTCAGTGGTATGTCTTAATGCATAGCTGTTAGTGGTGAGATGGCAAAATGACCAATGTGATTGGCTGTTTGTTGGGGGGGGGGAAAGTAATTTTTTATATGTTTAATGTAAATATCCAGTTCTTCTGATAAAAGTTCTTGAAGAACTTTCAGAGAAAGGCTTCTGCTTGTTTCTCTAAATTGGCTCTTGATCAAAAACTGAACTAAAAGCAGTTGCTGTTGACATAGATTTTTTGCCTAGCATAAACCAAGCAGTTGAAATTTCTTCTCAACATGTCGAAATGCAGTCTATCCTTTTTAGAAGATTATAAGAATTCTGTTATCATTCCTTTCTTTTCATCAATTAGCTATAAAATTGTGTGCATTTTATAGAAATTCTACTTTTGGGTTGTTGCCAGCAGTGCTTCATTTACATTGGTTGAACTCAGAGAGCTGTAAAATTTTGCATAAATGCGAGACATAAGGTAGGGAGAAAGAAACACATAAATTGTCTGTCTCCAAACATTGTTTTTCAGCATTTTCTATTTTTCTGCAATTGAAACTTATCAAAAAATATCTTCCATGTATAAATCAGATTTTCTAGAAGCATTTCACAGTCATAAAAAAATCTTTCATTTTCATTTATAGTTAACAATCCCAATTGCAATCTATTTTTACCCTCAGCTTTTGAGCAAATTATTTTAGTTTTCATTTTTCATCAAAAGATAGTGTCCTTAGCATGATTTCCTTCATGTCATTTGCACTTCTGCAACTGAAGAAGGTTCTTCTGTATTTAAACCTCAAAACTACTATTGCAAATTTATAAATATGAACCTGATTCTTGTTACCTTAACATCTGCAATATTCGAGAGCTTTTGATGGATATAAAATATCATTTTATTTTTTATATTCGAAGATCTCATGCTGCCTAGGGATTTGTTAAATATTGCTTTAGTTATTTTAGAGTAATTTATTCATTAACCATGTAATAAAGTGTTTCTATGGAGGCAGTTCAGTATCAGAGTCGTATAAGTCTTTGGTGACATTTGAAGTTTGCATGTTACAGATAGTTGATTAACTTTGCCTATCTTGGCAGCTAAGTGTGAAACACTTAACAAGGAAGATTATTGTATTTTATAACATCAGTTAACAGATTTAACAGCAGGCTTCTTTCATGAATTCTTTTCTGCTTATTATAAGTTGAATATTTATAAATATCTTATCGTTGATATCACAGTTTTTCGTGTGTATTGTTTGAAATCACTCTTTTTTCCTTTCTTTAGAATTACCTGCTGGAAAAGATGTCCATTTCTTGGTTGGTTTTGCAAATCGAGGCTCAAAAGATTTTACAGTTGAAGCTATGGATGCATCCTTCCGCTACCCATTAGATTTCACTTTCCACATTCAAAACGTAAGGCTTTGATGTTGTAAAGAAATGAAATTCTCAATTTTTTTTGTATTTGTCACACATTTTTTTTTTTTTTTTTTCCTTTTTTTCCTCCAGTTCAGCACCATTCCATATAATAGAGTTGTTAAGCCAAAGCAAGAAATCTCTCTCTACTATGCATTTTATACCAGTGAAACATATAGTTCCCGTCCTTTTGGCTTAGTTGTTAACTTGTATTATAAAGATTCTGTAGGTATTTTTTCTTCCTTGTACAATGAATGGTTTTTGCATTTCATAGAGAATCAAAATATCTTTATAATTTTATAAATTTTGTTTCAAAGGACGGTCGTCAGTATTTAGATGCTGTATTTAATGAAACTATCACCATAGTAGAAATAGAAGAATCCCTTGATGGAGAAACGTATGTATATATATATATATATTTAAAACCAACAAGTCTTTCCAATTCTGAATAAAAATTAATTTTCTTAATATTTTGTCTCTAGGTTTTTCTTGTATGTTTTGCTAGCAGCTTGTGCAGTTCTTATTCTAGTTGCAATACAGCAATTTTTAGTTTCATTTACGGTATGTATGAAATTTTACACCTTAGACCTTTTGCTACATGTGATAGTTAAGTGAAAATTTAATTATATATTGCTTGTTTTAAATATTACTTATAATTTCATGTTTTCTTTAATCTAAGATATGCCCTTTAAGTATCACCAAAAGGGAAAGACCCTTAAATGTTACAAAAGTGATTACATGAAATATAATACTAGAATACATCATTAGTTTTGCTAAATGAAATACTTTTGCTATATTGAATTTTATTATTAATAACAAAAATAGTCACCCTTTATCAGTAGTATGGTATTTATTACTTATCACAGGCATGCTTCCTTCTGGATCACTATCAGAATTTTAGTCTGCATTACATGCACACTGTTACACTTCTGCATCACCTGTATTATCTCATAATATAATCTGCATAATTAGAAACCTTTTTAAAATGACCATGACAGCTGTTTCCAAAGCACAACGAAAAGAGCAATTTTAAATTGCATTCCATTAAGACTTTAATATAGAGAGGTATGGAGTATCTTAGGATTGAAGAAATACGTTATTTGAAATTGGTGTAATCATTTCTTTTTCACTGGTGATTGTAGTCCAGATACAGCCAAAATTCTGAATTTTTTTACTTTATCAAATTCAGAATTTCTGGATTTGAAAAATGTAGACTATAATGAATAAATCTGTAAAATCAAAATCTTCTTCAGTTTTGTTTGAAAACTAATATATCATTCAATGATTATATAAATTTGCAACTTCTAGACTATATAGAAATTCATTGAGGGGTTAAATTTCTTCTCCTAGCAAACTTAAGTTTGTCTTATTCAGAAAAGTTGTTTTTGCTCTTATGCTGAAACAGAAGAAATTGATATTGTGAAGTTTTGGGCTGAAGTATTTAGACATACTTTTTATGAAATTTTTTTCAGTGTTACTTTGGAGAGTCCAGTGCAGATAAAACATTTGTATAAATATTTTAACTGCATTTTATGATGGAATGTTCAGTGAAAACACCACTTCCTTGAGAGAAGACAGTTGCTCCTACAAAGAGTTATGAAGTATTATAATGCAGCAGATAAAAAATTTCTTGTAAGTAGATTCAGGGTTGCCATGCTACCCAAAAAACAAGGAAGAAAATTCGAAAGCTGATCAAAAAAATCGGAAAAGTTGAGGGGATTTCCTACTTCAATCCCCAAAAAAAGCAATTTTAATGCCAATGTTGGAAGCAATCACTTTCTTGGAAAATTATGTATCGTGTGAGTGTCATTCGGACAACTCGCGTAGATCCAGTTTTCGCAGCGTCAGTCAGATTGTCTTTTAGAAAGGCAAAGCAAGTTTCCAGCATCTTTTCGTTTTCAGTAACCTCAAGAATTTATAGATTTGCATGTGCAGTGCATGGCGAACAAAAATAAATTCATTCCTTCGCCATTCTCATATAAAACAAAATCTTTGCGTTTTATATGAGATAAAAAAAAATCAAAACTTTTTCTTTTTTCTGAGATGCCTTATTTGTCATTTTGCAGTAAAATGAAAAAAAAAAAAAAATCAGTCATTTAGGTTAACTATTTAATATACCTATATTCTCCAAAATACTGTCGATTTTTGCAATTCAGCTTTTAATCTTTTAAGTATCGAACTTTATTTTAATGTTATTTGTATCATTTAATGAGGCTTCTTCCTTCTAAATTTATTTCTTATTAGTTAATAATACTTTCAGATTTCAGACAATTTTCTCTGACCTTGTGAAACTAATTCTAGCAGTATGATGAAATTACTATCTCACCAAATTTAGTGCATATAATTTTTCCTTATGTATGCTGCTAAATAAATATAAATTACTTAAATTTATTTTAAAATATCATTAAATAGATTTCTTTCTTCCTTTAACTGCAAAATGTCTGCAGAAAAGACATTTTTTAATCCCGATTGGGCAGATTCTAATCTCAATCCTCATAGAGAAAACAACTGCTATTATACAATTGTTATAATAGTAATGCTTTGTGGGTTATATTTATGTGTATAGTTGGCAAATTTTTGCATTGTCAAGTGATACCATAATAAATTTACCCTCAGCACAGCCAACATGCCCTACGCAGATAGTATGTAATAATATAGCCTGGAATTTTCTTGAAACACACCTGGAAAATAAGGGAATTTCATTCTCCTGATTGAGTGGCAGCCCTGTAGACTGTAGTGTATTTCATTAAAGAAGTAATTTTACTGTTACACAAATTCCCATTAATTTTAGGCTATTTTCCCAGACCTTATGAATAGGAATTTCTTCAACAAATACAAAAAAATAATAAAATTACTTTTTTTGGTTATTCTTAGTTAATTTTTTGTATTTAAGTATTTTTAAAGCAGCTTTCATTAGAATACGTGTAAAACTACAGTAAGTTGCGGCAAGGCTGCAAAGTAATCTTGCTCAATAATCCAAAACCTAATTTTAAATTGAATTACTTCTTAGGATTTCATTTTATGTACTCTCAGTAAGAAATTATTTTATGCAGTTGCCAACCACTATCTGACAGTATGTATAAACAATGTCAATCTGATTGATCCTTTTTAAAATCTAAGATCATATTAAGCAGATGCTGCATGGAAAAAGAACATTTTTGTGTGTTTTGAAATGCATTGGATTAGTTTTTAAAATATATATCATTAGTTATTTGTATTTGCTAGATTTTTTTAAAATGTTGTAAATTGAATTTTAAAAGATGGAACTGCTACAACTGCTCTGTTTATTAAAAAAAAATTATTAATATTATTATTACTAGTAGTATTTTAGTATCTTATACCAGTATAATTGGTTGAGCATGCAATCTTATTGAGTTTGAAAGGAGGTAAACAGTGTGGAATAAATGAAATCACACTATCTTAAAAATATGAGACATTAGCAATTTGGTACTTGTTCATTAGCTGGATGCAAATGATTTACATGCTTTTTTGTATCTACCAGTATTGGCAAGAGATTAGAAAGTAGCCAATACAGTATAAGAAACAACTTGAAATGTTAAACTGCATTAAGACCAGGGCTGTGAAGTCAGACAGATTTTGGGGTAAAAGGAGTCAAAAACAGGTGGACTCCGACTCCAGTTTTCGTTGGACAGTTTAAATTTGAAATGAAATTAAAATGATTTGAAAAAAATTCATGACAAGCTGAATTATTATTTTTATTTATGGACTGTATACATTAATAAATAGTTTTCTATTTTATTGACCTATTAATAAATAAATATAAGGAAGGAGGATGGATGTGATATTTGCCATCAGTGAATTTTCGTTACCGATCTCCTGGTAAATTTAGGTAAACGCGCTGCAGCAGAACTCAAAATTGATGCCATTAGGAAGTGACAGGAAAGGCACAATTTTGATAAGCCTGCGATAAGAAGTACATATTTGATGATAAAGAGGTTTTTAGAATTAAGAACTTTTTTAGGAGATGTAGATAACCCTGATGTTTCACTAACAAACTGGAATGATCTTGCAGAATTGGAAACTCTTCTTGCTATACTGTATATAGCCACAAAAAAGCTGCAATCTGAAGAATTGGCAAGAGGCAAGAATGGGATGCTTGTTCTTTCTGAAATGGAGGTTTATTGCAGAAGGAATCATTTCTTCAATGAAGGAAAGAGAAACTACTTTGCAAGACAATGAGATCTTGCTGGGTTCAATATATGGAGATTCGAAACGCCTAATTTTCTTGGATGACAAACTAATTAAAAAGGCAAAGAAAGTCATCTGTGAACTTTCATTAAGAATGAAATTATCTCAGAACATTGAAAATTCGAATCAGGAAGTTAAATGGCGACCTGCATGAGTCCTATATCTTCCAGTGATGAATTAGATTTGAGAATATTTTGGATAATATGAAAGGGTAAGGCCAAAGCGAATGAAAAAAAAACAGAGCCTTTAGATATAAATGGCAAAAAAGACAAACTCTACACGGCCTTTGAAGAAATAGAAATAGATTGCACTTGAAGACACTTTTAGAATTTAAAGTCTATATGAAAGTTTAAAAGAAGTAGCATAAACGTAATAGTTTCTCTATTCGTTAGTGTGGAAAGATCTTTCAGTATGAAGTTATCAAATCGGATCTGGCCCTCCAACAAAGAAAATTTGCCAAAGCTTATACTTCTTAGAATAACCAATGCCAGTTTTTTGATCATAATAAATTTAATTAATAAAATATTGCTTGCCACCCTTTTTTCCTGTAGCATCTATTACTTCTTTTATAGTAAAAAAATAAGCTGTAACCCATGTTTACATATATATGAGGGAGTCGGGGGTCTGTCATTTTCCCTACCAACTCCACAGCCCTGATTTAGACTAATAATTATATTCTTGAATATGCACTGTATCTTCAGAGAAACACCAAATAAATAAACTAAGTCCAAATATGATACATAAGATAGGGGCAAAAGCTTCTTAACATAAAATGATTATTTTTCGCCTAAGCACGTTGAAATACAGGGTACATAGTTTACTGTGGAAACCTCATCACAATTAGAAACTGCTGGATTGGAGCACTTCAGATTCAAACATCAGTCAGTCATTAAGGACAAGGTTCATAAAGTGGTCTGCGATCAGATATGGAGCCCCAGTCTAGTTTTAACCGCCTGCCTGATTATCCCGAGTTATCTGAGGTTCATATATATTGCATTTAATTATTATCCCGTGAAAACTCGTGCGAAGCAGTATTTGTTAGTACGATTTGTTTTATCAAGGTTTTACTCGGCCTAGAGGAAATGAACAGAAATATTCAGCTTTGATTGGCAGTTTGCCAAGTTTTGTTGGTTGCACGGTTTTTTTGGAGGGACTGGTCACGTGTTTCCCTATTGTATAGTATATGTCGACTTGTGGATTAGTAATGTATAAGGAAGGATACATGCATTAAAATAAAATAATGGCGTATGCAGATAGCGAAAGCGATGATTTTTCAGATAGGATTATGAAGAGTGGAAAAAAAAATTTTTTTTAATCAAATCCAACGAGACGTGTACTCTGTGCTCCGGTTAAAGAATTCATTGTAAGCCAGTAAAAAAGAGACCAGATACCGGTATAGAATTCAGGTATCACTTTGTGTTGTCCCTTTTCAAAAACTATCATACAAAGACTAATATTTAACTTTTTTTCGTTTGCCCGAGATAACTTGGGATAGTAAACTAGTATTAAAACTAAATGCTTTTGCACATTTAAAAATTCAACTTAAAACCAACATATTTTGATTTGTTTCGTTTCATTGTGTTTAATAATAAAATAAAAAATGTGATGATTTTTTTGCAATTTTTTTCAAAAAAATTTGTAAGGGAAATGGTTAATTAATTTGTCATGTTTGGTAGTTCATCTCATTGTTCAGCATCATGAAACTGTGCAACTGGAAAATAAATAGATGCTATTTACTTGTTCCATAGAATCAGCGTATTCTGAATGAAAAAAAATTCATTCCACAGTGAAAGTTGTGAGCAATGTGGCATTGATGATAGGGGCTTCTGAACTGTTTCATGTGGGTTCACCTAAAATTAGCTTCTGTGATTCACTTAACAGTGAAATTTACATTTGGGACATCCAGCATAATTAGCAAAAGAATGCTGGCTGTATTTGCTGTACACAGTTTTGATTATAATCTTTCAAATTATATTATAAAAATCCTGCATCTGATCTCGGCTCAGTAGAAAATTTTAAATTATTTGCATACTGATTAGAAACTTGCTGCATGCTTGGATGAATTGAGACTGTGAAGTCTTATTTGTGCAGTAGATTTGTAGTGAAATTATTCTGTAGGCTGACAGGATTGATTAGTAGTTTGCCTGCAATATCTTATTAGGATATATGGTTAAATGTGCTTGTTTTGTCTTTTGTGCATAACGTAACATACATATACAGAAGTAAAGATTTCCAGTGAGTATTCAATGATGGGAGTTTGGTGCCAACTACTGGTTTTTAGGGCTTTGCCAGTTACCAGTCTCATGGTCACCTACAACAGTTGCTGTCCTTAGCTGCTTTGTTTGCATTTAAGTTCAGAATTTGGGTTGCATAATTTGATGTTCAAGGCAGTCAAGCCAAAATGGCTATCTGACTACAGTAATTTGGAGCAAACTACTACTTTAACATCCTCCCATCACCTTAATATGATAAACAGCTTGCACAGTTTGTGCCAATGAGTCCATGGAGACCAGAATGATGTCTTTTTTTGTATTGTGAGCAATAATATGCTTGTGGCACACCCTGCCACTGAGTAAAAAGCAGTCACTTTGGTCCATGCAACTGTTTTGGACTGATTGATTTAAGCATCAAGTTATGATCAGCAGTTTCCAATTTCTAAACCCAAGTGTGAGCACAGTGACTACGGACAACGACTGTGCCTTCTATTAGCAGGCTTAGCCATCAGCAACTCTACACTGTGTAGACCAGGAGTAGTTCATTATTATTACAAATTATAGATGCTGCCACAAGACTGGCAAAGTTAACTATGTCTGTTGTAGGTACAAAAGATATCTATGAGATTAATACTTCAAAAAATTAAATATATTTTACTGTTTCTATCTGTAATGGAAATATTTTAATGCCTGAATTATAGAAATCAACACTTAATTTTATTTTCAGAGAAAGAAAATATCTTCAGGCCAAAAAATTGAAACAGGGACTCAAAATCATCAAAATGATGTAGATTATGACTGGTTGCCTAAAGAAACTTTAAATGAACTTAGTAAGTGCTTATAATTTTGTTAATAAATTTGTTGTGATAATAAAATACCTTCAAAATGTTTGCTTATTTATATAATATATTTTCACTGAGCATGAGTATTTTTCATATAGTGTTAAGTGTTTTATATGAAAATGTAGGCATGAATATACACAAATTTTTAAGGTGGATATTAGTTATTGACCTATGAGTTTAATTAAAGGTCTACAAGTTGCAAAGCTGTAAAATGCTATTCATTCCTCATTTAGCTACCAATGATTAAAGTGCAGTTTCTTGTTGATGATTTTTTATGAAGCTGCTTTAACTTTTTGAAATGAACAGTTTTCATAGCTTGCCATAGATTGAACCAGTAACTAATGAAATACAAAATTGAACTGTTAAATTGAATAAAAAAAGTTCAACCATTTTTAGATTCAGTATCTTTAAAAAAAAAGTAGTAAAAGCCATTTCTTTTTGTTTATTTGTAGAGCATTAAAAAGTCATGTTGCATGCATACATGTTCGTAATAGACTAAATGCACAAGTCCAATAATAGGTTAATAAAATTTATTCTTATTGAAATATATCAGAACACTTGAATTTTCTTCACAGATATTCGTAAAAGTGTTCACAATATAGCGCAGTGCAATCAGTAGTTATGCCTCGACTAAAAACATAAAACTACAACGCAATGCAAAGCGTTAATATCTAAAGAGAAAGCTAATTCGGATATCTCATTTCACATGGAACTAAACAAATCACAACAAAAATAACTAACCAACTGACTAAAACGTTCTCTCTCTGGCCTTTTATAGATTTCAAATGGTCAATTGCAAGATATTTCTCATACTTTCTGCTTCTGAAATTTACTAGAAGGCAATAAGAGGATAGGATTATGGTTACAGCTAACATAGTGATCAGTTACATATATTCAATTTCAATACAATTCTTGATACAAATTACCGAGATAACATTTACTCACTGTTAAAATGCACATGCCCTCTATATTTTTACTTTTCTGACATAGCTTTCTCTTAATTATTACTTCATGCTACATTGCATGGGAAAACACAACAATTTTAATTACAATTCTACTAAAGTTAGCTATTTAAATGCAAAATTCATAACACTGCCCCTTTCGCAAGAACTGCATGTCCCTGAACTGGAAGCCACTTACAACTATGGCATCGATGCAATAAACATTACACTACAAAAACAAACAATTGCAATAAATAACTTAAAGAAAATTAAATACTAAATCAGTAAATGAGGGCACAAATTTATAAACAAATAGAACCATAGTCTTATACTGTTACGAAATGTACAGGCGCAGTGAGATAGCTTCCCCGCAAAGCAGTTTTAGGGTTGCCATAAAAATGGCAAGGAAAGGCAGGGTTGCCACATTTGGCAACAAAATTGGCAATATACCATGGACGGATGGAGAACCTTCTGGAATGAATTCTTACCAGTTTAACCCAAAATGTTCTCGAACACAAGCCGAAAGCTATATAAACCCTGCTGGTTCGCAGTCAGTGTGAGTGTGTGCTTCGTCTGGCAAGCTGATAGTCAGTCATTGAGCGAATGTCTCGAAGTCTAGCGCTGAGTTGATTGTTGAGTGCACCGAAGGAGTCTCTTAGTGCATCGGTGAGAGAGCGTGTTGAGCTCCGGGAATGACTGAACCGAAGAGTCAGGAGCCGTTCTCTGTGTGTCGTTTGAGTGCATCGCAAGTTGTAGCGTGGAGAGTCTCGAGAGTACGTGGAGTTCCTAGAACGACCAAGGAGAGTCGAAAGCTGTACTATGGTGCTTTGCAGTGAAGCTGTCTCCACCGTTGTTGCCTGACAGTGTGAAGACGGTGTCGCTGATTGTTCCAGCGTATTTATTGTAGATCTTTGACGACTGTAAAAGTGTTTTGGAGCCGTCTTAATTAATATTGGTAAATAAAGTGTGTTTCGATACTTCATCAAGTATCATCGTTATTCACTCCAAATCTAAAACCCCATACGAACGTAGAGGAGGAAAATAACATAACAACTGGTGTCAGAAGGGGAAAAAACGCAACAGTACACTAATGATGAACAACTTTATGCTTAGAATTCGATGAATTACGGATCCAAACTATGATGACATTCAGCCTGATTAGGACCTGTAAAGACCATCCCAATCTTGGGTGTACTCCTCAGGCTTCTTGTCTTGTCCTTCTGGAAACCACCAACAAGAGGTTGTTAAGGATGGTTCGATTAAAACCTCTCTACCATGCCATATTTTGAAGAATAATGGAGTCGTTCGAGTTTTGTCAATGCCAAGTAGCTTACAGAGTTCTTTCACTACAGCCAATGCAAAATTTCTTCCTTTATCGGAATGTAACTGAAGAGGCACTCAGAACCTGGACATCTAATGCTGTATCATTACCTCTGCTACCGTGACAGCCTCTTGATCGGGCATAGGCTATGCTTCAGGCCACTTGATAAAGTAATCAATGACAACAAGGATGCATTTGTTGCATTTAGCAGTTTGTGATAAAGATCCCAGAATATCAAGGACAATGTGTTCAAAAGGTGCTCCTACATTGTAAAGTTGTAGCTTTCCTCAGCTGCATTTCTCTTTAGTCCTTTCCAACCCACACAGGCGTTGCAAGATTGGCACCACTTTTGCACGTCATCCTTTGCATTACTCCAATAGAAACGCTCACAAAGTCTTCATTATTCTGAAGTGGGCTGCTGTGCAGTTGTTTAAGGACGCTGGGGTCTCAGAAGTATCGCCTGCCACTCTAAAGCCTATTCCATCATCCAATTCAAACTTCTGGTACAAACTGCTAAATGCAACAAATGCATCGTTTTGAATATGGAGCGAGTCCCAGAGAGCGTTTTGTTGTAGAACTATAGATTGAAGTGTTCTGTTTGAAGACTCCATCAATTAAATTATGGATTCAATGTCGCCATCTTCCTGCTTATATATTTCCTGACTTTATAATCACTCCACTGCTTTCAATCAGCCGATGTTAGTGTAATTTGTCGAGCAACCGAACTCAGCAGCTGGTATTTCTCTTCAACCCTATTATGATATTGACAGCTTTCTGAGCAAAGTCTTCCAGACAAAGTGTCAGCGTTTCCAGGTGCAGATCCCTTCTTATGATGAATAGTTATGTTCTCTGCCACTGAAAAGTTGTTTTTGAAGTCCAAGGAAAAAATGTATTTCCTTAGAAATCCAATCCGAGTATGTAAGAATCTGTAATATCTGCTACATATGCTAGGTGATGGTATGCCAAACTTCCAAATGTGATGTTTACATTTAATTTCCCATCAATTTCGATTTTTTAGGAGCTTCTCATTATCATTCAAATTCTGCTCCGTGATATGGTCTTACTTTCTGTGCCCAGGGGTGTTCTGCAATTCCTATGTACGTGGCCTTAAGCATCACATTTCCAACTTTCAATTTCTTCTCACTCCTGTTCCGTATCAAAGCATTGACTTGTGTGGTTAAATCATCTAAACAAGCAGTCACTTGATCCACTGGCTCCTGGATTTGAGCAAGCTCTGATTGGGTAGCAGTTTATACGAGTTGCTTGCTGGGCTGCCTCGAATTTCATGGCATACACCAGAGCGCTTTTCAAATCCTTGGCATCCGCCATTCATAGGTTTTCTATATTTCAAGATCCCAGATGCTGTCGATGAAGTACTGCAAGGACACGAGTTCTCTGGTTTCCGCCGGGCATTTCAAAAAGGTGAGATGAGACAGCCTTTCAACATTCGTGGCAAATTCCGGGAGTGTTTTCGTAGACTTCTGTTGATGAGATTTTAATTGAAGCCTCGCCAAAGCGCAGCTCCATTGCACCGGATAAAGCTTTGAAATCTAGCCTTTGGTTTTCCAGAAGAGTCAAAAGATGTTTGCTGTCAGATTTACTTACCAGCTTACATCTTTTCTTGACCCGCCTTTATTTCTTCTTTGAACCACCAACTGCCTTAATTGTTCTTCCATCGCTCTTATCACTGGCATTCAATCCCACTCCTAACACCAAAAAGTGTTGCACGCATACGGGTTTGTAATGCACACGTCCGATAATAGCTTAATAATATTTATTCTAGTCAAAAGAAATATAACAGAACGCTTGAATTTTCCTCAGAGATATTCATACAAGTGTTCACAATATCACACAGTGCAATCAGTAATTATAGTTCAAACTACTAAAAACGTTAAAATATAACTCAATGCAAATTGTTATATCTAAAGAGAGAGCTAATTCAGATATCTTAGTTCACACAGAACTAAAAAAATTGCAACAATAACTAAGCAAATGACTAAAGTGCTTTCTCTCTTCGGACTTTTATAGATTTTAATTGATTGCGATATTTCTCATACTTTCTATTTCTGAAAATTACTGGAAAGCAATAAGAGGATGGGATTACGGTTACAGCTAACATAATGGCCAATTACATTTATTTAATTTCAATACAATTCTTGATACAAATTATCCAGATAACATTTACTCAAATGTTAAAATGCACGTGCTCCTGCATTTTTATACAGGGGAATACAACAATTTTACTTGCAATTGTACTAAAATTATCTATCTAAATACAAAATTCGTAACAATATTTAACCATTAAATAAGCTGTATAAAAACATTATGGAAAAAGCATGTTAAAAGAAATACCAGTACAACCATTTTTGTTGTCATATTTAGTATTCGGAAATTTTCAATAGATATTTCAGGTGTGTAACTGCATATCTGAACTTGAAAGTATTTAAAAAAGTGAAATTGCATATAATTTTTCATTCACTTTCAGATAAATCTCCACGGAGAGCTGAGCGGTTATCACCGAGAAAGCCAAAACAAAATCAGAAAAATGCACAGACTTCTCCAAAGCAGCAAACTCCAAAAGAATTCAATCAGAGGCGAGCAAAACGAGGAGTTGGTGTTAAAGATGAATGATAGATTTTATATATGTGCAGTTGAACATAAGTTGTATTGCCAATTTGTGTTAATTAAAATATGGAATGTGGTTTTTTAAACATTTTTCATTTAAAAATGGGGAATTTACATACAAGACTCAGGTAAACTTGTTTGGAGAGAATTATTTATTTAACCAAAAAGAATTTTGGTTAAATCCCAATGTTTATCAAATTTCTCAAGCAATGGTTACCATGAAACCAACCTTCAAAAGATATCTAGCACAAGAACAATAACAGGTGTAAAGTGTGACATTTTTGTAATTGCCTACAATTTACAGAACATCGCATATAGAAAGTAGCCTGCATGGTTTCAATATTTGAAGTCACAGAGTTACACATTAAGGCAAAATTTCTGGTAGGTGTCATGCTTGTCAAACAACAGTGCCTGTTGCTTGAGTAGCACAATGCAGGTCATGGACACATCTGCAAATAAGTAATGTTGATCTGTATACAATTAACGAATAGCTTATAATCCCTACCTTGTGTTAAGGATGGAGATGAGCAGAAGTACCCAATAAATGATAGTTTTCCGGTATGCCGATAAATGCTTTTTCTGTAGAAATCTTTAATAGTAAATAACTAGTTAAGTGATGCAATCCTTCCTGCAACCTACTGCAACTATGGTAACAACCTGTAATGTACCTTTCCAGAGAGAATAATCAATCTCAGCTTGCTACAAAGTGGGGGACCTCAATTCGATGTTGCAGATTTTAAGTACTCTCTCTTAATCCCCTGAAGCTGAAAGCAGGCCAGGTCTCGGAGACCACCCCAGCGAAAGGCACTCTACGGATACCGATATCAACCTGGCAATGTGACTGGTCATCAGTAATGTCGCCAGCAGTAACGTGGGCTGCTCGGAATACTCAGATCAACTGAGCTCCCTGTGCGCAGGCTGCCCGGAATACCCAGACCAGCTGAGCTGCCAGTGATCTTACGCTAGTCTCCCTCAGCCCGAATGTATAAATGATCTTCCCTCGGTTTCAGAAACCATTAAGCTCCTAATTATTGATCCCCTAGAATGCTACTGCCATGATAAAATACCAAGTCACCGTGTACACCCCAGAGGGTCAACAGCAAGTAAGAATATACGAGACAAATACATGCAAATGTTGCACGTTCCAAAATGTATGAAATATGAAAAAGAAGACAATAAAAAATGGTAGCTATCCAAATATTAAATCTAACATACATTTTTGCATTAACTTGAATGTATCTTCTGTTCCAGACATAAATTTTACTAAGTGTGACATGTATTTCTACTGTAAGTCAAGCTTATCATTATCTATTCATGGTGTGCATACTAACTTTGCTCACAGCCCCACCATCCTATAGAGTGATGTAAATGCCCAATTTGATGGGATATGCAGTCACTGTTATTGATGGAGTACTTCAAACCTCACAAATATGTTTGCTAATCTATGGATGCAAATACTGCAGGCAGGTACCACTTACCAGGTGGGTTGCAAGCAATTTGAAAATGCCACACCTTGTACCTATTCTGTTTACACGCTTGATTCATCTCTGAAAGTTTTATGTGAATTCTTGCCAAGAAATCCAATAGCTTTCTGTTTTAGCTGCAAATGAAAATTTTCTTTGTAGGTTACAATTATATATAAAATTAGGGGAAAAATTTGTTTTATATTAAAAATTTAATGTACTTGTAAAATGCATGCCTGTGATAACCAATGCATTTGAAGACTTCTCTTTAGGGCATATTTTTATTTACATTAAATATTACATCTATTGAGAAAATTTCTTTTAAATCATTCCATTCACACCATTAATTCAGACATATCTATGGTATTAAGTATTACTTACAAAATGGAAAATGAAAATATGTAAAAGATGTACAATATGTACATGCACTATAATTACTAAGCTATGGAAGCTTTAAAGTAATCCTTCAGCAAATTCATCTTCATCATCATTTGTTGTACTTTCTTTCTTTTTAGGTGTATCATAACTGTCCATTGCAGCAGATCCTTCTGTTTCTGAAACTTGCAGTGATCGTGCCATTCTTGCAAACTGTATAAAGGGGCAGAATGAAATGAATTGGTGCCATTAATTTAAATACTACAGTCAAAAGTCGTTAATCCGGACTCGTCGGGACTTCGGCGATTCCGGATTATCGATTTTTCCGGATTATAGATCATCAGTTTATCTCGTAGATGGCATGCAGAAATCCAAATTAAAAAATATGATGAACCGTAATTTATGAAATAAAGACAATTATCTAAAGGTTATCAAAATTGGCAAAAAGAAAGCTTAATTTATTTGTTTACTTTATTAAACATTTCTTTCAATGTAAGTTGTTTAAGTTTTGCTTCGTTTCATGTGATAATACTTTCTCTTAATTCTATTAAACATACAATTTCTTGTCAGTTACAAAGTCGCCTTCAAGTCCTATCTTGCTGGGTAAGACACTGACTATGTCATCGAATTTTTTTGTTTCAATACCTCGTCCTTTTCTTCGCTATCGGAAGGATTATCATACGAGAACTGGTTTTAAATCATATCAAGAGGACATCTCAAGCTGAATAATACATTGGAAGGAATTATAAGCCAAATAAAATAAAAACATCTGCGCTGAGATAAGGATGTGCTAAAATCACTTCCATTCCTTACGCGCCCGACGCCGGCACGTGAAAATATAAAAGATTCGGAGTTCAAAATACTTTCGCTTTAGATCCTTTACATATTAACAAATATATATCGGAATTCTATTTGAATCTGAAAGTTAAGCATTACTTTTAAATTGCTCTTACGTCTGCAAAAATAAAACGATGCAATTGAAAATTAAGGACAAGCAATCATCAACATTAATGAAATAGATAACTATTTAGTTATCGTCATTATACTAAATGCGCACGCGAAACGTTTCTGCACTGCGCACCATATGCGCAGTGTAAAGTCTTACGCGCATGTGTCAACGCGGCGCATGCGCAAAGTTTTTTATTTTGATGTCCGGATTATAGATCATTCCGAATCTGGGTGTCCGAATTAATGACTTTGACTGTATACAATTATAGCTAAATTATCTATAGATTTGGTAATTCTTTTTAACATTCATTAGCACTTTCATGACTGCTGATGTATTTTTATATTGATTAGGAGCCACTTTTTTTTTCATATGATTCTAACTGCTGATTGATAATTATCCTGAAACATTGATAAATTAACCTTTAAAGGGTATCAGATGTTTGTCAATTTTTTAACTTCCTAAAAAATGCTAATTTTTCTACACCAAAAGCTGTACTTTGTAAGTTTCTAGTATTTCCTTTTGATTCTAAATGGCAGCACTATTCTATGAATGCTCAATATTTTACAGTTATATTAATTTCATACCTTATTCCAAGGTATCATATTAGAAGATCCATAAATTCTATTGGAGAGGAAGAAAAAATTCAAAATCTGCAAATATATGACATATACACATGCTGAATCTTACATATTTATTGCATTTCAGTTAGAAAAGATAATTAACAGACTATTATTTATACAATTTTAAGACCGATATATAATGGATAACTGTGGCCATACTGAGGGTACCACGCCAATAGATAGCAGCATCAGTCTTCTCCTTTTCTACTCTGTGAGATGACAATTTCTTTATATTATAATAGTTATGATATAATTTTTTATGATTAATTTACAGGTTGTTTAGGATTCAATATTATTTTCATAGGGGGATGGGGAGTTTACTGACCCTGTACTAGGCCTGAAGTATATTAGTTTCTTTTTATTCTCTATTTACTCCACTTAAGTTTCTCATTTGTCTGTTTAGCTAAAATTTTAATTTCAGCACTTCACCTTTTCCCATGAAAAAGGCTCATTGATTTCACAACTACAAGGGTTAAATTTGGTATGTTAACCCCGAAAGAGACATGTTGCTTCCTGTTTTCCAAAATCGTAGGATGCAGTGAAAGTGAAAGAGGTGATTAACAACTAATTCATCGTGATTTTATCACACAAAGGGAAAGATCACTTAAACCTTTCCAGCACAGTGTGTTCGAACCGAACACACCATAAATACTCCCTCTTCAGACACTGAAAATAATTGATAAATATCACGAACTAATACACTGAAAACTATCTACAAACTAATACACTAAAAATAATTGATAAATATCACAAAAACTATACTAATGGTTACTTTTAATCTCTTTTATGAATAATAGATGGCAGCACTACACAAGCAAATCATTAACATTGAGATATAACACAAAATGGAAAGGGTTTCTGCAATTTTTGTAAAATTATATCCTGTATATTCTAGGTCTAAAAAGTCTGCCTACAATTTTTTTTTTGGTAAAATTCCAACTTTAAAGAATAGTGTGTCGGAAAGGGTTAAATAGAAATGAACTCTTAGTGAATGGAAAAACTGATTTGGAAGCATGCTTTTATTCTTTAGAGTATCGTTTCTGTCAGTTTCAGATGGGAGACTAGCGAGCACAAGATAAATTTTCCCTCTGGGTTAGGATACAAATAGGTAGTTTTTTAAATAACTTTTTGCAGCTGGTGAAGTGAGGAAAAATATTTCTGAGGCCAGTTTTAGATACAAACCAAAATTGATAAGGAGGAACTGAGGTGTATCAAAGGATAAAACCGTTTAAGTGCATTTCTTGCTGCTTAGAGGAGCACCAGTATAAAATATATACTGGCTCTCAAAATTCAGGATTAGTTTAGTTCTCAATTTTGTGTTCTTGGGGTCCATAAGTTACAATTCATGCAAAATCTTACCACAAGTTAAATTATTCTATATACCGCCCCTCAAAGGGTTAAAAACTGATTTTGCATTAAAGAAATACAGTATTTTTTTAGATTGTCCAATTTAAAGGTATATGTTTTGAAAACATTCAGACCTAGAAATTCCTGTTTTAGGGAGGGGGGTTGAAATAGCAAAGGAAATACTAATGGTAACAGCAGGCTATGTAATTAAATACATGCTATGTAAGACGTATTATATTTGTATTTCAATTCTGGTATAGGATAAAAACTGAATACCACAATAGTAGAAAATTTTACATGTGTACTCCTCTAGGTATGATTACACTGCCTGTCATTTTTTGGGGCGGGTCAAAAAAATTCCAACTTTAAAAGGTAGTGTGGCGGAAAGAACATTGAAATTAGTCTTGCAAAATTTACAAATATTATGCTGGATCTTGTTTGACATCTCCAATAATCATTATTTGACATGTTATTTTAACCTATATTGGAGCCTGCCCCCAAAGTAGACAAGATAAATGCAGCACAATTAAAATGTACACCTTGAACAAAAAAAAAAAAGGAACAGTTCTATAGGGTGCGGCAGCTTTCATAATATAATTTGACTTGCGTAGTACAATGGCATACTGCATGAATGCACGCCAGCTCATGTTGCATTCGTGTACTAATGAGCTGCCATTTCGAGCGTGACAGTGATATGGATCGGTGGAGTGCACAGCATCTTGCCTTTGCTGTTGAAAGTTATTTCAAGAATATGTTATACGAAGTTATGGCAAGCTTCCAGCGCCGCCTAGATGAATGTGTTGTGCAGAGGGGGCATCATATTCAAAAAGTAATCCACACAATGGACGTCTTATACATTAGTAAATGGCATACCTTTAACTATTAATTGACATAAATTACAGTTACTGCCTTATGGTGTGTTTTTAATGTCCTACTGTGAATGCTGCCACACCCTGTATATCTTCTGTTCTACTGAACCGATTACCGAAATTTAACTTGTGTTTTCCATGTCTCGAAAGCATGACTTAGGATATATATTAGATCTATATATAGCATTTTCTAAACATAAGTATTTTGAGAGAAAATCGTTATTTTATCTGAAAAAACATACTAATGTTTACTGATAAAAGGCTACAAAGTGTCAGTGAGAGCAAGTGTATCATCACATTTCGACCTTATTCAACACCTCCTATCATTCTTTCAGAATGGCCCCAAAGGATCTTAGTAATTCTTTTTAAATACAAATCTGTGCAATTTTTTTATAAAAATATTTTTATGAACTTACTTCAACATCCATATGCTTGATAAATGGACTATTTAATGCTCTGTTTAGTTGTTCAGCATCTCCTTGATCATAACCTTCAAGAAGATCCATCAATGTATTACATTCATCTCTTTCACAGTAGCTGAAAGAAAATATTTTTAAAATATTTACTCGTATGTTATTTTTATTACAATATATTTTTCAAGTGTTATTGAAATTCAACTAGAGATGGTCTGGTTCCTTTTTTAGAGTATATAGTGCTTCTTGAACAATCATGTTAACCCCTTGACATACAATAATGTCCGAGAGACGTCATTCATTTAGATTCTTTAAATGTTTCAGTCATGCGTCGATGCTATGGTACATATTTGAATTTAGTAAAAATTAGAAATAGTCCTCATAACATGTCTGAGTTGAATGTACTATATAAAAGTGACAATGAAGGTTTATTACACTATTCTAACTGATTATAACAAGAATAAAATCAAAGTTTTTAAACTGTTGGAGTATTCAAATGATGCTTCAAATTCAAGTGAAGCTAGCACTGTGCACCAAAATGTACGTAAATATGCAAGACTTGTTTCAAGCAGTGAAGATACTGATGTAGCACAGGATGAATGGAATTGGAAAGAAAAAGAAAATATTGTGAATATAAAAAAATTTACTGGAACTTTTAGTATCAATTATTTAGTTCTACAAAAAATGAGTATAAATGCAACACCTCTGTGTGCTTTCAAACAAATTTTATGTGATTTTTTTTTTAAAGAGAAATGAATAGATACAAACGAAAATGGAACAGAATACGAAAATAAACGAGGAGTGGTATCCTAACAATTGCTGAAGTTAGAACATATTTTGTGTTATGCATTATAATGTCGCAAATTAAAAAAATCTAAAATAGACATGCATTGGTCAAAATGAAAAATGTTAGAAACATCCATATTTTCACAAACTATTCCTCATAAACATTTTTTGGTCATAACACACTACTTTCATGTTGTGGATAATGAGACGACAGAATACGAAAGATTCAATCCGTGGTGGATTACTTGAATACCAGATTTCAACAGTTAAACATCTGGAACAAAGTGTCGTCGTAGATGAATCCCTAATGAAATTTAGAGCCTGGCTAAATTACATACATTCACAGCATCCAAACGAGTGAGATTTGGAATTCAATTTTATAAATTTTGTGAATCCAGTTCTGGGTATTGTTATCGATATAAAATTTACACAGGAGAAGACAAAATTCGAGAACGTGATGAACCTGTATCGGAGAGTGTTGTCATGTAACTAGCCAAACCCATTTCAAAGAAAGAATATATCTTGTTAGATAATTGGTATTTGTCTCCTAATTTATTCAAATTTGTGCATGAAAAAATACAAACATTGTTGGAACGGTGAGGGGAAAATATGCGGAAGAAGCTGGCATTGTACAAGCTAAAAAGAGAAGTAAGAACACTATCTTGTAGAGCAGCGTTTCTTAAACTGGGGCTCGTGGGATCTGCAGCAGGGGGGTTACCAAAAAAATTTAGCAGTTTTAATATTCTTAAACTTATAATAATTTTACAATTACTTAATAGTTTTTACAGAATGTATCTGAAAACAGATAAAAATAAGCCAATACAGACAAAGACAAAAGGAAAACGTTTCGACGCATTCTTTTTACAATAGAAACATTCATTTTACTTGCTTTGCACGTGACACTGTCATTGCATCTGTTACTTATTTAAAATTTTAACATTGTTCTATGTCTTAAAATTAGAAATTAAAGTTAATGACCTAAAACTGCAATAGTATATTACAGTACAAGTGAAAAAATTGACAGTTTAACACGCGTGTGTGTCGGTTTTGCACAATGCTTATGGGGTCCCACAAAATTTTCAGAAACATTAGGGGGTTCTGGAGGCCGCAAAAAAAATCTCAGTGATGAAAAGAGGTCTCGACTGAAAAAAAGTTGTTGAAAAGAAACCCTGTTGTAGAGGTATTCTGTCCTTACATTGGAAGCGAAGAAAAAACTGAATTGAAAAAGACCCATGATGTAGAATCGTGGAATGTTTCCCTCTCATGAGAAAGTGTGTTAAAGTATACAAATTTTTTTTATATGTTTGATATAGCTTTTTGTAATTGGTATTTGTCTCCTAATTTATTCAAAATTGTGCATGAAAAAATAGTCTTATATTCCAAGTTGCTTACTTCACAAAAGCAATCGATTGTGAATTTTTGATTGAATACTGAAGAAGATATGCTTTGTAATTTGTTCCTTCTAAACTATCTGACACATGGCAGACAGTCAAAAAGTGAATGCCCAACTCGGTTATAAACAAAATATTGGGCACATGTCCCCGAACATGTACCTGTGACAAATAAAAAGCCATGTGTGCATAAAATGAGAAGTGAAACAAATTGACAGTGTAAAACATGTCTAGTTCCACTACATATTCCAAAATGTTCTGAGATGTATCGTGCTTAACAAAACTACTAAATTATTACTTTATAGTATTACTTAATTATTGTACACACACTGGAGAATAAATCAGAAACCCAAGATCAATATTTTATCGGACCACCTTTTGCATAGATAACTGCTCCGATTCATTTGGGCATTGAGTCTACATGCTTCTGGAGTGCATTTATGTCCAGAGAATAAATTATGCATTGGCTATGCAGCTGTTTAGATTTTGTAAAGTAGATGGAAGAGGAGAGTACTGTCAGATGCATCTTTCAACCATACCCCACACATTTTCTATGAGGTTAAGATCCGGGCTATGCGGTAGCCAGGGAAGGTGTTGAAAGTCAGACTGATGTTCAGCAAATCATTTTTGAACAGCAGAACATGCCCCATATCTTGATACTCCCACCACACCCTTGCAAGTAAGGCAAGATGGATTCATGGGGTTCTTGCCAAATTCAACATCTTCCGTAGTGCAAAATAAAGTGTAACGTGATTCAGCCGACCACATTACCTGTTTCCAGTCCAGTGTTCAGATGTCCAGGGTCTTCTTTCCTGACACCACTGCAAACAAATTCTTGCATGTCCTCACAGACATCGACCATGCATTCCTATCCTCTGCAATTCTCTGTGCAAGGTTCGAGCTGAAATCCGTTGGGAAGAGCCAACAATAAGCCCTTTTTCAAATGGTGAAAGATTTGTTATTTTTCTCATTTTACTTAATTCATCATGAAAAGCACTCTTACATCTTACTTATACTAGAAAATTGCATACTTATCCCTAGCACGCATGCAAATGAAAATCTCAAAGGTTACATTAATTCATTGGCCACTGTGCATATATTAACATTATATATCAATCTTATTGAATGTTATATAGCAATGTAAATTTGAAAATAAAACATTCTGTTTCTAACCGTGCACATAAGTGCCCACAATTGAGTCAAATTAAATGGTATTCTTTGGATGCAGTGACTCATATTTTATTTGCATGTCAAAAGGTTAAATAAAACAAGGCACATCTCTCTACCCCAATACAAGGTGTGACACACACACACACACACACACACCAAAAAAAAAAAAAAAAAAAAAAAAAAAAAAAAAAAATCATTGTACTAACAGAATCAGTTCTTTGTTACATTATCACCTTCAAAGTAGTTCCCTTCAGCATTCGGTGCTGCCATTGTTGGTAACAGTTCTGGAACAAGGTTTTTGGAAGGCCCTTCAAGATATTCTCCGTTTTGTTTTTCCTGAACTTCTTCAGCTGAGGTAAAATGGGTCCCCATTAAGTAAGATTTTACTTTAAGAAATAAAAAAAAGTCGCATGGAGCCAAATCAAGGAGGATGCCCCCTCCACAACTGTGGCCTTTTTCTAATTTTTTTCCTATTTTCTAATTTTATAATAAGTCTTTTTAATACTTGTAGTAATAATGTTGTAGTATTGATTAACATTCTAACCACTGGGAACCCATTCAATCATGATGGACGTGCTGGCATCTTCCACACGGTCTCTTTCCCCTGAAAACTGCTTATGCCACACATGTGCATGAGACAAAGTTTCATCTTCATAAGCTTCGGTTAACATTTGAAATGTTTTCTTTGTGAATGATTTCTTAAGCGAACAGCAGCAAGAAACTTGATTCGCTGTTCGGTTTTTACATTAAACAGTTTTCTGGCAGAATGCAATTAAAAGTATTCACTCAATGACACAATGCTTCCCACTTGCATGGTTGGTTAAGTCAAAACTGGCTGCACGGATAGAGGAGGTGTGTGGCATGACGTCACCAAAATAGTTGTTGCCAACTCCACTCTGTTTTCAAGCTACACATTTAGTCTTGCTTTTTTTTTTTTTTTTTTTTTTTTGTGTGTGTGTGTGTGTGTGTGTCACATCTTGTATAAACACAAATGTAAGTTCCATTATGAAAAAGCAAATGTATGATTATTTCTATATTAAGTAACTGTTACTTTGAATTAATAAGTTTGTGTTTCTAAAAGTACTGAGCATAAATAAATAAAGTTCTTTCGAATCAGTATCTTACTTGTAACCTTCCTTGAAAACCTTATCAGCAGCTACATAATCTTCTCTCATTAAATGCACTAAGACTTGAGCAACAACAAGTCTTCCTGCTGCTCTTGTATTCTCTGTGGATAAATGATATTCCATTTCTTTTTTAATCATATCAGCAGCTTCATCATATCTGTAACAAATTTAACAGCCAATATTTTTTACTATTGCAAAGTAACCATCATGGTTTTAAATATTGTTTATACATAATCTGTAGAATTTTCAAAATTCCCGTTTACGCCTTCATCCTAGTGTATACATCCTGGCTACTATACATTCAAATAAAATATTATTACAGAGGTTAAATGTACTTTTTAAGCTTCAGTCATCTAGTATCAGTTACATTAGCCAAGTTATTTAAGATAATACATTCAACATCTGGTGAAATATGATAAAATATTTAAGTTACCATCTGCATTTTTTGGTCTTTTGACAGTGGAATATTTTATTAATAAATACAGACATAAAATATACAATCAAGACCAACAAAAATGACTAGAGTTTCTTGTCATTTAGCACTATTTATTAAAGAAAATTTAGCTAACTTATAAACTCTGCTGTTGAAAGGAAATTGGGCAGCTTTAGTATATGACCACTGTAACAAAATAGATCTTTTGGATATCCTTATGGATTAAAGAGAAATAATTTAGTTTAACACTACTAAACCAAAAAAAAAAACGTTATTCTCCAACATACCAAGTATCAAATAGTCTACGACCAAAAAAAAAAAAAAAAAAAAAAAAAAAAAAAAAAAAAAAAAGTTTTACATTACTAAATTGAAAAAATTAATTTGTAATACATCAAGTACATAATCTTTACCAAAACCTACCATGATTTTTATCTTAATACCTATTATGTATGCAAATCTAAACTCTTTAAATTTTTAGTCTATTTATTTTAATGCTTTACTGTTAAGCTGCTTAACATTTTTTGGGGGTAAGGGGATCCAAAATAATGTCATCTTTTCTAATTAAAGTTTCATTTAAAATTTAACTTCAACAGAGGTTAATTCCAGTTTAAATGCCCCCAACAATTAAATTTAAGCATTTAGAGCAACTTTGATGAGGAAATTTGTAAAAATTTTATTACTTAAAATTAACAAATTGATCATAACCATTTGACTGCATAAATAACAATTATATACACATATTATAATTTATTAACTCTCGAAACTTTCCCTATATATCCTGCACAAAAATATTTTCCCGCAAAATCGAGGGTGGAGGGGAGCGCTGGAATAACGATCATGCTTCTATGAACTGCTTTTGCCATCTTTTGCCCACTATGAACTGATAAAAAACATGAATGGAGCACATAAACTCATACAATGCATATGCCATGCAGGCCAATCAGTTAAATGGTCAATCAGCTCAACATTTTAAATAATAATTGTAAGGAAATCAAGAAATAAAACTGCATACATTTAGTGACACACTACAGATTTAAAATTAGAATCAGATAAGTATTAGTTCTGCCTGAAAAACTGTGTCTTTTAAGAGAGATTGATACAACCCCCCCCTTTTTTTTTTCAAAACGCACAAAAATTTTGCAGATTTGGCAAAATATTCTTGTTTGAAAAAGAACAACCTATATCAATCTCCCATAAAATGTGCATGATTTTGAATTTATGTTAAATTTCATCAAGTTTTAAGTTTCAAACTGACAGGCGTCTCCTTCTATAGGACGCAATTAGGTGATAATCATTAAAATTGTCATACAAGTCTCTTTCGATATATATTTATTTTAAATCTTTATAATACATTCTAATGCAAATATATCTATTTATATAAATATATATGAAAATATATCACCTTTTTAGTTTAATAAGAATTCTACCAGCTTTTCCTGCATATTCAGATGCCTGTGTAGGCCTGTCTTCTATCTAAAAATACATTGTTTTCTGCTTATGTTCATGCAGTTTTAGTAATATAATTATATAATTAAAGTATATAAGTAACATAATTAAAGAACTTTAAAAATATGGCATGCCTATGGTTTCGAATTAATCAAACAATTACTTTAATAATACTCACCATAACAACATCAGCCGCCTTTTTATACAAGTCTAAAGCTATTTCTGGATGTTTGCTTTCCACCATCCTGATGATTAAAAAAAAAGATTATTATTATTATATAAAACTAAGCCTTATGATATAACTTTTATTCTACAGATTTTCACACTATTTCATATAATACAAAATAAAAATCATCTTCCCCCCCCCAGAAACGAACACATTAAAAAAATATTTCGGTTTTTAACAGGAAATAAGTCTTTATGGTTGCAGATTTAACTATCACTTGTAGATCATTTTAATATATAGCTATGATAAATCCAAAATTGAATTCATTCACAAATTCAAATTGAATTAAAAATGGAATTTCTTAATATCATTAAAATGTTGACATATATTACATTTTCTCAAGAAACAATACATGAAATTGAAGACTTAAGACTGAGAACTTTTAAAAGTGTTCATGGTACAGACTACATTTATTTCATTAAGAAGAAAAATTAAATAGTCATCAAGAGGGCAAGATATTTTCACACCACGCAAAGCATGAAAGATGTCATTAACGTACCACCACCAGAAAAATGCTTGCTTATTCATGTACTTTATTCCAGTGAAAAAAAGCAAGCTAATTAAAAATAATTAATCAAATTTTAAATGGAAATTAAATTTGACATACTAATTGGAGCAAAGTAATACTGGTAATGAGGTATGTAACCCCACCACTTAATTAGTGCAAAGTAATACAGGTGACGAGGTATGTAACCCCACCCCTTAATTCACTACAACTTGAAAACAATAAAATGGTAATGCAGGTACATTCCAAAATAAAAAGCTTTAAAATAAATAGGCATTCTAAGGTTTTACAAGTGTATGTGCAATATGATGTAAATGCTGATAGTACTATAATAATAAAATGTTTTTTGCACAGTTCAGAATCATGTATTTATCACAGAGAGATTAAAGATATTATACGGATTCTTAAATCACAAAAATTATTTTGTGTTCCTGACATTTTGACGTATAAGCAAGATGTGTTTGTTGATAGCAAGAATGGTTGCAGATATGGCTTTCAACTTCACCAGACAGCAACAAATATATTCTATATCAGCCTTTAAATATATCAGCCTGACAACACGTGAGTGCTCATATGCATGTAATCGGTGCTCATAAACACTTTACTATGGTAGAATGTAAAAAACAGGATGAAGTGAAAATTTCAGATCCATTAATAAATGATTTAAAAACCTCTTAGTATCCATACTTGAATTCGAAGGATTATATTGTAATATTTTTCACTATGCACTATCTTTATGTGGGTAAAACTTTTATTTGTAGAAAATAAAGGCTTAACTTTATCATCAAAAGAAAAACCCGAGGAACCAGTTTGATTAGGAAATAATGAATTTTGTCTGGAAAAGCAAAAGATATCTTAATTTCATATTAATGGTAAACAATAAATTCTGTTTGGGATATTTACCATAAATGTGTATACATATGTGAATACCTTCATATGCCAATGTAAAGAAAATTATTAGATAAAAACATTCAAATTCAAGCTTTATTATTTAACACAAACAGTGAATAATGTTTATGCAATGAACATTTAAACCATGAAATATTCTTTAAGCACATTCTTACTTGAATATGTTTTCTGCTTTGCATTATAACTCCTGTTTTTTTTTTTTTTTTTTTTTTTTTTTTTTTTTTTTGTTTTTGTTTTTTTCCCCTTCATATTCTGTTTATTTTCTTATGTTCCCCCTCCATATTCTGTATATTTTCCTAAGATTTTGATTTCCATATTTTGTTTGCTTCTGTGCTTCACTATTGTATATCAGCAATTTTTATTTTATTTATCAACTTAAATTCGTTTTTTTTAAATTACTTTTTTGAAATCCATTGCTAAACCTTGTGATTTTCACTAATTGTTTACTCTGGAATGATTACTTTCAGTTTCCAATGTGTTTTCACTTTTAAATGAGTATTTATTTTTAAACATTACAAATACTTTGTATATTCCAACTTTTTTCAATTTAATTTGAATGTAGTAACTGCATATCACTACAACATCATTTCAGAGAGCTGTTAGAAACATTTCCTATTTGTGATATACATCTTTAAAGATAAATGGAAGCTTAAAATTAGAGCAAAATTATTATTAATGAGATGCATACAGTAATATAATTGTCATAAAACATGATTTGAAAACTGATATTTTCAGAGTCATGATTGAAATTATGAAATAATTTGATAATGAACAAGCTTAATTTATTGATCAAATTTAAAATCATTAAGAAATTTTAAAGAATATTTTGAATGAACCTGAACCTATTCAAAGGTAAGGCAAGTAATTAAAGTGAAAAGGAAAATTAGAATAATTTGTTAAATGTTACATTATATTACTGCATAGCTGAAAACATTGACAACCAATAAGGTTTTAATGCAGCAGTGCCATTTCAAAAGCACTCCAAATTGATTTAAATTCACTTTTTTATATGGTTGAAGTTACTGAATTATTTATAATAGGATTAACAATGTATGAATATATTGAAATTAATGGATGCAAAATACATTAGATTATTAGAATATGGGAAAGCACATGAGGGCTATCTGTCTAGGAGAAGGGATAGCTTTCTAAAGCATTTTTCCAAAGGAAACTGGCTCATCTTCATCATACATGCGGGGTAACCATGCAACCAGCCCATTTGCCCGGTATTGAATCCATGTCAAACTTCCAGTATCTGGTGGTTTTTACCATTCAGCCATTGGTGAAGCTTATTAAATATATTAATATTTACATAGCTATTAAATTTTATGTTCATTGGCTAATTTCATTTTGTAATTTTGTTTCACTGTTATAAAAAGAAAATTGTAAGTAAGGAAGGAAAGCTTTTATTTATCAATGTATTTTTAAATAAATGAAAACAAAACATTAATGTGTGCACTACTGTGTGGATAAACTTAGCATACAATACATTTATGTAAAACACAATTTTTTAGATATATGCCAATATGAATTAACTTGTTAATATGAATTAAATCTTCATAAAAAGTTCTATAATTGTCTACAGTAATTTAACACATGTATGGCTGAGGTCGAAAATATATTTTGGATTAAATAAAATTTAATATGAAAAATAACAATAAAAATTACTAGGCGTCAGGAAATGGAATTTGCACAATTTATATTTAATTTACTAATGGGAAACATTTTTCTTAGTAAAAGGCAAAAATTACTGGAATATTCAGTAATTTACTGGGAAACATCAAAAAATGATAAAAAAAAACTTAAAGTAAAACCATGAAAGTTTGCAGCTATGTTACTGTAATTCAAGTGATTGAAAATACAGAACAAAATCCATCATCAGGACTTTAGCGAGTCTGGATTTTAGATCAGTTTAAAATCTAGTATTCTGACATATAAACACAACAAAATTGGGGCTTCATTTATTGTTTAAGTCAGATAGAAAAATGCTAACCTTCCACAACCACTCAAGGGTGAAAAGTGTGACTCTGGCCAGCATCAATAGAATGTCAATGAATGTATCATCGCTAAAGTGCCACTTCCAATAGTCAGCATGAGTTTGAATGCGATATGCAGGAATGACAGTTAGACTAGTGAAAACTGCATTTTACAGCACACCTGCTTCCTTTTATTGAGGAAGCTTATGCTTTAATCAGTATTCTCCATTCCTAGACTCTTTAAGGACAGAAGAAAAAAAAATTTTTTTTGTTATATTATTTTCCAGATGTCTAAATATTCTGACGTCTGAATATTAGATCATTCTGGATATTGGAAGCCCAGATTTTAGACTTTGTACTGTAATGTACTTAAAAAGAAGAGACTGAAATTATATTAGTGATTTTAATAACAGGACATGTGAACTTTTGTTGAAAAGCTTCTCTGGAGTTACAAAAACAAATCCAAGAGCCAAATCAAGATTTTGCTCTCATTCCAAAAAGAGAACACACATGAAACATATTACTATACCTAAAGAATGCAACCAATATGAAGGATTACAGTGTTGAAACAAACTAACAGCGATCTGAAGGGTGAAAATTAATCTTCACATTATAGTCTATAATATAGATCCTGTTTCAGAGAGAGAAGATCATAAAATCTCAAAACATCTTCCTTTCGGAAAGTGTAACTGATGTTATATTTCCAAGAAGAAGAAAAAAAAACTGAAAAGCATTGGATAGTATCTATTTACCCAATGTCCTTTAGAAAAGCTATAAAACTTAATTAAATTACTTTTAAATGGATGGTTAATAACGTAACAGAATTCAAGAAAATCAGTTACAGTATAATCAAATTACAGTAATTTGGGTTTTGGCCATACTAAGAATTTTTATAAAGAACAACACAGCCCCAAGTGTGTTAAAATTGGCATTTTAGTAAATGACATCATTCAGTGATTTATGAAATGACACAGTTAAAATTGATATTTTAAAAGCAGTTCCTATTTTCAGGACAGAAAGGGGGAGAAACCCAAATTAAAATACAGGACAAAAGGGACAACTGCCAATTAAGTCAGAAGTGTGCTTTATATATATAAAGTGGTAGGCTTTATTGTAAATGCTGTTATTTTCAATGCTATAAACGTCTAATTTGGCATTTTGGTGACGTCAATGTATATTTTTTCCTTCAGTGGAAAATTTTTGTTTTGCTTTTATGCCCAGAGTGCTCGATTTTAGTGAGATGGGCCTTTTTTTCTGCTGTCATTAATTTTCTTAAAGTTTTCTTCATTTCTTAGTCTTGAAAATATATGTTGTGAAGTGTATACAGAATTTAACAAAAAATAAAAGCAAGGGGTAAGATAAAGAACATACTTTGCCCCTTTTTCCAAAGCTAGAGCAGCAGTATCTGGAGTCCCATGTTCTCGAAACAGTTGGCATGCCTTTTCTATCATCTGCACAGCACCCATGTAATCATCCATATCTTTGGAAATTAATGCAGCTTGTTCATAACTCCTGAAAAATAGTAACGAACAATCGACTAAGAATTAATCAATACTTAAATAGAGTTGTGTGGAAAAAAGACACTGGTAGAAGCCATATAAAAATAGGGGAATGGGGAACAGTATTTTACAATTTATTAATAATGATGCAGCTAAATATATTCTATTTTTGCTCACTAAAATGTTATGAATTCAACCAATGACTTTAAATGTTATAAATTTATATGTACATAGAGAGAGAAATATGCTAAGAAATACTTTAAGATGCCAAGTATGAATATTTAATGTCATTTTTTTTATCCTCAAACTTAGTCAACAAGGCTACAAACTTGCTGCGCATGCGTCGTGGTGACCTTTACGGCTGCGAATATGCATGTGCGCATGCGCAAAATACGTTTACACATGTGTGTTTAATGTATAATGGATGGTATAAGCTAAGCTAAAATTATCTAATCCAGTTAATCTTGCAGATTGCGTTGTTCCTTAATCTACGAATTGGATCCGGCTCATTATTTTTTGCAGACTGTTAGAGCAATTTTATAAAAGTAAGCTTGAACTTTCGATTATGTCAAATAGAATTTCCGATATATATTTACTAATATGTAAAGGATCTACAAAGCGAAAGTATGTTTCGAAGTCCATTAAACAAAAAGTGGAATTGCTGCAAAAAATGGATAAAGGCATATCCTTCTGTTTATCTAACCATTCCAAAATCTGTTTATCAATTTCACGCTGCTCTGCGGCGGGGGGGACGCCGCGGCGCACAATGAATCGGAAGTTGATCTGTCAGCACTATCCTTATCTTCAGGGCAGATGTTTTTATTTTATTTGGCTTATAATTCCTTACTAAATGTAGTATTTCATCTCGATGTACTCCGTCTTTGTATGAATCAAATTCCTCGTCATTATAATTCGCTTCCGATAGCGAAGAAAGTAAAGTAAACAAATAAATATTAAGCTTTCTTTTTGTAAATTTTGATATGCTTTAGATCATAATTGTTCTTTATTTCATAAATTACGTTTTCATTTTTTTAATTTTATAATTTCTGCATGCCATCTTACCAGATTTAAACTGATGGTCTATAATCCGGAATCGAAGTCCCGACGAGTCCGGATTAACGACTTTTGACTGTAATATAGTTATATTTACATGAAATCTTCTCCATGACACTCAAATCAACCTGCTTTGAAAATAAAATACAACTCTCCTTCCTGTGAATTCATTCTTCAACATACACTTGTTGCAAAAATTTACATGATTTCCTAATGAATTTTATTACAAAATTTCAGAAATGCATGACTGATTTCCTGTATGCAAATGTTGATGGCGTGCTTACTCTTAGCAAAATACTGATAGATATATGCAGAGATAAATCTATATATATATATTTTTTCACAAAAACATATTTGAATACTTTATATCACTTTCATGCTAAAAACGTTTCATTCTTTTTCAAATTGCCAACATAAAAATATTTACTGAAAAACACGGCAATATAAAAAATCAGGCTTTTAATGGCAGTTAAAAGTAGAAATATATAATACAGCCTATTAACAGTTTATGTACACTGAGAAGAAATCAAATTATCAGTCACGAAGAATGTAGTTAGTAAAACATTAGAAACATTTTTCTTGTGAGGAAATTCAAAATAATGAGTATAAAAATCAGAATGTTTATATCTTAATCGGAAGATTAGCTTAATTAAAGAAATTCTGGAGATCAAACCTAGGATTATTATGATATCTATGGAGTATATTTTGTGATTATAAATATATATATCCTACCATCTGCACATCAAAGCGTATCTGCAAAGTTGCTGCTTAAAGAAAAGTATGTTTAAGTGTTTGACACATATTTAGTTTTGAGAAAAACTTAATTAAGACTTTGAAACTTTAATTCTCTTGTATTCACTTTATAGAAATATGTGAAACACAGTACTATTCAAGAGCAAAACAAATATATCACAAACATCATTTATATGGAAAAAATAAAAATCAAATGTACATTAAAGTTCATTAATTTTATTTATTTAAACAGTTTAAATATGATAAAAATGGCTGCAAAAAAATCTTTAATTAAAAATCCTAACACACTGCATGAGTTTCTACCAGTTTATTTAGCAATTTTATCAATCTTAAGTATAAAAATTTAAGGCACTTACTTTGCTGCTGAAAAAAATCTGATGAAGTTAAGCTCATAAAACATTTTGCTTGAGGAAAAAAAAACAGAAATGTGTGAAATGTGAAAAATTATCTGAATACATATATAATCTATAAACTACAATATGCATTTAAAAGCTAATGTGCAATTAAATTTACTAAAAAAAACTGCAGCAGAAGTATTTAGATAAATCACTTTGACATTGCATAATATTACTATATGTATATTTATATATTATTAAAGATTTCAGCAGAAAAGTGGCGAAAAAAATTTGCCAAATTTTGCATTACTTTTGATATAAACTTTATACTAATAATCTTATTATAGTAAATTTTGCATTTAGATTTTAGATTACTACCAAAATGTACCCTATTAATTATCATTAAAATTACACAAAACATAATTTAAAATGTTAAAGGATACGAATAGTTCTTGGCATAGCAATCGGCAGCTTTCAACAAAGAATCTTTGCACTGTCCCAAAACTTTAGCAGTCTTAAAACAAGTTGCTGAAAACAAACCACAAAGACTTGTAATATTTCCCATGTAGAAACATAATGGCACATAACATAACTTAACTATTTTACAACCATTTTAGGTACTTTTTGCATTGTCCACCCAGTGACGAGATGAATCAGTGAGCAAAACACTATGAAGCCTAGCACATCATGGGCACTGTTTCAGCATTTCTATGAAGCAAACAATTGAATTATATAAAAATGTACCATTAAAGAATGCCATCAAAGTTTTTTAATGCAAGTAGGAAATTGATTTGAGAATAGCAGAATATTATTTACGACAGCTAGTCGCTTTATTTAGAGTTGGTCTAAAGAATATACACCTGACAAGTTTTGCCATTCTTACACTTCTTATTGTCTTGATATGTCTCCATATATCACTACTGATTGATGCAATTATCTGCGAGAAGTATGCACACCCAGTATGGGAAAAAAGTGTCAAAAAATTTATTTTTCCGAATAAAAGCAATTCTCAGAGATCTTTTTATAAAGTTAACATAGCTCGATGTGTACATGGAGAGTGGTGCTAGTTTACTGTGCAATGCTGAAAATTTTGTAAAGTTAGTTTGCTAGTTTACTGTGCAATGCAAAGTTTTTAAAGTTAAGCCCTTCCAGTGCTTTAATGAGTCTGACTTGTGATGAAGATTTTGTCCCAAACATAAACATCACAAGCTGGGCTTGTGAACATTAACATCATTATTTCATGGTCGTAATTGAACATTAGTTCATATCACTACACCACAAGAGTTAGTCACAATTCTTTATTATATAAATTATATAATATTTATTAAAATTATATATTAAAAATCTAATATATTTATAATATCTGGAAAAGGCAGAAGGATTAAAGTTTACTTCCACTAAGGATTAAAGTTTAACTTACTTGAAGTGTTGCTTATTTATAAAATATAATTTTGAAACTGCTATTTATTACAAAATACAGTCAAAAGCCGTTAATTCGGACACCCATAATGCGGACCTCAAAGCTACAAACTTTCTGCGCATGTGTCGCGTTGACGCATGCGCGTAGACCTTTACGGCTGCGAATATGCGTGTGCACAAAATATGTTTACGCATGCACGTTTAATGTATAACGGACAGCATAAGCTAAGCTAAAATTATCTAATTCAGTTAATGTTGCAGATTGCATTGTTCCTAAATCTTCGAATTGGAGCTGGCTTATTATTTTTTGCAGACTGTTAGAGCAATTTTATAAAAGTAAGCTTGAACTTTCGATTATGTCAAATAGAATTTCTGATATATATTTACTAATATGTAAAGGATCTACAAAGCGAAAGTATGTTTCGAAGTCCATTAAACAAAAGTGGAACTGCTGCAAAAAATGACTTAACCATTCCGAAATCTGTTTATAAATTTCACGCTGCTCTGCAGGGGGGGGGGACATCGCGACATGCAATTAATTGGAAGTTGATCTGTCAGCACTATCCTTATCTTCAGGGCAGATGTTTTCATTTTATTTGGCTTATAAATCCTTACTAAATGTAGTATTTCATCTCGATGTATTCCGTCTTTGATATGATTTAAATCAAATTTCCTCGTCATTATAATTGCTTCCGATAGTGAAGAAAGTGACCAGAGGTTATTGAAAACGAAAAAAATTTCGATTGACAAATTAGTCGGCATTCTCGACACAGCAATTATAGGACTTGAAACAGCGGAACTTTGTAACTGAACAAAATTATGTCTGTTTATAGAATTAAGAGAAAGTATTATCACGTAAAACGAAGCAACTTAAACAACTTACATTGAAAGAAATGTTTAATAAAGTAAATAAATAAATATTAAGCTTTTTTTTTTTTGTAAATTTTGATACCCTTTACATCATAATTGTTCTTTATTTCATAAATTAAAGTTTCATATTTTTAATTTTATAATTTCTGCATGCCATCTTACCAGATTTAAACTGATGATCTACAATCTGGAAAAATCAATAATCTGGAATCGCCGAAGTCCCGACGAGTCCGGATTATCGACTTTTGACTGTATAATATATTTATAATATCTATGAAAGGCTGAAGGATTAAAGTTAAGTTCCATGGCAGTAGTATCACGCAAAACTGATTATAACACAGGCATTTATGTTTTGGCTTGTATTGCGGCTGTTCTCAAGCATCAATCTGGCTTTTTTACCACGCGTTGACCCACAACACTTGGGCCCAATTTTTATCGAGGTAAATGGCACGGGAAGGGGTAAAAAAGGCTGCTATGCACATGGACCAAGAAAACAGAAAGTAGTCACCAATGGATTGCAACTTTGCAGGAGTGCTGGGCGGATTATGCAAATGTTTCTTGTTTCATTTTAAGTCATTTTATATATCACTGCATGTATTAATAAAAAAATACCGTTCATGAAAATAAAACATGTGAACTGAAAAAAAACACAAATGTGCATAGACAGATTTTACATACAATACACATAAGATGTTACAAAATCTTAAGTAACAAATGACAGCTTCGATTCTGGACGTGATATTAACAGCAACACGAACCTTTAAGTATTCTAGATAGTGCTTCCCGAGTTTGGATATTAATGTGAAATGGTTTATTAGCATTTACATTAGGAAAACATTATCTCAAAACATAAACCACTATACAAAATTAAAGGATAACTTTGTAAGAAATTATCACATTTTCTTATGCATGATCTTATGATGTAAGAGGATACCGTGGACACATTCAGCTGGAAGATCAGTGATTTGAATCCCACTGTATAATAACTTAAAACTGCTGAAAATAGAAACATATAGGCATGTCTTTATAAATAAATAAAATGCAAAAATTGCAAGAATAAAGACACACAGATACTAGATTTTGCTATAACATATGGTAATATGCAAGAACAATGCCCTCAAAAAAGAGTGTATATTCACTATTAGAAACTACTCATGTGTTATATCTACAAATTAAAAACTGAAATGTCAGAGCAATATACTGTGTGATAAATGTGAAATTTATTTCATTACTGTGAAATTAATCAGCACCATTTTAATTTAGCGCGAGAATTAAACTGAGGATTTCTATTATACAAAATATTTAATTAGAAAACTATAATAAAGTTCACATATTAAATATTTTAGTATTTATAGAGCTATTTAAAGCAGTACAAATTATTAACAGTAATATTCAATATCAGAATTCAATCTTAAATATTTATCATGGAAAAATTTTAGTTTTTTTCCCCCCTCACAATGTTCAAGGAAAGAAAATTAAAATTTCATTTTGAAATTTACATTTTCATACCTGGAGTTCCTACACTAAAATAAAGACTTATGATATTTAAATAATACAGCACATATAAGATATAAATAATTTATTTGTAATTACCTGCTCTTGAATATTCAGAAGCAGCACTGTCATAATCTGGTTTCCATTTTAGAAAAGAAGTCTTTAAGCTAGATGAAGGGGTGAAATATTAAAATATTAAGCATAGATTGTTTTAGACAGCTCAACAGTTTTAATAATTTCAACAAAATTTAATTTCATTACCAATCTCAAATCACAAAAAGTTGATGGCAGTACAAAGATTTCTAAACCTCCACTAATTATCAGCAAATGAAACAATATATATTTCTAAAATTGAATATGCAAATATACTGAAATACCCATACACTGATATCTACTCAAATTAATGTTTGCTTATTACTGTCTCTCAACATGATGTAAAGACTCAGAGACAAAAGAATATAAAAACACTGGATTAAAAACAAAAAATTATGTGACAAAAAGACAAAATTCAGAAGTACTTTCACTATATTTTGCTATATTTGTTGTTGCTACTAATCCTTCTCATCTAAGCTTCCAATCCATGAATTTTAACATGGCCAAAAGGCAAAAGCTGCATATATCACTGGCCTATACCCAGAACTTGTAGTCTATGTAAGGGTAAAATATGGCCAGCTCCATCCCCATTCCAAAATTCCTCGTATGAAGATTCCCTAGACTTATATCGTGAACTTCTTGAAAGTCTTTACAGCATGCCAAGAGCTCCCATATCACACAAACACAAACCTCTATACTTTCTCTGGGATTCAAACCTGGACACACAGCTACAGCAGCTAGCTATCCTACCACTGTGCCAACAGGGGTGTTTTAATTATGCACGCAAGTAATCACATGTTCTCTCAAACAGGTTAAAAATTTCAAGTTACATATAAAATTTTCATAAATTTTTGTGTGTTCTAAAGCTTTTACTTTCTTAACACTAGCAGTAAATATCATCATAGTGTAAGTTCTAAAAATCAAATTTTACATAATTGAAAATGCATGCTTGCTACCGATAAATCATATCAGTAATATTCATAAAAAAAAAATGTTACATAAACCATGTTCTTATACACAATGGATTTTTGAAGGAATTTCTCATGAAATTAAAGAATTTTTTTTTTTTTTTGTAGTTGTTCCTGATCATTCTGTTTCATCTAGTATTGAGCTAAAGGTGTGTGTGTGTGTGGGGGGGGGAAAGATAAGAAAAAATACATGAATATGTCGTTGCAAACGCATAATTTAACTTTAACAGAAGTACTAACTTTTCTATTTCTACAACACTATTTCCTGCTCGATTGCTTTTAAATGTTTCTACAGAAGAAATTAAATTAATCATTAAAACTTAATCACGCTCTGATATCTGTATTCTACTTCCAATGGTGTATATTTTACCTAGAATATAGTATGCAAAATTTATTAGCATTTCATTTGGAATAATATATAAAAATATATTGACAATTTTAAATTAAACAAATTTAATTTAATTTTAACAAATACGTAAAAAGTAAAAAAGCAAATTTAAAGCCAAAATATTTAAATTTTTTTTTTTTTTTTTAATGTGCAAACATATAAAAGATTTAATTCTTGAACTAATCTACAATATCATTTAAATTCAGACGCATAAGCAAATCAAGTGCAAAACCAATCCATGAAAATAAATTCACTAATTTAGCAAATTAAAATTAAACCAACCAATTTTTTAAAAATGCATAAGTGAACGACTGTTGAGTATATACTATTTTCATTTGCTGCTAAAAAAGAAAGGAAAAACTTAGAAAATAAAATTATGAAAAGGAAGATAGATATACAGTAGATCCGCAGTCAAACATGATAATAATGGAAATCGGTAAAAGTATAGTTTAGCGTACCCCTTGGCGAAACTTGACGATTTTGGGCAGTACATGGATACTGATTTTGTGCAGTTCTTTGACTCATTTTGGCTTGGGAATGGCGATTTTTGCGCCAAAAATCGTCGCCACACAAAGCCAAAATAACAAGATAAACAATTGCACAAACTCGGTATCCATGTACACATAGACTTATTTTCACTTTAAAAAAAAAATCTCTGAATTGCACAAAAATGGCACTACACACTCCTTTGACTTTATCCATTTACACGTCGATTTATTTTCACTTAAAAAAAAATCCACGAATTGCACAAAAATGGCATTGCGCACACTTTTTTAACTTTATCCATGTACATGTCGACCTATTTTTAATTAAAAAAAAAATCCCAGAATTGCACAAACTTGCATTACGCACTCCCTTTACTTTGTCCATGTACACATCGATATATTTTCACTTAAAAAGTCAAAGGAGCACCAAATTCTACAATATGTAGGCAAACAAAAAATACATAATCTCAATAAAATACATTTTAAACCAAACAATAAAATAACATAAAAAAGGAAAAACATGTTATACGTTTAAGCACTACCAAAAGCAAATATTCACTTACCATGATTTTCAAGTTCGCTTTGTACACCCAGAGCCATATAAAATCAAAATATCAATCATACTCAAATAACTTTTTTTAAAACAGGTACTCTTTCTGACGAACGCTCACATAGTGACCATCTGAACCTTTCTTCCTACAAACCCATTCAAATCCACTAAATGGGTTTTAACGTTCGACTAGACGCATATCTTCCTACATACAGGACATTTATAATGGCTACTAAGTAAACCTTCATTTACACCAGTCAATTAAAGCTCTTTTCCCCTTTCGCTCCAAATCGTACAGAAACTTCAAATTAATCTTACTACATTTAGCCATTCTACCGTCTAAAGAATCAAACCAACACACACCACGATTCATACCAACACCCATGATTCAAAATTTCCCAGAATCATGCACCTGATTACGTCACAATAGGGTTTCCATAACATTCAACTACTCAGGCTACCATAAATGAAACAACAACTTGGCGATAAATCAAACAACCACTTTGCCATAATACAAGGGGTACCTTAAAGTCTACTCTACCCTGGAAATCATTCAAGTTACCACTTCATGGACAAATTCATGGTTAATTCCAGAAGAGTTAAGAAACTCACAATAAAGAGAAATAATCCACATTATTATTAATAGAAAAATATTATTAACATTTACTAATCTTTTCAAATAATTTAACCTCGAGTTTAATTTTATTTGGTATGGCAAATTTAATTAATAATCAAAATAAAACAAAAAGCACAGATCATAAATAATGGAAGAATAAGCATAATTTGAAATGAAGAAATTGACATACATTATTCAATTCAAACTCACAGAAAGCAGTCATATGTTTTACTTTTTTCCAAAACGCACACAAGGAATTCCAAAGGGAAGTTCATATTCCACTCGTATTTGTAAGTTCTTTCTATTTTCTAAAGAATTCAAATTCCTAAAGAGCCTTTCTGATAATGATTTCAGTAAATTTGAACACACGTATAGATATATTGATGATCTCATCGAAAACAGCAACATTTACCCAAATTGTCTAAAACTAAATAAGACCAATAAAAACAGAAATAATTAATTTTGATCTAAGTATTCATAATCTAACAGAAATTAAACTTTTTGATAAAAAAAGATTTTAATTTTTATACTAATAAACTTATAAAGTTATTACAAATACTATTATTAACCAAATTAGCAGAATTTAAAAAGTTTACACTGAAATAGAAACACAAAAAGAAGAAATTCTAATTCTCACCAAAATTTTAAAAGATAATGAAATTCCTTTAAAATTCATTAATAGTCTTTTAAAGAAAACTAGGGTAGTCTACACCCTATAATACTTTTTAAAAGTATGAATTTTTTATCTGAAAGTTCCAAAAGAAAAGGATAAAGAAGGATTTTTTTTTATCCTTTTCTTTTGGATGATGTAAAGCAGGGATGTCAAACTCATAGGTACACTTGGGCCAAACAAACAAGGTTTAACTTTAGGCGGGCCGCAAAAAAAAAAAAAAAATCAACATTCATAGAAACGTAGATTTTATTTCCAATAATATAATAATAAACATATATATATATTTATATAAAGAACAAGAAAATTTAATTTTTACATTCTGATACTTGACTCTCTTCTCTGCAATTATCTTCCTATTTCGGGAGAAATTTTGTTTGCAGTGATAACTTTCAAACGCTGACCCAAGGTGAGCATCATAATAATAAACGGTTTTCTAATAGGAGACTTATTATACCTTTCATGACTGAAATAACTGCTCGCACCGATAAGTGCTACCAAACATGGAAATAATTCATATGCGAATTTTCGAGTATTTTCAAACCTGGCTGGTATATTGTAAAATTCAGGCACGCCCACTTCAATGAATTTTGCTTTCAAATTTGAGTTGCATTGAATCTCGATCACCTCCATTTGCATATGGCTGGGTACTGAGTCAATACTTATTGAGAAATCGAAGAAAACAAAAAAAATTTGTCTTCGAGGGAACTAAAATCATTAACCTCGTTTCAAATTCAGTTTGTTAAAATTTTGCAATTTTTTCTGCGTATTTTTGATATGAACAAGTATCATCTAAACTTGATTTGTTCATGCTGCACGTCGAGAAATTACGAGATATTTATTTATTAGGTATTAAATGCACACACTGTTCTATTTTTAACCTTCCAACGCAGCTGTCTTTTCAAAAAACGTCTGCGTTGCTAAGGCAACATACATGAAGCAAATCTAATTACAATTCTAAATAAAAAAAACTAAATAAATAAATAACTATGAAATTCGTAACAATATGAATTAAGTAATAATTAATAATAAAGCAAAATGCATGCACATGCATGCACGAAGTATCGTACAAAACTATGATTGGAAAACTGAGACCATGAGTTCGGCCACATTCGGCTATCGGGGGTGCGTACAAGTTCTGAGTGCACGTGTCCCCCAAAAGCCGAAGGTAGCTGAACGCAGCTACTCACACGCTTGTAATTTAGTGAGTGTGGTGTCAGCTCGCTGTGATTAATTGAACCCATGAAATTATCGTTAATTACGTGCAGTAACATTTAATTTTTTTCCGTCGTATGTTATATTTATTATATATATTATATTTTGCCGATAATTGGCCGGGCCCAAAAATATTTGTTGTGGGCCGCGAGCTTGACACCTTATGTAAGAGTTTTATTAGGATTTTTTTATTTTTAGTCCAAAGAGGCTTTGTCCCTGAGGGATTGTTTTGTTTTCGCAGTTGAAATCTTTAAAGGCTGTATCACTTTCAACTGTTGCCCAAATATTATAACGTTTATATTTGAAGAATAAATGAAGAACTGATGTATATGTTTCACATTGTTTAAAGGACTAGAGATCCAATTTGAATGATGTAATCCTATTGAATTCGGCATTGGAAGCCCAATTTGAAAATTAAATTGGTTTTATTATCTTCATATTTGTAAAACTTTAACAATTTCTGATTAACAAAGGGATTTCAAGCGAGCATGGCACGTTGTACGAAAAACATTTTTAAGTGGCACTAAGTTGATTGAATTCCCTCTCTGTTAATGTTCATTTTTCTTCAAATTTCATATTTTTTTATTGGGGGTTCTTGTTCGAAATTTTTTTTGGCCTTTTTTTAAATCTTTGTAACTTACATATTTTTGAATTTATTAATTATAATTCATTTTTGGTCTTAGTGAAATTAGTTCTAAATTTCTTACTTACTTTACTTTAATTTTTCAGCAGATAATGTGCGAAATACTCAGTTTATTTCTGTTTTAAAAACTGTTTTGTATATACAGTCAAAAGTCGTTAATTCGGACACCCATAATACGGAATGCTCTATAATCCGGGCATCAAAGCTAAAAACTTTCTGCGCATGCGCACAGGCATTTTACGCGTGCACATAAGACCTTGACTACTGCGCATATGTGTGTGCGCAAGTGCAGAATACGTTTTCGCCTGCGCGTTTAATGTATAACGGATGGTGTAAGCTAAAATTATCTAATTATCTATTTCAGTTAATGTTAATGATTGCGTCGTTCCTTAATCTTCGAATTGGATCCCGCTTATTATTTTTTGCAGACTGTAAGAGCAATTTTATAAAAGTAAACTTGAACTTTCGATTATGTCAAATAGAATATCCGATGCTGGAACTTCCAAAGGATCTACAAAACGAAAGTATGTTTCGATGTGCAACAAACAAAAAGTGGAATTGCTGCAAAAAATGGATAAAGACATGAAGAATGTGACAGAGAGGTTAGTGAAAACGAAAAAATTTCCATTGAAAAGTTAGTCGGTATTCTCGGCACAGCAATTAACGGACTTGAAACAGCGGAACTTTGTAACTGAACAAGAAATTATGTCTTTTATAGAATTAAAGAGAAAGTATTATCACATAAAATGAAGCAACTTAAACAACTTACATTAAGAGAAATGTTTAATAAAGTAAACAAATAAATATTAAGCTTTTTTTTTTTTTGTAAATTTTTGATACCCTTTAGATCATAATTGTTCTTTATTTCATAAATTACGGTTTCATATTTTTAATTTTAGAATTTCTGCATGCCATCTTACGAGATTTAAACTGATGATCTATAATCCGGAATCGCCGAAGTCCCGACGAGTCCGGATTAACGACTTTTGACTGTATATCTACACAGACACACTTCCAATTACAGAAGTGTTTAAATGATGAAAATATTCACGTTTGGCTGTGTCAAATTGAAAATAAAAAATTATTTTGGACAAATAATGAAATCTCATTTTTAATGTGATCTTCCAGTTCCTATACTTATATTTGGGAAAGTTTTATACGCGTTATCAAAAAAATAAAATTATAAAAAATTTCACTCCTAATATTTAATTTAAAAATTTTCATGTTTTGATGTCATTTTTAACTTGTTTTGAGGGATTGGCTAATTAAGATAGAATAATTCAAGGAAATAAGTTTAAACGAAGTACCGGGGGGAAAAAATGTGTATAATTTAATATGGTGTACAAAAAAGCCATATGGCATCCACATCAGATTTCTTTTTCCTTATAGTAAAATATTTATTTCCTTACTATTACAGTCCTAATTTTTTAAACATTAACCCTTTGACTGACAAAGCTGTATATATATGGCCTAGAATATTTTTTGTGATTTCTGCAATATATACGTGCATCTTGAAATATGTCCAAAAAATCAAGGCAATATTTTAAAAGTACATAAATCTAGGTATAACCATAGGCTTTTTGATATCAAAATGAATAAAATAATTCATTTTTATGTTAGTTTTGGAAAATCTGTGGTTCCTTAGTAAAAATCTCAGCTGGTCAGAGGCATGTCAACCACAAGTTGGCACCAAGATTATCGTCAAGTTTTCGTTTGCCTCCCACATGTACTCTGTTGGTTGCTATGCTTCCACAATGGCTTTTAGTATGGCATCAGATGCATATTCTCATCTCGAGCACTTCTTCCTCATCGATTTTTACTCCACCAGTTCAGGCAGCACCTTTCAAATTTGTGTATCAGCACTGTAAAATACTGAGTACACAGAGTACTGTAAAATGTTTACAGAGTTACATGCAACCAAATTACATAATTATAGACAAAAGCATTTATGACAAGTACTACATCATCTGCTGTCACTTCTATTAATCCATGAATTTTTCATGTCTCTTCATATATTGCATAGACAATTTTGTTTTACACTAATGTTTTGGGAAAGTAATTTTTCTACTCTTCTGGAATAAACAAAACATTAAGGAAGAACCTAGTTAATCTAGCCCTACATAACTGATAGTTGACTGTGTATGTTTTAGTTATTACAAAAGGACAAATAAATAAATCAGATTAGATAAATTTGAATTCCGAATATAAAACCAGAATAACTGTAAAATAAAAGAGATTAACATAGAACTATAATTTAGTTATATCTAAAAACGCCTATCATCATAAACCAGGAAACTTTTAAAATAAATAAGCAATATATATTTACATGCTTTATCATAAAGTAAACCAACGATATCTTCTCATTATGAAAATGCTTGGTTAATCCTATTTTCTATATTACACCTTTTCCTACTTATCAGATTTCATTATAATAATAGCAAAGTACATATATACATAAGTGAAGTTTAGTTTCCTGTTACATAAAATTAACTTGCATCAAGCTATTTAAAAGATATTTGTAAAGTAAATTAAGGAAACACTGAATATAATATATGGGGCAAAATTTTTCTTAATCTTTACACTATTAACATACCTCATTGAAAATATTAAAATAAACCTAAATTAAATCTCATGTTTTACATAAAATTTTATAAAAATTTACGGCCTTTCAAACAATTTGTTACACTGCTTTAATCTTGATAAATTTCTTCAATTATTACGAATATATGAAAAAAGCTTAATATTTTGATGAGGGAAAACTGAGATGTTGTCAACTATTTAAATTTTAAAAGAAACTCTGATTGAAAATATAATACCTATTGTTTGAAATTCAGAATACTCCTGTTGGCATTAGCAAATATAATTTCTACAAATATGACTTAAAAATGAAAATTAGATGCAACACATTATAAACAGTAACTGTTAATTAGTAATTATGAATGTGGCAAAATACATAAGAATTTACCTACCATAAGAGGGATGCTTTTGGTAAGGAGTTTTCTAGGCAAACTAGCTGATATTTACTTTCCACATCGGTAAAATTATAAACACACATGCAGTCAACTAGTTTGCCAGAAACTAAAGCCAAAATGAACTCAGATTTATAAATATCTGTTCATAAGCAGGAATGCTTTTACATATATTGTAGAGAATATGTCTCAGATGAATTTACTTATATCTTATAAAGCACGAAACACTTACCGAATAACAGCTGCAAGCTGTTATTTCAGAAGACAGATCCTTTACTTCTCAGGATGTGGGGAAAGTACAGAATCACCCACTGCTTGGTACGTTTTTAAGAATTGCACATACTCGATATCCATGTACACATAGACCTATTTTCACTTTAAAAAAATCCCAGAATTGCACAAAAATGGCATTGCGCACTCCCTTGACTTTATCTATGTACACATCGACCTATTTTCACTTAAAAAAGACAAAGAAAATTGACAAAAATCCAATTTTTCTTACTCTTGTAAAAAGCGCCAAACAAATAAGTGAGCGATTCTGCATAATTTAGCTCAAAGTCCCAGGATCTACTCCGTTTTTAGAAACAACAACAAACATATACTTTACTTCTAGAGAATGTTATTTGCTGGACTACTTCTGATTACATAGGGCCAAAACAAAAACTGTAGGTTGCATTGTTATTTATTAATCTGCCATTACAAATACCATCTTTGATTGATGGGGAAGATCCAGCTTTCACAATTATGACAATAATCGACAGAACTATTAATTATATAGAATTTTGATTATCTGAATAATAATCTTAAAGAAAGATTAGAAATCTAAAAATGCATTATTCTTTGCGTTCGTTTCTGCCATATCAATGACATCCTGAATATTTTTAAAAGTATACTTATAAAAAAACTCAAGATTATTATTTTTTAAACTTCTTATTTCCTGGATAAACAGCGTATATGGAATTAATTAAATATATATTTATTTCGATATTAAGCATTTATTTTACAAGGAGTAATAAACAAATTATATCTCACATTATTTTCAAACAATTATGTAGTAAAATTTATCACATACGAATAATTAAAACTGCTTCTAAATATGCTTACTATTTTTCAGCTTGCTTTATACACTCATTCCCTTCGCAAATCTTTTTTTGGGCTGCCATAACAAAAGCAAACACACAGCAGACAAGTGTGACAGGATGTTGCCAACTACCACTACCTTAATATTTTCAAATTTCAAGGTTTCATGTCAAAAACTTGTTGGCTTATTATTAAGTTTCCTCCCCTTTCCAACTAAATTCATTAGGTGTGTTCACTAATACTAATAACACTTTAAAAAAGTGGATAAGAACATGTTTATACAGTAAAGACAATAGCAAGTGAGAGCCGTGTTAGTTAAGGCTCCTATATAAAGCCTTACCCCCCCGTGCATGGAAAAACAGCTCCTCGGAAAACGAAAATCAGCAGTAGAATTAGCGGCAGACTCTGCTGCTGTAAATAAAGAAAATTGCCGTAAATTCCGCTTATTTATCACGGACAAAAAAACAGATTTACATTTTCTGGTTGACAGTGGAGCAGAGGTAAGCCTTATTCCTCGTACTTCTAAACACAAACTTATTAGTGACTATAAATTATATGCTGCAAATAATACAGAAATTGATACTTTTGGTACAGAAGTTTTAATTCTTGATCTTGGTTTACGCCGAGAATTTCAATTCCCATTTATTGTAGCAAAAATTAGTAAACCCATATTAGGTGCAGATTTTTTAAATAAGTTCAATTTATTGATTGATATAAAGCATAAAAGGCTAATTGATGGTGTGACGAACCTTGCAGTTTATGGTGACATCGCACCCATCTCTATTCATGAAACTGTAAATACAACGGGCAGCTTATGTAAATATTCTGATTTATTTGCTATGTATCCTAGTATAACAAAACCAAATTTTCTTATTTCTACTGTAAAGCATAATGTGAAACATCACATTATAACTCAAGGACAACCTGTAAGTTGTAAAGCAAGACCATTAGATTCTAAACGGTTGGAAATAGCTAAAAGAGAATTCAAATATATGCTGGACAATAACATCATTAGTCCGTCCAGTTCAGAATGGGCAAGTCCCCTACACATAGTGACAAAGAAAGACGGTTCTTTCCGCCCATGTGGGGATTACAGAAGACTGAATGATTTAACTGTACCTGATCGTTATCCCATTCCTCGAATTCAAGATTTTCAACATATTTTAACTCATAAAACTATATTTTCTAAAATTGATCTCTTTAAAGCGTATTTTCACATTCCAGTAGCAGATGAAGATAAAGAAAAAACTGCTATTATCACACCTTTTGGTCTTTACCAATTCAATGTCATGAGTTTTGGTCTCAAAAATGCCCCCGCGACCTTTCAGAGGTTCATCAATGAAGTTTTTTATGGCCTAGACTTTGTGTTTCCATATTTGGATGATGTTTTGATTGCCTCTTCTTGCGAGGAAGAACATCGTTTACATCTTAAAACAATTTTCCAGCGTTTAGATAAATATGGTCTCCGAATTAATATTAGCAAATCAGTTTTGGGAGTACCTGTAATAGACTTTTTGGGCTATCAAATATCTGCTGAAGGTTCAAAACCTCTACCTGAAAAAATTAAAGCTATCACAGAATATCCGTTTCCAGAAACTATACACCAACTTCGTTCCTTCTTAGGACTGATCAATTTCTATCGGTAATTACATTAAAAATGCCGCAGAAAACTCAAGCTCCTCTTCATGAACTTTTGAAAAGGATCTACAAAAAAAGATCGACGTAAAATACTATGGACCAATGAAACCAGAAAGTTTTGAAAAATGTAAACAAGATATTGCTCAAGTAGCGTTGATGGCATACCCCAATTCGGATTACCCTCTGGCACTTCTCACAGATGCATCCGATTTGGCTATTGGGTCAGTTATTCAACAAAAAGAACCAAATGGATGGAAAACCTATTGCATTTTTTTTTCAAAAAAGCTTAATGATGCGCAGAAAAATTATAGCGCTTATGATTGCGAGCTTTTGGGTATATATTTATCCTTTAAACATTTACTTGAAGGCCGCGATTTTACTATTTATACGGATCATAAGCCCTTAACGTTTGCTTTTAAGCAGAATCATAACAAAGCATCTCCCAGACAACTCGGACAGTTACAATATATCTCACAATTCTCTACTAACCTACGCCATATAAGTGGTCAAAACAATGTGGTTGCAGACAGCCTATCTAGGAATTGAGGACATCGATTCACCTGTTGTTGATTTTGACCTGATAGCAGATGCACAAATTAATGATGATGAACTGCAACAGTTGAAATTACATTCCAAATCATTGCATATTAAACAGCACCAATTACCATCAGGAAAACTCTTATATTGCGATACCTCTACTTCTAATATCAGACCATTCATACCTCAAACTTTTCGGATGAAAATATTTAATGCAATTCATGGTTTAGCTCACCCTGGAATCCGAAGTACTGTAAAAGAGATTACTAAAGATTCATTTGGCCGGATATAAAAAAGATGTTAAACAGTGGGCTCAAACTTGTATCGATTGTCAGAAAAATAAAGTAACTAAACATACAAAATCAGAATATTCTCAATATCAAGCACCAGACGAAAGATTTAGTGTTGTGCACATTGATTTAATTGGGCCTTATTCACCTTCTAATGGATACACTTATTGTTTGACGTGTATTGATCGGTTTACCTCTTGGATGGAAGTGGTACCGTTATCAAATATCACAGCAGAAAATATAGCAAGAGCCTTTTATGAACATTGGATAACACGATTTGGTGTACCTTCTTGTGTTATTACTGACAGAGGAACTCCATTCATTTCGGAACTGTTTCGAAATTTGGCTTCGCTATGTGGAGTAAAAGTAAACCATACAACTTCTTACCATCCTCAGAGTAATGGGAAAATTGAACGTCTACACCGTACTTTAAAAAGCAGCTATTAGATGTCATAATTCTCTTCATTGGACAGAAACATTACCAACAGTTCTTATGGGTTTGCGAGCTGCTCTACATGAGGACTGTAAGTATACAATAGCTGAAATGGTTTATGGCAAAACTATTAAATTACCTGGCGAATTCTTTGAAGAATCAAACATGCCAATATCTAATGATAATTTTGTAAGTAATCTTCGAAATCAGATGGCCCTTTTAAAGCCCTATCAATCCAAATCCAAATGTAAACAAAAGATTTTCATCCCAAAAGATTTGTACACATGCTCGCACGTGTTTCTGCGGGTTGACAGAGTAAAAAAACCTTTGGAGCCCCCATATGAAGGACCCTTTTTGGTACTGCAAAGGACCCCGAAATATTTTCTTCTATCAATTAAAAATAAACAAGTTAGTATCTCTGTGGATAGGTTAAAACCAGCTTATGTGTTACAACCTAATGAACTTTTGTCTCCAACTTCAAAAAGTGATCATACATCTGTGCCAAGTAAGCAAACATCAGTGCCAAGTCAGCAACTAGAACAACCTAAAAAATTAACACGATGTGGAAGACAAGTAAAACTTCCAGTTCGTTTCAATGACGTTATTGACTCTTCTTGAACTTATAACTCTTTCATATTAATTTAAAACTTAATTATGTTTTTTTTGTGTACATAATTTCAATTTATATATTTGTATCAGTGTTATTTGTATAGATATTTGTATCTTCTCTCCCACCATGTTTTCAGAGTAACGTAACTTTGTTACTGGTAGGGGAGTGATGTAGGCAACAATTATTATTGGTCATAATAACTACAACTACTTCTACTAGATAATGACTACTACTTTCACTTCACCTTTAGTTTCAGTTTAGTTTCAGAAGGTTGTCATGCCATAAAATCAGTAAGGAGTTAGTGAGGGCTACAAAGAATAATAAAGATGTTATATGGAAAATAGTGATTCTTGCTTTTTGATTTTTGCTATTTAAATTATTATAAAAAGAACTTAGCAAGCAACCACAGGTCGTTAGGCATCGAAACTCTTTGATAGTATTGAGTGAGTATGTGAATTCAAATCTTTCGTTAAAAAAAAATTTACTATCCTTTTTGATTCACCATATTTCAGCTTTCTCTAATGACGCCTTCTTTGCCTTTTAGCGAATAATCGACGATCTATTGCCATTGCCACTAACACTAAGGCTCCTCTAAACCAGGCTGAATCACTAACTTTTCTCTCTTGGCGAGGGAGGGACCGCGCTACCAATTTTGGCGCGTTTATCGCACACGCTGGCTGAATGTCTGCTGTTTTTTTAAAGATTTATTTTATAGACGCGCGGCATTCAGCGCACATAAACTTTTCGGATAATTTATTAATTCTCGAATAGTATATAGACGTTTTCACTTAAATAAAAATTTCGCGTATATTTTGTAAACATATTCAAAATAACTTATTCTTTAGATGTTTCAGTTTGTTAGCAGACTAAAATAAATAAGATATGAATAAAAACTTTCAATAGTGTCAAATGGGGAAATAGTTAAAGCGTAGAGTGTGCAAATAAATTTATCTTAATGACATTTTAACAAAAATTTCCATAAAAAACACTAAATTCATACTAAAAAATAACTTAAGAATATGTTGTCATTTTAGTCTGAGGTATATGGAAATAATTGTGCAAGACTCTGAAGAAACGAAGAAACACTTTCTTTTAAATGTGTGAAATATTTCATAACATATATGGAAGAAGAAAGTACAGCATTCTGTGTTTTGGATGATTTTCACCAAATGTAATATAAATACGAACTAGAAACCGTAATAAAAAGTCCTTCCTCTCCAATCAGATCACCTTTGTGTTGCATTGTATTTGTAATACTTCTAAAAATCCAATTTTTACCTAAATAAAAAACAGTTATTCCATAAAAGATAATAAATTTGAACGTATATAGAATGAATTTTGTAATTTGAGTTATGTTACAAAATAATTCATAGTTTATATATTTTATACTAATAATTTAGATAAAACCTGTCCAATTTAAGAATGTGTGTTAACCACATTCTTAAATTGTAAAAGGACGACTTAACCCCACGTAATTCATTTCAAAGCATAAAATAGCTTATTTTCTAATATTCAAAATTTCTAATAGTCATAAAATAGCTTATTTCTATCTTTCATAAGCTTATTTTCTATTTTACACAGCAACAGCATTTTCATGCAGTCAAGGTTTTTTAATTGC